ACGTTTCTGTAGACGCCACGGATGCCCCACTTTAAAGTCGCGTTGGGCACGCGCCGCAGCTCAGAGTGCGAAGAAATTGGTAGTGTAGCTCCCATTATCGATTGGTAGCGCAGGTGGGTCACTTCCTCGATTTCTAGTTCGTGCAGCCGCCGCCTGGTGCCGTCTGTATGTGGAAAAGGTCCATTGATATAGCCTTCGTTCTAACATTCTGGAGTGACCTTCTCTACGATTTATCTTTTGCCAAAGCGAAGGCGCGAAAGATGCCATTTTAGAGGAAGGAATTAGTAGTGCTATATACTTATATGTTCGCGCATAGCCTCCTTTATACTGAATATACTGTAGTACTGTATATAGTATACAGTATAAAGGAGGCTATGGTTCGCGCCATCTGTCTTAACTTCTCACGTTGTCGAGAAAGCGCTTAGCTGCCAATAGAAAACGTCGAAGTTGGCTCTTTGTCTCGTGTTTGTTATTCTTATACGATATCCTTTCAAGTTTAAGGATTTAAACCTCAGCATTGTCTCATTTGCTTTTTTGCTAATTTAAACGTGCTGATAATTGACTTCTCTCTTTTTATTTCTGTCCAATTCATTACAAAGGGTGCCCGTGAGAAGCATGTAGCGTTGGTTTGGTGTCGTATTTGTCAATTATTTCCAATGTCTGCATTTTGGTACATTGCTTTGTAACTTAGTGTTGGTAATTTCCATTTGTACTGTCGCGTCCACTTTATCGTTCGTGTTGCCTTATATATTGTATAGTACTGACTATATATATTCATTCTGTATTCGTTGTGTAACATATGTACATATTCTTGCTCTGCTGCTCTGTGATGTTTGTGTTAGATTTTAATAAACGATTTTTTGAAGAAAGTCTTGTCAACTTACGGGATTAGGGGTCTATACATTTCCGGAAAACAAAATACGTATAAAATGGGAGTTCGAAGTAAATGTCGCCGTCGGTGCCTACAAGCAAACGCTTAATGCGTTTCTCGCTTTCCTTAGAATCATGATATATTGGGGGGCGGGGGGGGGGGGGGGGGGGGGGGGGGCAAACATGCTTATTAGCCCAGGGCCCCTATATTTCTTTATCCGGCCCTGGTTGTTCCGGCAGCCCCGAAGAACTTTTGCGTAGTTATCAACGCGAGCGAATTTGCGGTAGAAAGATGAATGATGGACGTAGATGGTCGCAAAGCCTGCGAAAAACACAAAGTTTAGCTATACGTCCGCGAGAACATAGAGGGGTCAATGACACATTTTTGTTGGCGTTCAGTGACGCTAACAGACCTAGAATATTAAGATATCGAAAAGCACGCCACCTGATTCCGAACTTATTCCAAATCGGACGTACGAAATTTAAGATCAGGGTCCCAGACGTATTATGCATATTTTCATTTAGGGCGTACTATGGAAATTTATACAAGGCAATTGATTCATAAGAGAGAGAGGAGAGTTGAAAAGAAAGGATCGAAGCCTGGAACTATTGATTTATGAAGAAGCGAGACGCCTGTTACGAGAGAAGTCAAGGGAGCTGTGGTGCTGTCTTAAATGAGCTCTCCACATAAGATTGAGACTAAAGCGCACGAAAATATGTTTGTAGTGCAAGACAGAATCAGTGTCAAAACTATAAGTGGAGCAAGAAGTGGGAAAAATGTCAACGAGTTCGATAAAAAGAAAATAGGAATTTTTATTTGGATGCACTTTAGAAGCGTTTACCAATCGAACACGTCATTTAATTTGTCTAAATATTTTGCCCGTCAAATAAATTATCTGTGATAGCAGTGGCTCTGTAAATTACACCATCATCAGCAAATAGGTGGGCGTTGGAGGAAAACAAAACTAAAGCCCCTTCATGTTTCAAAAGTAGCGCAATGTGCATCAATGCACGAGGCACGTGCATAAATCGGCAAATTCATTCATCAACTCGCTCATTCACATTCATTCACATTCACGGCGTGAGTCTGAATGCCTCTAATGAATTCTTGAAATAGGAAAATACCATGATGTGATGGTGAATGACTTTGTGAATTTGAATGAATTCGTGATGGTGTTGGTGAATGAAGTCGTGATGTGATGTTGAATGAAGTCGTGATGTGATGGTGAATGACTTTGTGAATTTGAATGAATTCGTGGTGGGATGTTGAATGATGTTGTGATGTGATGGTGAATGACTTCGTTAATTTGAATGAACTCATGATGTGTTGTGATTGTGAAGGACTTCGTGAAGTGAATATAATTCATTGTGATGTGAATGCCTCAATGAATTCGTGACGTGATGGTGAATGGCTCGTGAACACGATGAATTTGTGATATGTGTAGCTATTGAACTTGATAAGTTCATGATGGGAAGTAATACCGTGAACTTAATTCTCGACGTGATAGTGAATACGGTTATGAATTCAGAATAGGCAGAAAACATGTTACGCAGGTGCTTGCTTGCTTGCTGGTTGTTTTCATCCTTCACCGCAAACCACAGGAACCAATTTTACTGTAGCGTTTTGGGCATCATTCTCGCTGCATAGCCGTGCGCGCCTCAGCGTGGTGGCCCTTTGTCGAGCACTTTCGTAGTAACAGCTGTTTATAAGGGAAGTGCGGTGGCAGTGGCAATGAAGGGGAGCGGAGGGGGGGGGGGGGGGGGGGGGGGGGGGGGCTAGTCGTTTTCTTTGGCACTTGACATTTAATTTTACCGCTGTTCTGAGCGGTTCCTCGTAAATCAATTGAGCTCCTTGCCGACCTTGTCCTTCCGTGTCTTGGGGGATATGGTCCGGAATCCCTGAAGGCTCTCGCTGTGCCGTTTCGCTCGTGAGTTGTGCGTGGCGCAGCCGCGCTGTTTGCGGTCACTAGTAGCAGCAGGTGCCGCTTCATCTACGCGGCGCAGTCATATATCGTTTCAAAAAAGACGAAGCCGAAGCCGACGTCACGAGCAGGCGCACCTAATCCGGCGCCGAGACCATATCACGTGACCTGCCGGTTCCTCGCGGCAGCGCACGGAGCACATTCACGTGACACGATCGCAGCGCGGCATTGACTGGGTTGGCGCTCTATCATTGTGGTTTGTGTTTCGCGCATTCGAAATACCCCACTTCCTTGGCGGAGTCACGACACGAAAAGGCGCCACAGTCCTATTTCGCAAGAATTGCGAACTCGTGAAGGGCTACCAGCCGTGAAGTCGATTTTAGTCAGAGGGGACCTGTATGACTCCCTGAATTATACGGAATTCATGATGTGATGGGGAATTCCGGAGAATTTGTGTTGACCGTGATGGTGAATAACTTCGTGAAGTGATGTTGAATTCCGATAAATTCATATTGTGATGGTGAATTCGGATGAATTCGCGATGTGATGATGAATTCGGATGAATTCATGATGTGATGATGAATTCGGATGACTTCGTGAAGTGATGGTGAATTCAGATGAATTCGTGAAGTGATGGTGAATTCGGATGCATTCATGATGTGATTGTGAATTCAGATGAATTCGTGGTGATGGTGAATGACTTCATAAATTGGTGATGTGATGGTGAATGACTTCGTGAATTCGGAGGCGGCGGTGATGTGATGGGGATGAATTCTTGGCGCGGTTGAACGCCGAGATGTGAAGGGGATGAATTCTCGGCGGAGTTTGAAAGCCGTGATGTGAAGGGGATGAAGTTTTGGCGCGATTGAACGCCGGGATGTGAAGGGCCGTGACTTTGGGAGGTCGGAGTACCTTGTGACGTGAATGCGAATGAATTTGGAGACGTGATTTTGTTCGTGATGTGATGGTGAATGAAGGGGGTCTAAAATGCCAACCTTTGGGCACGTGCAGCGTGCAGCCTTTGGGAAGCTCATGGCGGCACAGCGCAGCTAGAATGAACTACAAACGACTGAGTGGGAGGCGCTTCGGGCTCCGCTTAAGCTTTCAGCTGCACCTCGAAATGTATAAGGCGGTCCAGGTAAAACCAACTCCAAGCCACTTCGCCTGCAGCGCCACCTTCGCTGCGATCGAAGCGAGTGAAGACACAGGTCATTGTCATATGGGCCATATAGTCCCTTAGGGAAATTAAAGCACGCTGGGATTCAATTTCCCATGTATTTTGTCAATAAAGGCAACGTGCGCGTTATTTTGTTTACATGCCGCTACTAGAAGCTTGTTACATGGCACGTAAACAGCGTCTCGGTAAGGATCATGGCCCAGGCCCGGGGGGGGAGGGGGGGGGGGAGGTTCGCCTCCCCCCCCCCCCTTTGGATTTTACCAGGGGGGGCACGAGCCCCGTTGCCCCCCCCCATAGTCTACGCCTATGTTTTGACGTAACCACTCGGAACGCTACGGCCTTCTCTTCTAGGAGGTGTTGGCCTAGCTCGGCTGGCCGAAATGCGGCGTAAGAAGTGGCAGGCCGATGCGGGTCTGCGTGCTAAAGAAGCTGGAAAAAATTAAAAGACTCATTGGTGGATCCTTAAAGAACGCGCTAGCATGACCCTTGGAAACGCCACACACGTCCCCCTTTGGGGAACGCTATCACTGACACCGTAACGAAGCCGGAAACAGGCAGTAAAAAATAGAGGAAACAAAAGAGAAAGCCACAAGAGAAAGTCAAAACAGAAACCTTTGATTATTATTATAAAGTCAGCGCACTGTAGTGAGCGTTTGCTCATACCTGGTGTGGGCACTGCGCGCGAGCGTAAAACCGAGATTCGCGTGGGATGAAGCCACCGCGCATGCATTGTGCTGACAACAGCACCACCGCTGTGGCTTGACGTCAGGGCCGCGTGTTGGTTATTTATAAAAGAAGCAAGACGAAACCCAAAATGTAGGGTGTGTTACATTCCGTGTACTGTTCTCTTTCATTTAAGAAAGGGGGGAAAAGAAAAGACAAACATTTTGTTTGTAAATATATGCAATTAAGTCTCCAAATAACGAGAAACGATGAAGAAAGAGACGGAAAAAACAATGAGGATGAACATTTCTGCTCGCGCTTTGTCACTGGGTGCACGACTGGGTGTGCCTTTCGTGTTCTGTTCCATGATGGCCGAACAGGGGGATATCCAACGGCAATCCTCCTGCCCCCCTCGGAGGCACATTCGGTCCAGGAGCCGGGGATGGGCCGCTGCGCTCTGGAGCCTCACTATCACCACCGCGGTGCTGCTGCTCGTGTCCATCGTCATCACAGCTTTCGTCACCACGACGCTTCTCAACCCCAGCATCGGTCGACGCCAGAGAGCTCCAGCACCTAGCGAGCTTCCGAACCTTACGTCGCAATCTCGCAGGGGTATTTTGAAAGCTGGCGGTCGACACACGAAACCATGCGACTCAATCGCTTGTATCGAACGAGCCAAGCTACTGCTTCGCCAGATCAACAAGTCTAGAGATCCCTGCGACGACTTCTACGCTTACGTCTGCAACGACTGGAAGCTGACGAGACCGCTGTCTCCTGGAGCAGATCGGGTCTCCATGGACACTGTGCTTGTGGATGCGTATGCCGATCTGGTGGCTTCCCAGTTACAAGACACGGGAAGCCAGTTTCCTGAACTCGATTTTCTGATGGACCGCTGTTTGCACCCTGAGCCGGAACTCTTTGACGACCTGCTGGCCATGTTTCTTGACGCGACGGATATGCGCCCATGGATGACCGGGTTGGCGAAGATGAGGCTGTCACCAACCGAGTTATCGCGCACGCTTGGTCTTGCATTTCGCCAGCTGGCCATCGACTCCATCTTTAGATTTTCAGTCTCTAATGACATCTTGAACAAGACCAAGCGGTTCATAGCGCTGGGAGAGCCGTCCACTGTACTACTCCATGGTCCACTCGAAGAAGGCGAGTATGAGTTGGTTCACTTGGGATTCAGCCCTGTCCTCAATATTTTGCGCAAGTTCGTAGAGACGGACGTGCTGCGATTCGAAGACCGTCTCTCGCGTCTATTTGCTCGACCACAGTTAGATTCCGCGGCGATGGCCGACTGCATCATCATCAAGGTGCGGGACTTGCCGACCGTGCAAGGCATCGAATGGACCGATCTTCTCCAGAGTGTATTCGGGAAGGGGCTTCGCCCCATCACAAGCAGAACCTACATCAAACTAACTTCACCTAATTACGTAGTGCGGCTCGCGCGGGGCGACGTGCTCATCTCCAGCAGAGATTTCATGGGTTACCTGCTATTTCGGATGATCATGGTGCTCTCACCGCTCATGAAAGACGACAAGGTCCGGAACGTCCTAGCGTCCATCAGTTACGCTCGGCATCCGGAGTTCGCGCAGCCTCTACCGCAGGCACATTACTGCATCCACTTGATGAACCGGTTCGAGCTGAACTTGCCACTATACAGCTCGTACAGAATAACCAGTGATTTACTGGGCGGCGACGCGGCCGTTCAGGACCTTATATTCACTCTACGTCGTGTCTTCCTCGAGCACTTTCATGAAGAGCTAGGTCGACCCGGCGAAGACCTAAAGGCGGTGATTCAAGATAAACTCGTCGTGTTGTACTGGGAGTCGCTCATACCGCGAGTTTTAACGAACGCCAGCCAACGAACCTTTTACACCGACGGCATCTATACGGGCAACTCGAGGTCGTCCACCGCGCACTTCTTCTACACATGGATTCGCAAATCACTCGAGAAGCGACTTCTGGCACGCATGGACTCGAAAGTGGTACATCCTGGATGGACCGGTGGCTTCCTGTCCGCGGAGCCGAGACTCGAACCACCTTACGAGAGCATCGAAATACCGCCACCAGTCTTCGATTTCTTTCTCGACAAAGATCCCGCACTACGGCCCATTCAGGCTGCTAGGGTCGCGCCCAAGATCTACAGGAGCCTCTTCAGGACCATCTACCACTGGATTTACAACTTCGAGTTTGAAAACGGAACGCGCGTAGCGCGCCACTTGGAAGACCTCAGACTCTGCCTGGAGCGCCAGTACTCTGCCTTGCTCTGGCTGGACAAGCAGGTCCAACTGAATGCCTCTCGTACCTCCTGGGCCGACCTGTGGGACTTTATGGCCTTGAGACCCTCGCTGGAAGCCTTTCTCTTGCTGGCAAGTCGCGTGTCATCCAATTATCGGCTGCGCCTACTTGAGCACTGGACCACCAGTCAACTGTTCTTCGTGTTCTATGCGGCAAACTTCTGCGAAAACAGCGACCGGAGGTTTCTGCGCAGGTTGGTGGCGCATGGACCTTACAGCCCGGCTTGGTTCCGCGTGAATGGGCCTCTTCGGAACTTTCCAGAGTTTCAGAGGGCATTTGGGTGCAGGCGCGGCTTCTTCATGAACCCATCCAATCAGTGCGCCTTGCGTGCGCAACGATAAGAGTCTTGAAAGACGCGACATAGGGACATTACGTCTTTATTGTCTTTGTGTGAGCGATCATCGTTACAGTTGGGTTCTATTTATAACCACGAGATATTGATTCAGCTTATTTGTTGAGATGCAATGTGATATACACTTTCACGATGCCAAATTTATTTAGTTCGATACACTCAAGGCCCAGAGGGCGTTGAAGGTTGAAAGCAGTAAAACATATCCATGAAATTGATAAAAAAAAAAAATACAACAGAACAACAACAAATGCAGGTTATCACTTGTCCGTACCGTATTAGAGAGTTTTAGTAGATCGTTCCAATACCTCCGATACCCCCGATAACGATACCCGAAAACGATACGATGAATGCGCAAAGGCCGCGGCGGAGCTTCGGGTATCGTTATCGGAGTCATCGGAATGATCTACTAAAACTCTCTATTAGAGAGCTTTAGCAGACCGTTCCGATGACTACGATAATAGTACCCGACACTCCTCCCACCGCCTTTGCGCATAGAGCGTATCGTTATAGGTTATCGTCATCGCGGGTATCGGAGCGATCTACTAAACTCTATTACGCAACACGCGAACGCAATTAAATAATTTCCTATTTATTGGTTACTTGCACGCAAGTGTGAATAACTTCTGTATGTAGCAGCTTTCTGCATTTATTAATGCGAAAGCCTTAACTGTCTCATGGAGCGAAGGTGGCGTTGTCTGTAACCGTCTGTAGCAGCGAAACGGCAGTTGAATTCCCATTGGCCAGCGAAACGGCAGTTACATCCCCATTGGCCAAAAGCACAGCAACGCAGTTGCATCGTCACGAAAGCCTTGCAGCCCGCGGGGTTCGCCACGCCTGCGCAGTGGGGGAGTGTGATGTCACCGCCAGGGCGCCGGGTGAAAAAGACGCGGCGCGCTGCTTGTCGGAATGCACTGCGTGTAAGAATGCTTTCGCATTTCTACACGTAAACAGTCTTAAGTGCCCTCTTTAGTCTTTATCAGAGCGCAGCTCTTAGGCGCTTGGTTCCGGGTTGAGCGACGTAGCCGTCGCCGTCCGCGTAACCGCGCGTTGCATTATGGGACGTTTTCCCGCTAAAGTTAGCGGGAAAATGTTCTCGCTAAGTTTAGCGGGCAACTTCACTCGGTAAATATAGCGGAAAAATTTCCCCGCTATATTTAGCGGAAAATCTCCCCGCTAAATATGGCGGAAATATTTTCCGTTAAATTTAGCGGGAAATTTAGCAAAAATTTCCTGCTGAATGAGAGAGGAGGAAGAGGGGAGGGTACGGAGAGGAAGGAGGGGCATACTTTCCCCCCCTCCTCCTCAAGAGCTGCACTCTAATTCGGAATTACAGAAAATTGTAAACGTCTTCTATTTTTTCTTTTTTTTCCATGTTTATTTTCGCCATTGAACACTGTGAAGTTTCTCTCAAACAGTCTTGTTAGCGAGGAAAAAAAAAGATGTATGGCAAATTGCTAATTGTCTTGCATACGTGAAATGTTCTAGCGTCACAAACGTTTAGCGATACGCTGACTTTCTCGTATGCAATTGTGAGTCGGGTCTTCAGTCTTCGAAGTTCATTCAGCAGTACGTCTAGCCTGTCCAACCAGACGTCTACGTTCATGGCGCTCTTCATGAGATAATTTAACGCGTGGCCACGGTGGAAGAATCATTTAGGTGATGACTCTCTGTCCGACGCGGCGACCCCATTGTGTTCGGTGCACCGAGCGCTTCACTGGCACGGGGATAGATGGCGCCCAAGTATCGGGTCCCTCCCAAACCAACCGCTCCGGTTGTTTCTCTCGGCGGTGGTCCCGCATTCCCTCGCTCACCGCTTCATGTTGTACCTCACCACCGCCACGCCGGAGCCCATAAATCCGTCTCTTCCATTGTTCTTCTTCGTCCGGTTAAGGCGCACCTTCGTGCTCGATGGTAACACCTGTGATCGAAACAGCAAGAAAGCAAAACACGAGGCCAGCCACTCGCCGCACACCACCACCACACCGCGAAAAAGGCGAGCACCGTGCTCGCCTTTTTCGCGGTGTGGTGGTGGTGTGCGGCGAGTGGCTGGCCTCGTGTTTTGCTTTCTTTGCGGTGATTGGACTTGCGGTGAGGAGGCGGCGGGGACGTGTTGGGGTGTCTGCAGTGAGCTGAGTGCAGAGAGTGGCACGCGTTGAGTGGCGTGGTATTGCCGCGTTGGGTTGCACGCATTGTGTTGCGTTGGGTTGCACACGGTGGTTTGCTGGTTGAGTGGCACGCGGCGAGTTGCGTGGTTTTTCCGCGTTGGGTTGAAGGAGCTGGGGCTCACCGGTGGTGATGGTGACGGGGGCGGTATTTTGCTTGAGTCGCGGGCCGTGGCGCCGAAAGTTGGGGCAACAATGGGTGACGCGCCCTGCGGACAAGATGGTCGCTGGGTGGAGCGGACAGTGGCGGTGGCAGAGACCGTCGTTGCAAAGCGCTCGCCGAGCTTCGCATTTCCGTCGAGCGGTACCACCACTGCCATGTCGTGGGCTATGAGGAACAGGAACCGTGTCGGTGATGCTGTTCGGTTGAGCCGTTGTCCGGGGGCCAGAAACCTCCGGGAGACGAGGGAAATGAGCGGGGCCGGGAAGTTCGGTGCGGATATGGGAGGGCCGGTGTGATGATGTGCTGGCTTGCTGAAGGGGGCTTGCTTTGACACGGAGAATGTTCTCCGGGTCACTATTGGGGTCGGTGCGGGCCGTACGTGACCACATATTCAAGCAGTGAGGTACATTCGTAATTTTTTTTTCTCGCAATTTTACATGCGGTGTCGCATTCCTTGCGAAAGACAATGCCGTTTATTTCAATCATCTGACATGCTTGGTTTTAAAGAAATAGATTCCCGAAGGAGAGAGGAAGGACGACGGGTTTTTGACAATTGTCGTTTGTGCCATATTTGAAGCGCGCTATAGCCGAAGCTATTATTGTAGAGAGGTTAAACTTTTTAAGAATGATCTATGTATAGCCTAGGTAAGTGTAGTCTTAAGATAAGATTATTGTTGTTCAAGACGAGTTTCGAAGAAATATCCAAACATGTACTATCGGGGAAAAATGAAATGCGAACAGAGGAGCGCGTGGCTCGCGGTACAGGCTGCGCCGCCTGGAAGTGAGCCTAAGGGCGAGGCCCGCGTCCCCTCTCCCATTTTGAGTGTACGCAGGCTCTTCTCCTCCCCCATTTCCGGGGAGAGGAGGAGAGCCCGCGCACACTCAAAATGGGAGAGGGGACGCGGGCCTCTACCTTCCACTGCATTGCCAAGAAAAGTTGTCGCCGAGTATAGGTGCATTTTAAAGGGATACTACAACGAAATTTCGGCGCTCATTTTTTGGTCTATATGTGTTCAAAGGAGCAGCATCACATCGAACATACCAATATCTTGTTAAAAAAGTCACGAAAAGGAATTTTAAAACGAATTAAACGATTAGCAAAGAGCACCTGGTGGATGTCGCTAACACTTCGCTTGTAATGCCAGTCTAGGAACCTTGATAGCTAGTGACGGAGGTTGTCTCGCCTCCGGCCACGACGAGAGAAGAGGGACAGGAGGAACTCCCTTCTTCCCGAGAATGCCTTTTGTGTGTCGCAGAAGTCGCTATTGTCCCCCTACAAGATTACTCAAAATTCGTACAAGAGCAGCCGCTTCGGTGGCTGGAACGACTAGGCCATCCTAGGGTGCCTTCATGTGCGCTTCGCATTGAGTGATGCCAACTGCCTGTTTCCCTTTCCCACACCCTCTTCCACCGCCATTTTGTTTCTCTCATTGCTTCCCCGTGCGCCGGAAAGTGGCCTTTGTGTCGATCGGTAATCCCCTCCGAGGGTAAAAATGCTAATCCTCCCTCCGTGGGTTCCACAACGCTGCTCCGAACTTCTGAGATAAGGTGCTCGTTTCCGGGAGGGTTATAAGCCCCACGGATTATCGCCGAGGAACAAAATGGATGCTGGTTTGTCGGCGAGTGGTATTTCAAAGGGTGGCATCACCCTGGCAAAGCGCACATGAAGGCTCCCTAGGCCATCCTCTCGACGTCAGCCTCGCCGTAGCTTTGCTCGTCCTGAGACGACCTACGTCACGATTGCGTTGGATGTCACGTGGTCTCCGCTGGGCCTTCTCCGAGCGCTTGCCAGTGTGGGTCGTATATAACGAAAAATACAGCCACCAGGCTCAAAATACAAACGTGCGATTGTCATTTACGGATATTGTGGATCATATTCAACCTATCTATATTTCAAATATTTCAAATTTCGTTGAAGTATCCCTTTAACTTCGGTAGAAATTCGCGGCACGTCCGCTGGGGAGATGGGGGTGGCACCCCTGTAACCTCTTCCACTGTATCTGTTTCGGCGCCAAAATGGCCGATTAAAGCCAAAATAGAAGTAACGTCCAGTTCCTCGAGTGGCCGCTGTGAGAGAAATGGCGGCGTTGTGTTCGCCCATAGCCTCCTCTATACGGAGAAAGCCTGGCACATCGACGACGGAGCCATAGAGCGCGCGGCCGCAGGAAAAAGGAGAGGAGGAGCGCGCCGAACGGTGACCAATATGGTAGCGCAGAGCAGAAAGGGCAGACCTAGACAGCGAGCGCTTGGGTCGTGAGCGGCCGCTCCCCGAACCACGCTTGTTTTTGTGTTTTCGTCACCGTCGTTTTCGTACTCCGGGAGAAACGGGCGCGGCGATTCGAAGGGCGCAGGGAGAAACGGGAAAGGGTGACGTTGAGTTTCTCCTTTCCGCGATAGCGACAAGAAAAGAGAGAGAGAAAAAAAAAAAAGTTGTTTCTGCGTTTGGCCGCTCGCTCTTCTGTGGCGCTAGCGGGCAAGGTTCTCTCCGCTCCCGTTTCTCCGCCCCTCCTTTCCCATTTACGGCGGCCGTCTTTTCACGCGACGCGCCAGGCTTTCTCCGTATAGAGGAGGCTATGGTTCGCCATTAGCTCGGTTCTGGTGGACAGATTCGGGCCACTTTTTCAGAGCAGTCTCTATGGCAGTTTCCCAACTGAGTAGTTCTAGTAACGTTGCCTTCGCCGAAAAACGTTCGCTTGTCGCAAGCATCAAGTTGCCGGTGATCGTTGCCCACCTTACTGGGTTTTTCAAACCGAGTGCGTTCCTGACGTGCGCGGACTACTGTCTACTGCGCCTGCCTGGTCTTCCGCAAGCGGGTTTGACTTTCTCTGGAGCTTTTTTTCTCCTGTTTTCTCGGACAAGGAGTTCGGCCGTTAGAGTATCAGCGCGGTCGCGCTTCTGATCTGCTTCAAGTTTTGGTTGCCGGGGATTCGACGGTGAAATACTAGTATTTTTCATAGAATAACCGGGTGGCTGTCAAAGTGCGGGCGTTTAGTGGCATTAGGATCGAGGCTTTGTTTTCCAAGGTGTCTGACGCCCTGCTCGATTTTGGCACAAACAACACCAGCGTTTGCGCCAGCGCGTACGTTGACAAGTATCGTCGGCTGGCCGCTCAGATCTTGGAACGCAGTCCGACGATGCAGATCACCTTTTCTTCCGTCCTTCCGAGGCGGAAAACAGGTTCTCTTCGATGGAGTGTCAGCGTAGTCAAGAGTGCCGAGATCCAGGCGTTGAATGATCGGCACAGAGACGTGAATTGGCTCCTGCATGAGTTCTGCCGCAAGAAGGGCTTCGCGTTCATCGCTGATCTCGTGGACGAGTGGCATCCGTGCATCGGGTACTGTTTTATTTCTCATGGAATAAACTGTTTCTGGAATCTTTTACCCAGTTTTCTCGATTGCATTCTCTCAGTATGTTTGCTATTAATGGGACTAATGCATGTTTTCCCTTTTCTCACAATCTTTGTGTGATTGCCAGTGTGCGCGCAAGTCAAGAACGCATGGAGCGGTGAGCACGTACTTGTCCCCTTTGATACACATAAGCTCACATTAAAACACTTCGAACCAAGCCAACCACACACACGACGAAGCTTCTCCGCCTCGCCTCAGCAGCGATGCACACAGGGCGAAGGCCCCAGAGGCCGCACCCGCACCGCCCGCACGCACGCATGGCACCGTTGGATGGCACGCACGCCGCCCTCCTGGACAACATAACTATAAAGATATATATTGGTACTATTTTTATGATGTATGATATTTGCTACTATTCTTAGAAATCAGTAAACAATTGATGCTTTCTAAGATCACGTGACATATTAGCTTTTAAAACAATGAAATGTAACCTCTTTATTTTTATATCCTATATTTACTTGTAAGAAAACATAATATGTACATAAAAACAAATTATTCCCTCATATCATAAGTCACGTGACCTTTTGCGTGGATGGAGTCTTATCTCCTCCCGACTTGGCTACGTCCCCGCGCGTGGATGTAGCCTCGGCCTTGATCATTTGCACGCGTTCTCGCGCAACAAAACCATAGAAGAAGCCACGCGCTCGTGTTAGTAGCCCTGACAGCGCTGCACACTAAGTATGAAACAGGGTATAGCAAGTCAGCCCTGGTTTGGAGCGCACGTTAGTGCGCTCCAAACGGGGAAAGAAAGCACTGCCAAACCCAGCGCACAAGCCGAGCGCGACTCCGGGTCTCAAGACGCTCGCGTGCCCCTCCCTTTGCACTGTTTTCTTTCAGCCAGTCTCAGATTATACGCTGTTCTAGTACAGTGTAGTTCTAGTAAGCTGGCCCAGGGCAAACTGTCACCGATACTCCATCTGCACAAACACCAGCGAAGCAGACAAAGGCATGGGCACGAGCGCGTGGCTTTGGAAAGTACAGAGCGCGACACTGTTAGCGCGAACAAGCGATCGCCGGTTTTTCGTTTTTCTTTTTGAAACCAAGGGATGTCATTCAAATTATTACTGCTAAGGAAAGAGCTCATTCAGTTCTATAATGTAAGCGATAAAAGTTCGTGCTCGCTAATACTATTCAGAAGTAAAATGCGAAAATACGCCGACGTCGTGTTCGCGCTAACAGTGTCGCGATGTGTACCTCCTAGGCACGAGTTCTTGTACAACCAAGAGCATTTCGTTGAGCTAGGCTCACGTGCCTGTGCCTTTACTGCAGACATTTGTGAGATGGAGTAGAGGCCGAGATTGAACCATCTTACACCGCAGATTGGACGCATCTATTTCATGCTTTAAATGTCGTTTGCAATATTGCGACGTCGCGGTCTCCTGATTGGTCGACGCTGTGTCGTACCTTTAGTAATTACGCTGCAACTGTGGGGGAGTTTTCGGCGCTGGCGGCGACTTTTGCCCATTGTCCAAACTCTCCTAATATACAGCTCTGGTCAGCGCCATTCAGCGCGCCAACACGCATGTTCCCCTTCTCCAAAGATTATTTTCGTCATTCTTGTCCAGCTCGCTTACACATGTGCATTTAATTGCATTATAATAATAATGTATATGCTTTCGCATTCACAACTCATAAGAAATGCTTAGGTGTACCTCAAACTTTTTTTTTCTTCACCCTTCACGACGACTTCTATACTGCAGTTTTGAGCTTGCATCACCTCTGTAGGCATCATCTGTAGACTGCGCGACAGTTAGCTCAAACTTGACACCTGCAGTTTTTAAAGGGGTACAAAAACAAAAATTGAAATATTCAAATTTCAATTGGAAATGAATCAAGCACGCTGCATGACGTGTAATAACCGTAATGATAATCGCACGTTTGTATTTTGAACGACTGGTTCCAAACGGTGCACTCGAGCAAGCGCTCGAAGAGAAGCGAACGGAGAGCGCAATGAGTCATGGGATATCCGAGGAAAACAAAAACAGAAAGATTCCCTCCATTCGTGACGTAGCAAGGCTAAAGTGACCAGACGTCCCGATTTAGGCGGGACAGGTCCCGCTGTCCCACCAGCGTGCTTGTGGGACGCCGTTTTGTCCCGCTTTTGCTCCTCGAACCGCGGATAGATGAAAGATTCGGTTAAACGAAAAAATCGCACCGGTGAGAGGGTGCTTCCTCTGATCAAGGAACAAGATATGCTCGACAGAGAAGATGCTGAAGGTTAATTGGCGTATGACATGTGAACAGTACTATGGACCATAGTACACACAAAAAAAAAAAAAATACATTGATACTAAAGGAATATTCCAACCAAATGTATTAGATAGCTGCAAGCCACACAGTACGCAAACTGCAAGAAAAAGAAATGCACACGGTGTATACGAACTAATGAAAGGCACGATTTGTTACCGAAATTTAAACTTTTTCAAGTCTCGCAGCACAATACCTCCCCCCCCCCCCCCTCCCCTCCCCCCCCTCCCCTTCCCTTCCCTTCCCTTCCCTTCCCTCCCCCCCCCCCCCCCCCCCGATACGCGTCCCGCTTTGGGGCCCGAGGAATATGGTCACTTTAAGCAAGGCTGGCGTGGCTGAGGTTTGCCGTTGGTGGCGTTGTCAATAGCGTCAGCGCGTTACAACCGAGCCGTTCGAACTACCCGTGGGGTGACGAGCGTGTGGTTGGCTCAAAGAGCATGTAGCCTCCACAACACTGTCAGCTTAGGGCTGAAGGGCGGGTGGGGGAAAGCAACTTTTATCAGAGTTTTGAGCGACGGGCTAATCTTTTAGGGGGACAATGGCTGTGTTCGGGTACACAAACGAGGGTCCGAGAAAGAGGGGAGTCCCTCCTTTCGGTCTTCTTGGATTGTTTGGTACAATGCGCGATTTGTAAGTTGAGGAGGAAAGCTAAGGAAAATGTCGAAATTCCAAAGAGCGGCGCTGCTCCGATGGAACTTGCTACGTCATGACTACGTAGCAAGTTCACTACTGTTGCTAGATTACCTCCCAAATAGGCTCCACATGTATCCACCAGGTGCACATTGAAAGATTGTTTAATTAGCTTTAAAATTAGTTTGCTTGTGCCTTTCAAGGAAAGACTGGTATTTTTGAGGGTATGCTGCAACAGGCAACACATTAAAGCTAAAAAAAATTAGCACTGGAATTTCGTTTCCGTGCCCCTTTAAGTTTGCTCAAAACAGGGTACTGGCAAGCACAAAGTTTATAATTTTGGTTCATGCCACAGGTGAATGCTTACCAACACACCAGAAGTAATGTGTTGCTTACCAACACACCAGAAGTAGCTCCACAAAACAAGCTACGCTTCAGAGTAACGACACTTACCCATCTTGTGCCTTAAAAATCACGGTTGCCAGTTATCTGAAGCTTTACCTGAAATCACAGGAAACGGTTTTCCATCCTCCACGAATGTTTAAACAGTTTACGAAAGAGCAAAGCTATATTTCATGAGCTTCTAACACTGAACCTAACGCTGAAGAAGTCACACTTTTGAATAATGACGATCGGCTGTTACGCCTGCTCTGTACATGCACCACAATGGCGGCGCCCACAATATTGGTAACAGAGTGTCAATACCTTAAGCGTAGCTCATTTAGTGGCCCTAACCAGAAGTATTGATGGCAGTTAAACTTTGAAAGAAAGGAATCACAATCGCTTGTTTGTACTAATAGCATCACGCAGTGTATATTTCTAAAAAAGAAAACAGACAAATTTTCTAAAAAAAAAACAAGACCTGTATTGCATCCAAACTCTCATACATATCCACTTCGAGAGAAACACAATTTTGTCTTAACAAGGACATTTTGCCAATCCTACATACTCCACAGTCATATATGCAAGTTTTTCTGTTATGTTTTCTGATACAACACACCAAGAGACTGAAAACTAAAAGGGGGCTAAACAGAAGAGACCAGTTGCATCTCATTGTCAAGCAGCCATGGCACCGCACACCTGAATTCTGCATCGTCATCTCTCTATGAATCGTCTGCTAGCGGCGCAGTGAAATTGCGGAGTGGTGTTGATGGTACGGTACAAGTAACGAAACATCAGTGTGTGGGCCCCAAGCATACCAACAAACTGTGAGGTGGTGAGTTGCATCCCATTGCCAAGTAGCCATGGCACCGCACACCTGAATTCTGCATCGTCATCACTCTATGAATCGTCTGCTAGCGGTGCAGTGAAGTTGCGGAGTGGTGTTGATGGTACGGTACAATTAACGGAACATCCGAGTGTGGGCCCCAAGCATACCAACAAACTCTGAGGTGGTGACATGTCTGGTCATCTTTTTTTTTTTTTTTTCGAAATGGAAACTATTACCCAAACACATACAAAATAAAGAGCTATATGTTTCAATCGGCACAGCATTAGGAATAATACAAGGCTCAAAAACCGAAACGGTCCCCAGACATCGGATCCACGCACAAATAACTGGTAGTTCAAAACACAATGAAGAACAGAGGATCTGCAAATAGCAATCTGTCTGAAACTTGCCTGAAGGGGAACACACTAGCCTAACATAGCTTACATGCACTGCAGCTACCTTCAGCAGAAAGAAAATTACATCTAGTGAGGGTTACGAAAAAGAAAAAGCAGAAATTGCACAAGACTTCAGTGGAGGAACGGGACACGTTGTCATAAGGTTCGAATCGCCATGCCACGAAGTTCGACCTCTGAGGAGCAAAGAAACGAAATGCAGAAAATCCCACGGAGGCAAGGAATCATAAACTGAACAAATTTGCAGCTGCAATTTTCCTCGCAAGAACACTACTACAAGCTGTAACTACTAAACAGTTCAAGATAACACAATAACATTTTTTTTGTTGTCATCCCACAGTCTACTCTTAGAGAGCCGACAGAGTTGGGAAAACCTTTTTTTGTCTGGCTGCTGCAGGATAACCAAAAGGGCAAATCCAAGGCTGGCCATTACACAACAGCACATTGAAGTAAGCCAGCACTAGCACTCGCCATGTAATCAGTCAGTTCAAAAGATCCGAGCGATCCAACTGCTACAAGCAGTGTTCGGTGGTCTGTCCAGTGCCCAAAATACTAAGATTTAACAGGGAATAATATAATCATCATCATCAAGCAAAAGTAGGAACAGACCTTACCCTAAACCAAAAATAAAGCAAGTACATGCACAATCCTGAAACATGGTCTGCATCAGCATTGCCTGGTGAAGCAGTTACGTCAGATCAAAGCACTGCAGCTTCCCCAAGGCAGGAAAAAGTGTTCTGGAACTATCGTTTTCAGAGCCAACGCCGCTGCAGCCATGGTCATGGATCAGATCAAACCACTCGGAATTGAAAACGGCAAAAACACACTGCAGCAAATGAACTGTTAGAAGTGGAAACTCGCCAGACTGCGAGGCTCGGCGATTTCCTCAAAGGGACGTCGCATCCTCGGTGCCTTCCGCAAGCCGTAGCAGATTTTGCCCGTCGCTTCACGGAACCTACACCTTCCGGGTACAAAGCCAAATACAAGTGGGACCACTTCCGCAACCCAGATGCATGAAATCGGCTCGGCGGGAGACAAAACCTTTCGTATGGAGTAAGAAAACAACCAGAAGAATTGAGGTGTGAAGCGAGTCTCGACATGTCGGGAACAATGCCGGTTGGCCCGAGGGTGGTCCTCTTTGTGGCGTTCAAGTCAAGAAAAAGGGGCTGGGGCAAGGAAACAAAAGCGCCCCGCCTCTTTTGGCCGGAGCCTTGCCCCCACGGTCGATATAACCCTCTGTTTATAGTCCTGTAACTCCGCGGGCGCTGGTAGGCAACGCCCTGCGGATTCGTGAGGTAGTGACAATAGCGCGGCACGAGGAAACTATGTCCACGCAAAACCGCGTTTAACAGTCAATCAAGGTTAAAAAAAAAAAGCGAAAAAAAAACCTTGCAAAAGGAGTTTTGTGTGGCATTCCAGTATTGAGGGAGGGGTACCAGGGACTACCAGGTAAACAACAAAAAACAACCAAATGCTCATTAACTTCTGCGCCAAGCTCTCAATAGGGTAGAGGTAGGGGCTCCCAGCTTTACAGCCGCCGTTACGAGGTTAGACCTGTTTTTGTCCTGTTGGCTGGCAATGAATAAAGAGCATGTTGGAAGTGACACAAACACGGGTGACGGCGCAAACCCAGCTGAATCGCGGGTCCAGAGAAGCTTTTGTGTTGAAATACGACACATCGTCAAAATGGTCCTCAGGAAAGAAAAAAAAAGTGTGGACTCTTGCAAATGGGGCAGTAGTACTGTGGAACTTGTCGTGAAGAGGGGACAGCATTTTTTTTTCTTTTCTTCAGTTTCGTTCGGTAAGTATGCAACAATGATTTTGTGAGAGATAACGACAAACTTATTGGAGAAACTTGCAACATCTTCATCTTCTTCATTATCATCTCGGCGATGCAACGCACACAGCCTACTACTCAGACAACGTAAAGAAAGCGACAGTGGGGGCTCCGAGTCTGACCGCAGAAATTGATATTTTTACCCGTTGTTTTGTGCAGTCGCCAGTTTTCGTCGTTTCTAACGAAGCTGTCTCTCCTTCCTTCAACAAACTTCTCTCAATCTTTTCCAGGTCATGGTAAAAAAAAAAAAAAGAAATTGCTGTGGCAAAAGTCGCCACTCTTGTCATAAGACAAAAAAAAAAAAAGTTTCTCCAACAAGTATCAAAAATAAAAACTCTCGCTCAGTAACATTTACAATAAAAAAAAAAAGACACTCTGTATACATACAGTGGTCAACAATTTGTGTTGCTTTGCCCTCAACTTCACTCGCAGTCAAGTACGCCCACATTCGTTTGCAAACGACACTTGGTAGGCGTCCGCTCGTCCCAAACTAGCATCCCACAAAGCCGGAGTCATCCCGCAATTGCCGCGGCAGACCCTCACCCGCCCTTCAAAAACGCCAGATCACTCTCGCAACCTCCCGAGGTCGCGCATTGCATAGCCAGAGCTCCAGCCCGCACGGAACATTCCCCTTCCTTCCAGACTGAAGCAGTGAAAGCGGTGAGCATGAGTTCAAACCTACCAAAGTAACGTCACTCTGCCCGAGCAAACGACGGTAGAGAAGATAACCTGTCGAAACCGTTGGCCACCGCTTTTACGTCAGTTGAGGATTAAGGCGAACAAAGCGTGAGGACGTCGCATCTTTGCAAGCTTCGAGAATTTTCCCTCGACTTGCGCCCTTCTCCAAACGCGTTTCTCGCATTGCGGAATGTCTCGAGGCAGAAACGACGGCCGAGGAGACGAGCCTTGGACCGAGAGCAAATAGCTCCCTTTAGCCGAGTCGACTTTCTTTCTCCTCGGCGCTCGGACGCCAGCCAAGTACCTTCCTTCCCACCCACACGTCACCCCTCAACCCTCTCCCCCACACAGGAGCCTCTTAAACTCCCTCATCTTTTTTTTCTTTTGTTTCACTCAACCCACTTCTTACATATACATATATATATATATAGTATATATATCTTCCTCTCTTTCCCAAGAAAAAGCGACGCCCCGCCGCGTCGTCTCCCCCCCGCTTCCTGAGCCCAACCACCAACCTCCCCCCTCCCTTCCTCTGCGGCCCTTCGAGCATTTGAGAGGGCGGCAGAGGTTCACAATGTACAATGCTAGAACTTCGTCTTCTTTGGTGTCATCCGCCGCCTTTTCAAAGTCGCCAGAACCGGGGGCGCAGAGGAAGAGAATGGGGAGGGGGAGGGGGGGAGCGAGGGGAACCTTTCCTTGCATACGGTTGCAACGTGGCGGCAAGAAGGAACAGTCCAGTCAACCAACCCCCCCCACCGCCAGCCCCGGACGACTCCGACAACGTTCAGACGCAGCAAAAACAGGAGGAACCCGTCGACCACCCCCTCTCCAACAAAACAACCTGCCCCTACCGGAATTGTAAAAAGAGCATCTCAAGAGAGAGGGGGCACAAAACTGTGAGTGGAAGAGAAGTTCCTCGTGTAAAGTGCGCCTCCGCACGAGGGGAGGCGGTCGGGGAAGGGGACGACGCGGCGCCGAAGAGGGCGGACGGGGGTCCTCAGTTGGAGTCCTGGCTGCCCCCCTGGCTGTCGTGGGCTGCGCTGGGAGGGGAGGGGCGGCGGGCGGGGGGCCCGTTGTTGCCCCGGGGCTCCCCGGACACGTTCCTCCGGGGCCCATTGTTGTTGTTGCTCCGTGGGTGCATTGGGTAGGGCTGCTGGCCCGCCATCTGGTTGCGGCTCACCAGGGCACGGATCTGGCGCTGCGCTGCCTGCAACCGGAGGGCCACGCATCAACGGAACGTCCGCTCGGTTAGAGGTATTTCCGGGTTTGTTGTCGATGCCCGGGTGCTCGCCGAGACCCAAATCGCTTTGCGAAAGAAGGCTGACAAGGCCTGTGGTCTGTCGCAACTCAGGAACTGCACGAGGCGCTTCGCCCCCAAACTCCTACGGAAAATCGGCATCTCTACACCACTTGGTATAAATGCATCCTTTTTCTCAAACACATCATGGATAGGAAGGGAAATCTGTCAAAACCTGAATCTCAACATTTGCCCGCCCCGCCCCCGCCCCCCCCCCTTCCCCCACAAAGAAAAAGCCCTTTGCTCTTGGATGCATTGTATGGAACACAATGAGCAGAGCCTCTGTTCTTACATTGCAGCAGCATTGTCATAGCCTGAAATAATTTGAGGCTATGACAATAAGTCATAGCCTAAAATTATTTGAGTCTAAAGTGGAAATTGAGAACCTACCGTATTTACTCGAATATACCGCGCCCTAGATTGTAACGTGCAGCCACTTTTCGAAGTCAAAAAAAAACAACCCAAAATGACCGCATCTCCACGTGGTGAATGATGTTGATTGGGGCGAAGCTCTGGTGGTGCTTGTCTGCGTAGACGCTGAGCCGCAGCATGCCGAGCCTTTCGTTCGTTTTCATCCATGCCAGAAAGAGAATGTATAGTATGAAATGTGGTTATGTACGCATTTGAGCACTTGACCGCAGCGCCCTCTCGTCTATAGACGTTGAGCCAATGCATGGAAAGTTTAACGCGATTATATACGCATTTGACCGCAGCGCCCTCTCCTGTAGAGACGTTGAGCGGCTACATGCAACGTTTCATTTATGACATCCCTCTCTTGAGTTACTACCACATCTCGGAGCCCCCTACTCGCTCCGCAGTCATGGCCGAGTAAATAAGGCGATGGACTAGAAATCCATTGGGGTCTCCCCGCACAGGTTTGAATCCTGTTGACTGCGCAAACATTTATTTTCTTTTTTTTTTCTTTTTTGCCCTACACGAGCACGTGAGCACGAGCACCAGCAAGATCGATGTGAGCACGAACGCCGGACGGACAAGGCCTAAGGAGCTTCGCCCTAAAAAAAAAATGTGATGACCTCGATTGTTACGCGTACCAGATTTTGTAGATTCGATACATAAATGAAACTTTTTCTCACTTGGAACAACAAAGTTTCATTACAAATGCTTTAATCTTGCGATGAAATGAACGGCGCTGTCTCTCGCCGGCAAGGTCGTCATCACGACGCCGGTCCGGGGCAGCGCCCGTGGGGCGATATGCATCACTCGTCATCGCTGTCAGACGACATATTCTGCAAGCGGGTCTTCTATTTCGGGGAATCAGCCCTTCTTCGATCCACTGAATCCCTTCCGCGTCGACTTGCTGGCCAAAATCCTTTCTTTCTGCTTGCGCCAGTCCCACACGCAAGTTTCTGGAACACTAAATGCACGTGATGCGGCCCGATTTCTATCGCTATCCGCGCACAATATCGCTTTTCTTTTGAATCCAGCATCATGGTGAACGCGGCATGTCTTTGCAGTGGGAACTTCCATGTTGATACGAACGCAAGAAACACACAACTACGCTAAGCGCTGGCTACGCTCCAAGCCTCTCGGTCTCAGCGTGTAACGGAGCGGCTATTTTGAAATGTCGATGGCAATATGGTAGCGCAGTTTTGGGTCACACTCGATTCTAGCATGCACGGATGTTTGAACCTATTTTCCCGGAAAAAAGGTGCGCGTTAGGTTCGAGTAAATACGGTATTGCATTCAAACTGAAAAATAGTCTGAAGTGAAAGTGCAGCAGTGTGGACTAAAATGTTTGACTGGTGTCACGAGCCTTTCTTATTGCATGCTGTCAGAAAGCCAGAGTTACCACGAGCAGTGTCAATATTTCTATGGAGTGTGTGGTACTTACATGCAAGAAACCTAAACAAAAGAAATAACAAGCCGCTGTCAAACGGGTGATTGAATTTGCTGCACTTGCTTCCACCGGTTTGCCAAAAACTATCTGACACCAATTTATCTGTTTTTTGTAAAGACCTAACACAAGAGGTGCCCTAGTTCTGGATCGGTCCTGCTGCGTGTCATTCTAAGAAAGGCAACAGAAGACCACTGACCTGCGAACTGAAAAACTCTCCCAAGATGTGAACGGGCGTCTCTTCAGAGTTTGCGTTCTGGCTCTCGTCGGGGAGCTTGATCAGTGCACGAGTGAGCCTCTGCAGTTCTCGCACCTGCAACCGCAGACAGCCACACAACGTGGCGGGACTTTCTCACGTGCCGGCTTACCTGCTCAGCTCACCAAGTCACTCCCATTTCCCATTCTGTCTTACCATACGAGCAAGTTTCAGACCAAGTTGACTTGAGAAACGAATGTGAAGATAGACGGTCACATTCGAGTTACCCACAGACAATATGCTAGCGAGCCTCATGCGGCTCGTGGCTCCCCGCAAGATCAAAAGGAAAGACATATGGGGAGAGAGGCCACTAGCATTTTGTCAGCGTCTTACGCACATCGGACAAGGTTCCTGTTTTACGAACGTGGACTCGCAATGAAAAAAACATACTGAGCAATTGCATTACCAGTTTGAATTTGCGGTGGGCACCAAATAAAAGAAAATAATTTTTTAACTGAAATGCCCCTTTTTAGTGTGCCTATCCACTTGATATGGTTCCTTTCTACGGGTCCTTGAATGTGTCCATCTGACCAAACCTGCTACAGATGTTCACCCAATTGTAAGCAGAGATTTTGGACGCTCTCATCCTTAATAATTTTGTAAAAATTAATTATTTTGTTTTATTTTTTATTTTTGCATACTATGCAACCAAAACATTGTGAACATTGAACATGTCAGTCAATAGTCCTACTGTGCTGGCCGAATTGCCAGCAGGTCTCATCAATACCTTGGTGTTCACGTAACTTCTAACATGTCATGGAAGACTCTTACTACTAACCACATTATTGCCAACACCGAGTCTGCGCTTGGGTATCTAAACAAAATTACACCTTGGCCTCTGTCATTAAAACAACTTCTGTATAAAACTCTTGTTCGATCAAAAGCTTGAATATGCAGCATAAATCCAGGATCCCGGCCATACGACACTGGTGATTAACCTTGAAGCTCTGCAAAATCGCGGGGCACATTTTGCGTGTTGTAACCATCGTCGCACCGGTAGCGTCTCGTCTGTGAAAACCGCTTTATCTCTTACTCCCCTTACGTCGTAAAATATCTCATTTAGGCCTTTTCTACAAAATTCATCCTTATAATGCTTCACTAATGAGTAAACTAGTCCTTGACCTCTCCCACATTTCCGCACGAGTCAATCATAATTTTAAAGTCAACATACCTTATTGTCAAACGACTTCTTTATACCAAAAATGTTGTCCGATTGCAACCGCCTTCTAGCACCTCTGGCAAGCATACGATCCACTCAACTATTTAGAGGCATTAAAGGGAAACTTAGGCGGTTCTGCATTTGTGGAAAACCGCTTAAATCGTTTTCGTTTAGCCTCTAAGGTCACAAATATCGAGATTATTTTTCGATTTGGTGCACGGAAGCTGCAGAAAATCATTTTCGAAGTACCGTCAAACCCCCCGCTCCTTCCTGCAGCGTGACATAGGTAGCATCCAAAATTTTCAGAATCTCCACTCTCGTGCATCTTCAGCACCTATCATAGCTACGCATGAGCGGTCTTGCTATTTTACAAAAAAAGGTAAAAGAAAGATGTCACAACTGTTACAGTAGGCTCGCGATAATTCAAACTCGGTATCTCATACTTCCGGTTAATTCAAACTAATTTCAAAATTTTGGTTCTCCTGCTATGCTTTCGATGCATTCATAAGCCGCTTAATTCAAACAGCGTTTTCACGTAATTCATACTTTTTTGTTCCCGTGGCCCCGTTGAGTGAGCTTCTTTACGAGCACCGGTGCACTGCAGGGAGGCAACAACTGCAGTGCTTGCCTCAGCGGGTGTTGCTTCTCCGCCGAGCACTGGCACTCGGTGAGAAGCGCACTCAACGGGGCTCAACCAGGGCACCACGAGCCATGAAAACGGGCACCACACCAAAATTTCCGCACCAACTTGCGCGGACGCTGTGACATGGCGCCATGGCATGGGTCCACGTCACAGTGTTTTTAGTGCGCCATTTTCCGGGGATGTGACGTTTAGTTACGCTGTTCTCTGGAGCATGCTTTTGGACAAGCGTTTTAGGCGCAGACGGCAGCAGACCATCCGTGAGTACTTCGGACAATAAAAGGAAGTTTAATTTTAACAGTTTTTCTGTCATTTTTTTTAATTCAATCATTCGGATAATTTGACCAAATTTCAAGGTCCCCTCAAAGTCGAATAAACGAAAGCTAACTGTACTCTAGAATTACCCTCTAACTTGTTTTTCTTTTTTTTTCAAGAATTTTTTTGCTTTTTTTTAACTAGAATAATTACCTTTGCTAACATGCCATACTAATTATTTTTAACAAAATTGCTTACATTGTGTTCTTATTGCGTTAATTTTTTCAGTGTGAATTTGTATGCCCTCTCCTCTGTAATGCCCATGGGTCCTGAGGGTATTTAAATAAATAAACAACTCCAGGGCAATTCGGACAGTTTAACACCCAGAGTCTCAAAGGCACCAAACACCAGGCACTCACGGTCTGTCCCCCCTTGCCGATGATCCTCCCCACTTGGTTAGAAGGCACAAAGATTTCCACCCTCAGAGTCCCGTCCTGGGAGCCGGCACAGCCCTCGTAGCACACCTTGTTGAAGATCATGCCCTGGGCCTGAAAGCAGTGCACGGCACTCTTTGACCTCTCACACGCTGACTGGGAGCCAGCCCAGACAAATGGGTGGTACCAGAAGAAGAACAGCGGTGTTTGCAAAACTTCACAGTAGTCCACGAGAATGAGCTTGCCTCCTTGACAAGCAAGCAAGTAGATGTGCCAAACAACACAACATTCTAAAACCAGTGCCCAAAGCAACTGTTTTTCTTCTCCTGGCACTGGTTCGAGTGCAGTGCAACGCGCACCATGATTCCACATTGGCTAATGCGCATGGCATAGTCGCGGAAACCAGAGAGCCACCCACCCTCCACTGGGACTCTGGTGTTCCCACGATGGTCACTTTCCTCTCGTGGGCATCGGCTGGGTCATCCCGATTCGGCTGGGCAACCTGAGGGTTGACACGAACAATATTATATCGGTAATCAATTTCTCGCGCCACAAAGGATCCAAGAATTCACTAAGAGTACCACCGAGGATTCCCTAAAGCAGTGGCCCGCGAGGCAGTATCATGTGACCCCCAGCACCCCAGCGCCCCCCCCCCCCCCCCCCCCCCCCCAAACGCGGTTAGCTAAAAAAAAAAAAAAAAAAAGATAAAGTTGACTAATTCGCTGCCCGTCGCCCGCCTTTTCAAAGAGCTTGCTGATCATGATTGGGTGTGGGAGTTGGCACTCCTGGCTGACGTTCCTCAGCACCTAAATGACCTGAATGTAAAATTACGAGGGAAGGGGAAACTCGTGTCTGGGATGCTCGCAGACGTGAGAGCTATCGAGATGCAGCTCAGTCTCTTCCAAAACCAAGCTAGAGAGTCTAATTTTCTATCATTTTCCTTGCTGCAAGATTTTTGCAGCCAAGACAGCAACGCCACTTCCCATGGAAAGACTGCGAAATCTTGCGCGAATTGAAAAGTGAATCTGAAGTTAGGTTTGCGGACTTTACGAAGCCTTCGAGCGACATTTGTTTATTTCAAAATCCATTTAATGCAGGTCTTAGTCAGGTTCGAGTGTGTTACCAGATAGAGCTGGCCGATCTGCAAACAGATAATGATTTGAAGAGCGCATCTGCAGCAAACGACCTTGTTACATTTTATGCTGGCCTTGCGGATTCCACGTTCATGAATCTTAAGAAACTCGCAGCCACAATGATTACAGTGTTCGGGAGCACATACGTCTGCGAGCAGACTTTTTCACGAATGAAGTGCATAAAATCCAACTTGCGCTCACGAATGACTGACGAGAACCTCCACAATGTTTTGTGACTCGCAGTTAGTAGCTTGAATGTGTAAGTCCGTAGTTTGGCGAGCACAGTTCAACCTGAGAAGTCTCACTGAGAGCAGTCTCTAGGTTTTCCTGGAAATGTTGCATCTCATGTCGTGTGTCGTGAAATAAAGAAACTGTTCATTTTCGATTTATGTACATGAATGTGAGTTCGTGCAAGTGCTTTTTTTATTTTTATTTTACCCCCCTAAGGGAATCTAGGGGCTTCTTAAAATTCTTAAAATCGCAATACTCCTCACCCCTACGATAGGCTAAACTTTCACACCTCTCTGCCTAATGTGCACCGTCGTTAAAAAAGCTCGTAGGCGCTTCACTGTAAGAGCGTCAAACAGAAGGAAGGGTTCCTCCGTCCTCGTTTGAGGTGATGGTGATTCCGAGTTCCCCGAGATCAAAACGTTCACCACGGTACTCGGGCAATACCTTTAACAAGACGAGACGGCACATTTTCCTTGTTCAGTGTCGTCGCCAGTGGATGCACGCAGCATCGCTTGGCACGCGTCCGCATCGCCGCGAGCGTGTTTGCCACACCTCACGAGTGCAACGCCGGCGCATGGCGACGCCAAGATGCACGCGTCTGCACCTTGCAGCACGCTCTCCTCAAGCTCGCGGATTTGCCGCTCGAGACTAGTCGGGAATCCACCGACGACAATGTAATACACAGGCACTGTCTCCTATGGAATGGCCGGGAGGCCTCTCGGTTGTACTGCCTCCAGTGCAAAGACACACGCCACCACTGACTACAGGTGGTGTCGGCTCGTCACGGCAAACCCGAAACCTTCCCCCACCTTGATGGACGCGCCCGACAGCATGATCATGTCGCGGATGCTGCTGCCACCGGTGCCGATCACCGCCCCGACCGCCACGTTGGGGATGTAGAGGTACACCAGCTCCCTCCCGTCTGGACCGGCGCCCCCCTGGTTGGGGTACACGAGGTGGCCCCCGCCCCCGTGGTGGGGGCCGCCGTAGCCCTGGTGGTGGGACGGGTAGTAGCCGCCCCGGGCATTCTGGTGCGGCTGCTGCGGGTGGTGCATGGGCTGGTGGTGCTGGTGGGGCTGGGGGCGCATGGGGGGCCCCGGCGGCGGGTAGGTCGACATCATGGTCATCGGGTGCAGGCCCGGGAACATGAGGGTCTGCGGGGCCAGGGCGGCCAGGTCGCTCTCGTAGCTCTGGCGAAGCTTGGCGCTGATCAGCTGCTCCGCCCGGCACACGCCCTCCGCCTTGCCCTTGACCGTGATGACCCGCTCCAGGTTCAAGGTGCTTGCGTCGTGCAAGCTGAGTCAAGAAAATAAAAACGTCAAAAGGAAAACATACTTTGGTGCAGCCACTTAACGATGGAACGCTAGTGTGATTCTGAACGTCTCGATTCAAACAGAAACAACGAAAGCTTCAAGAACTTAGCCCCAGCTCCTGCAAAGAGCAGCAAGGTTGTTCGGTATTCTATCCTACGGTGCCTCAATGTCCTCCTGTTTACAGTGATGCCATCCTCTCGAGAGAAACACAAGTAAAGAAATAACTGGCAACAAAGCGCCTCCGTAGTGCCGTCAATGCCAAGAACTCGTACCGGAAGACCAGCTTTTACGTGCTCCTGAGCAGAAGAGAAAAAAAGAGAACCGCAAATGGAACGGTCGGATGTTGTCGCCCTAAGCAAAGCGAACACGAAGGCGCCCATTCTACCCTATTTACTCGAGTTCAAGCCACACTACCCAAGAACAAAGCCAGTGTGCCTGCTTTCGGGATATCATTCGGACAGTTAATCACCGCGAGAGAACGATGTGAGAGGGAGACAGCCAGGATCCTCACACAGAATATCACGTGGCCCAATGTTATGGGGCCCGAAACGGCCAACGCTCACCTTGAGACGGTGATCTTGGTGTCGGTCTGCTCCATGATGCGCTTGATGGTGTTGCCGCTCTTGCCAATGATGCGACCAATCAGGTTGTTGTGGGCCAAGATCTTCAGAGGAACCTCCCTGCAGACGCAAGAACACAGGAGACCATGTCAGTAAAAGGGAAAGATGTACCAGACCTACCAGCTCCCTAGCTTGAAGATTCACAGTACCAGACTACTCTTTAGTGCATGGGTCATGTTTCCTATTTTTTTTTTCCGATAATTTCCGTCAATGCGTCTTGCACAATGGTGCGATTTACATGCATTCACCGTGCAAACCATAAGCCGTACCAACATTTAAGACAAGAAAGAAATGGCAGAGCATCTGCCAATGGCCTGCTCTTCTGGTGGTCTGAGGGCTGGTCTAGATCTGTTAGACGTCGCATTCCGGTACCTGCAGACCTCATAATTCATGCTTGGCACTGCTTCCTGGAGAAGTGACACTTGGCACATCAAAACACTTTTGCCGCAGTTTATATTTCTCCGTTAGATTCGTTGACGAAGATATTAAAACTGGTTCCCGCTTGTGCATATATCACAATGACTAAACACATATGCGTGCTTATCAAGTTAGTGTTGTGAGACTCATGTAACAACTGTTTTGTGAAAAGGACATTTACCATTTATAGGGGGGTGATGTCACTTATACAAGGATGCCACTTGTAGAATTTTGTTTTGACTCCTCAGGATAAAAAAAAAAAATAAAAAAAAAAAAAAACTTTTTTTGATTGTGCTTATAGGCTATCGACCACTGGTGATCGATGGTTTCCAAGCGCCGTCAAGAAATTAAATTTAGTGCCGAGGATTATGTTGCAAAATCTTGTGGATAGCCGAAGAACTGTAGTTTTGGTTTTAATGTAGATTTGAGCTTCATCACAAGCTGGTAAGCTGTCAGAAGTACTCCTGGAAATGGCGGTTGCACTTGTCTAACATAGTTGGCTGCTTGCACTGGTCTTTGTAAAAAAAAAAGATGCCCTTATTTACACAATTCAACTGTATTGTGGCATACTTTTTAGACCTCAAGAGCTCTGTGGACACTTCACAAATGTTATATGCATTGCTTAACAGATGGTTATCGGTAAGCGTCACTATAATTTCCAAAGCTGTTCTGAGCCAGTGTGCACATTTTATGTTCCCAACAACTTATTAATTTGACAAAAATGCTAAATATGATGGAACTGCAATCAAGGCCATGAGAAAGCCAAGGTAAAACAGAAAGAAAGCATTCTGGTGGGGATGTAAGGTGCACTATTGGTGTTTCACCAATAGAAGCATTTCTTCATTGAAAAGCACACGTTACAGGGGTTACCTCTCCAACGAACCAAAAACAGACATCAGAGTACACTAACTTTCACAAGTAATAGCCATGGGTGTGAGGCCCATTTTATATATTCAAAATTTTCATTTATTTGTCGCTTAATTTAACATAGCTGTAGATGTTTTGGCGTTTATATACATTCTTCATGTACATTGTATTTTCAAGAAATTAAATTTTTAAATCTTTTTTTCACATTATACTAGCCTCCGTTTCTTTTGAAAGAACAACTGACTGGCCACAATTTGATGATTCATATAGCCCCGTACATAATTTAGTTGGGAAAATAAAAGCGTTTTTAAGGATCCTTTGAAAATTGCTAGGTATTTCATTCGTGGTCAAGGAAGAGTTTAAAAAAATCATAAATCTATGTTTTAAATTTAAATTAGATTAAGTGATTTAAATTACTGTAGCTAGAAAATAGTGACCCCATATCACTAGATGTATTTTTACACATGGCACATTGAAAAATCTGTCCGATCACTAAAAACCATGCGGAAGAAAGAATTGCTGTAACCAAAAAGGACAGGTCAATTAGCAACCTTTTTTGACGTAGACCCAGCCATACCAAAGCCAAACCAGATTTTTTTTTTTCTAGTTAAAAAGGTTTATTTACTTTGTCTAGTGAAAAAGGTTTATTCACTTTTTATTTTGCATTCCGATCTGCTTGCAATACAATGTTACGTAACAGACAAAGTGTAAGGAAGAAAGAAAGTTCGCTCAGAAAAGCACTGCTGTTTGCACCTGTTCAGTCTGATCATCCTTGATGATCATGCTGAAGTCATCCTTGCTTGATGATTCTTTGATTTAAATACAAAACAAATGCACACAAAAAGCATAAAATGATAAACAAATGGTAGATAAAAAATATTTTCAGTATCACTTTTGTGGGAAAGCTTCGATTTAACCCACCATAGTAAAACTGGTCCAATTTAAATCACGATTTAAATCATCTGGGTTTTTATGCGCCGCCTTGCCCCTACAGATATGAGTATCCAGGTAAAGCTTTCCATTCTTACGAGTCCACAACATATATACATTATAATTTAGAAAGAAACCCTTTCAGAAGCAATAGACTGGCAATCTGTAACTTCTTTTGAAAGGCTTTAAAGCAAAACAAAATGTAGTGACAAAAATTGGAACAATTAGTACCGTGACCCCTTTAAAAAGGTCAGCTTTCCTGCAGTACAGTTGCATCATGGTCTAAAACCCCACTCCTTCCGCCATCCTGCACTCAGGCCCCACATTATATTACTGACTTCTAAACCAGCATAGCTCAAATATATATATATATAAAAGACTTCTTGACAATTAAAGTAACTAGAAATCGTCTATCCATAATATCTAAAAACACTTTAGGTTGCTTTTTTAGTATAAACTTGGCCGAACATAGCATGCAGGTATCTTAACAACAACAGGTGACAAAACACCAATGCAACACACTATCACATCTATCAAACTGACTGAAATTTAATTTGAGTTCCTTACCCCCTGTTGGTGTTGCTAGCTTCCTGTTGCATCACCTCCAGGATTTTTTGGCAGGCGGTTGAGCAGTTTTCAGGGTTACCGTATATAGTGATTACCTGTAAAGGAGCAAACAGAAATAAGCTCAAACATTAAACAAAAAAAAATTATAAAAAAAACCACAAAAAAAAAAAAAAAAAAAAAACTACCACCACTTTTTTACATTCACAAGGTGCTTTCTGAGAACTAGCTGCAACATCAAGGCAAAACTGCTCAAGAATGAGACCTATGAAGACTAACATAGGAATGTTCCAATAAATGAATATCAGGACAGACCAAAAAACACAGGTTAGAGAATAACACAGGCTCCTTCTTAACACTACGGTATTTCCCAAACTTAACTTCATTATGAACAACACAGGGCATGGAAATGGTTCACGAAGGACATACTTTTTCCAGGGAGCCCGCATTCTCCTTCCGGTGGACGTCAACCCTGTTGAACAGACGTGCATGTCACTTCAACATCGAGCAATGCGTACATCAGAAAACTAACGGTTTACTCTTTTTGCAAAAGCATGGGCCCAACCAACCACTGCAATTCACGGATGATGCAAACTAAAGATGGAGTAGAAACATTTCTTTCAAATAAATTCTATGTGCGCAGCAACACTAAGCACGATGCCTCACTTGCCCAGAATTCAGCAGAGATGTGTGATCTCCATTGAATTCTGGGCAAGTGAGGCATCGTGCTTAGTAGTGTTGCCGCACACATAAAATTAAACACTTTTGAAACCCCATCACAAAGTTATTAACGTAAAGGTGGCACAGGTACATTCCGGGTCATTTTATAATAATCTTCCCCGCCATAAGAAAAGTTTCTGACAAATCTTCAAAACAATGTTTCCTTCGAATCTAGTAATATGCCTGCGAATACAAACGTACGGCAAAGAAAATACACTCAAGCTCAATGAGCAGTAGGACAGAAAAGTAGCAAAATTGAGCAGTCCCCCAACGGATAGCTGAAAGAGAGGAGACGGTTGCAAGGCATGTTTACCTGGCCCTCGACTGCTGAGTGATCTGGCGGATGGTGCCACCCGCCCGACCAATGATGGCACCGACCATGTCGCTCAGAACCAGGATCCTGCGCCCCGAAAAATGCCCTCATTTAAGAGGACGCAGGCCAAGGGACTGCCAACAGATCCCAGCAAGTTTTAAACCACACGGATCAAAGCAAGAGCTGGTGAAAAGAAGAACCGCACCCAATCGCAACTGAACCTCCAATTTAAAGTAAATTACCTAAATGTTGGGAGAAGCTGAAAACCCACCGCAACATGACCAAACGCCGTTCAGGTGGGCACCCGAACAAGCGATTGTTGAGGACAGTTTCAGAAGGTATACCAAGTTAACGGAGAAGCGTAGCTGCTCAAGATTTTGCTACAGCTTTGGGCTGACCAGCTTGCGTACGATTAGGTTTCGGAGACTTGAACTGCTCGGCTTTTCAGAGGCGTTCATAACTCGAGCACTTTGTAAATTGAAAGCGAGGTTCAAAGCTAGACATGGAGCTAGTTCGATTTCAAGTACGAGCATTTATAAAGCCACCTTCTGGTCACAACAGCGTGTCACTTCAAATGCCATGTTTTATATTTACAGAAAAACCTGCATTGCCTTCAGGCATTATAGCAAATTATGAATACATAATTTGGTTTTTGTTTTCTTTTAGGAGCACAAGTAATACAAAGATGCACTAGATTTCTATGAAGTATGTAACATAATATGGAAAAAAAAAGACATTACTGGGCACCAGAGAACATCTAAAAAATTTGCCATCAACAGATCTATTGGCAATCTATTCCACTCTTCTATGGTTTTTGGGGAAAAAAGAATAAGCGGAAGTATCAGTGTGACAAGGGTATGTCCGATTTTGTGTGGGTGATCTGTCCTTCCCAACATACAGAAAGGTTCCCGTAAAAAAAAAAAGTGTCTCTATTGACTTGTAGTTTATTGTTGTAGATATCACCTTAAAGCTAAATTTGATACCAGCCAGGCAGGCAGCGGAGATGCCAGTGCTGAAGACACGTTCAACCCTTCAGAGATAATTAGGATACGGAACGGAAGCTTCCCCATGGTTTATACAGCTTTCAGAACTTATGAATGACGGCTCCTCAGTCGCCCAAACTCGTATCCCTCAGCCACATGGGTTCACCAACTGAAGAACCAAGTTGGGTGGTAGCCTGCCCGCTTGCCCAACCCGGCTCTGGCTCACCAATGTCGGGACTCCCTTCACGCACGACTCTGGTGTGGGTGGAGCGGACACTCACCGCAGGGGAAAGTCCGAGGGCCTCAGCGGGGAGGGCTGGTTGCCTGAGTAGGAGAAGGGCCGGAACGGGGGACGTCCCCCGACCCGGGTGTTGTTGCGGCTGCCGTTGCGGTTGTTCGGGTCCATCGGGTAGTCTGCCTTCAGGGCAGAGCCCTCGTACTCGTAGTCTCGTAGCTGGGCTACGGCCCTGGCACGCAGAGGGAAAGGTCCCACAATGAGTCGCAAAAAGCAAAAATGCGGAGCTCGAAATTCGCCTCAAGTTGCGGGAAGGCTGGCGCAACTAAAGGTTCGCAGCGGTAGTGAACGGGAGGGGCGCAACCCTCGAGTGCCTACTCTTTACGCGAGTGTAATTGTTCTAGTCGAGCGCAGTGAAGGGCTGTTTAAACAGGATTCTTCACGCACGCGTGAAGCGACACTTCTCTGCCATGTGAAGTGCAACGATCCACTTTCGTACGTCTTCTTTTGTCAAGGGGAATGCTTCCCCCTGGTTTGTCCGCTTGTGTCCTTCACAAAGGCCTGGAGCATGCTCATCCCGTGGGTTTGGACAGCCACTCACTATGCTCGAGTACCGAAAACGGGAGGTATGCGAGGGCACGGCAGAACGGATGGACAAGCAACAGGCATCACATCTGGCAGGTGGCGCGCAACGTCGAGTCTGAGGAGCACCGAACTCACAGAAAAGCGGTTGACGCGAGGAGGAAAGCCGTGACGTTTGCTCGGTGAGTGTCCAAACAGCAAACTGGCTGCCTGACTCCAACTTTCACTCCATATGGCGGAGAAGTGTTGCTGCCTCACGCATTCTGAAGTATCCTGTTTGGACACCCCTTAAGGTTTTTACTACTTGTGAATGGTATATACCAAAAATTACCGCAGAAGCGCCCACTTCATTCAAGCGCCTGCTATTAACGTGTTACAAACTTGGGAATTCTGCAAATTATACGTTAAGCCCCCGATTTGACAAGACAAGCGCCCATGTCTAGATTAATCCAGTTTTCACTGAAATTAGGGTGGGCGCTCCCCCGGTACGTAACGGTAGTAAAGTGTTTGTTACTGGTTAATACAATGTTTTCTATTCTTTGTGGGTCTTAAAGGGATACTTCAACTAAATATGAAATATACCTGTCGTGTTCAGAAAGAGGCTGAATATGATCCACGATATCTGTAAATGACTATCGCATGTTTGCATCTGGAGCCTGATGGCTTCCTGACATCCTAAATCTGAGTGACTACTATACACTCCGTGCAACGCGACCGGCGCGCCGCTGCGCGGCCGTTACCGAAAGTAGGCAGTGAGAGCCCCAGCAAAACGAAACCACGCCGTGTACATTGGTACGCATTGAAGTCGGAGCGGTGCGGTTGCGCTGGGTTGACAGCATGAACTGCTGCGTCGTTCAGTGCTCCAATACTTATGCGTCGTATCTCGTGGGGACGAAGTTTCACGGTTTTTCACCTCGCCGATGTTTTGTGGGACAGCGACAACGATGAACCCGTGCCGTACGACGCGAGAAATTTGGTCTCCCGATCATGTCTGCCACTGTCGGCACGGCTGACATTTTTTACACTGCCGCTTTGCGCTCTGCGTTTGTTTTCGTGCCAGTAACGAGCTCGAACTGAAATGCCATCCCACACTCGCGGGTATGCAGTGCGAATTTTGTTGAAGGAATGCCCTCCAAGGAAGTTTCGTCCCCATTGTACGTGTCGATGATATTTCCGGACCATGGCACGCAGTCTGTACTCCATGAAGAAAGATTCGGACGGTAAAAAAAGTGACAAATATGAATCTAAGGAAAACTACAATAAAACTTGGAATCAATGGACAATCGATGTTTGAGTATGGAAGTTTATGTGGTGTGCTTTCTTTTTTGATCAGCCTCCTTTTGTATGTGGAAACGCTGACACCCCGAGTCTTTTAGACAACAATTTTTTTTCTCGGCTTTAGAGCTACCTATCACAAAGTTGTTCGAACTGGAAGTACCGTCCACTGGTCCCTTTCTACCTGTAAAGTCTGCACCTCCCGGCCATGATGAGTGGTATTTTCTTGACAGCCTTTGACCGTCAAAACCGGTTCCCATTTAGTTAAGCCGCCCAAAAATATTTCCACCTGGTTAAACTATGCCACCTCTTTTAGGTATAATAAGTGTTTTGTTAAGTTACGGCTGTCCAAGTACCTGTGAGCCGAAAATGAGCACCTCGCACAACCAGACTACTACACAACAGCTTACCGCAGAAGCCTTTGACGGCCAAACCGTGTGAGGCTTGGTTTTCTCGGCTTTGAAGCCACTTTTCGTAAGGTTGTTTCACATGGAAGTACAGTGCACTAGTCCCTTCCTACCTGTAAAGTCTCCATCTCCCACGAGGGGTGGTATTCTCTTGACAGCCCTTTCATGGTCAAAACCGGTTACCATTGAGTTACGCCGCCCAAACCAAATTTCCACCTGGTTTCCCTATGCCACCTATTTTTTGGTATTATAACTGTTTTGTCAAGTTACGGTCATGTCCAGGAACCTCTGTGTCCAAATCTGCACTTCGCACAGCCCGATTATAACACAACATTTTGGATCCAATATTGGATATTCCTGACAGCTTTCTTACTTCATTCGTTAGAACCATAACTTTCACACCTGCTGTCTTATTAAAACTTGGCCCACTTAGTGCGCAAACTTAGTGAACATCTCACTCGCCTCCAAATATCATCGTTCCAGCAGTCCTACGTTTACAGCGACGAGCGAAACAAATTTCCCATTGAGAGCAATTATGTTGGCGGCCGTCTTGCTTTTCGGAAAATTGCTCAAACCCCTTTTTCGACCACAACTAAAGAAATTACCCCTAATGACTCAAACTCAATATATAAGAAGCGGAGAACAGCTAAATGCCTTTCTTAAATCTCTCCTAGCACTCATGAAACGTCACCCTCAACTTATCGGCTCAAAAAGCAAAAGTTCGGTCCGTGCGCGCTTCCGCCGCCACAGCTTCGCACGCGAAAAGGCGCCGCAGGCTGCTGAGTGCGCCTCACTGTCGAACGCCAGCTCCTCCGCTAGCGGCACTACGCGCGTTTTTCAAAGCGCCCCCTATAGTTCCCGCACGGAGCGTATAATGATCCCGGTAGCCGCTACACGTTCGGTCATGAGAAGTTAATAACCGATTAAAAAAAATGTTCATAACGTTTTTCAGAAAGTAATGCGTGATTGCGGCACATTTGTAGAAACTTGATCGCATTCTACATCAATTACCAATAAGCCAGATAAGCTACAGGAATGCTTTATTATACATGAAAATATTACTGAAACCTCAAATGATTGGTTATATTGTTCAATGGAAAGCTTATACATGATGCAAGGTCAGTAAACAACTACATTTTATGACACACTTGGTCATTTTCACGCATAGAAACTTTTACTTGTAGTTTATCCTCATTTCCAGGTTACTTAACTTGACATATGTACTCTGCCTAGTTTCACTAATATGATAAATGTGCCGTGCACATTGCAACGAACATTTGCATCAAGAACTATGGTGATTCCCACCCAACTTAATTCCCTGACTTTATATTTAGCAAAAAAATAAAAAGAAAGAAAAGTTACCACACCGACACACGAGGTAACAGCATCCAAGATGCTTTGCAGCAACTATGCATGGGCACCGCCATAACAGACCTTTAGTTTTTTTTTTCTTTTTTTGCAGCAACTATGCATGAGCACCGCCATAACAGACCTTTAGTTGTTGTTTTTCCTCTTATTTTGATCACTTTGCTCTATCACTAGCACAGCAAGACAGGTTACTTCCATTTTAGATCCAACTGTGTCCTTCTCCCCAGCATCATTCTTTGTGGAGGCTCGTCAAAGCCCGCTATAGTGGATTGGTATTTTGGTGAGACAGGAGAAGGTCAGCAATGGCGGCTGTAATCTACCGCATGTGCAAAGCGTTTATACCAAAGACAAGGCTAATAAAGATATTTAATGCAAAATTATTAGGAACGTGATTCAGGTCATCACTGCATGAATGACAGTGATATCAGCCACTAGCAACCACTCACTAGATGACCTATAACAGAGATCACTGATACTCTGAAAAGAATTATACACACACAAAAAAAGGAAAACATCTCTAAAAAAAAAAAAAAAGATTAAAAACCAGTTTTACGATGGAAAACAAAACAAAAAACAACACAGTTGTAACAAGTCAAGCAATGCAAGCACAGAACAAAAAGAAGAAAGTATACATACTGCTGTGCCTGATCTGGACTCTCATAAGTTACTTGTACTCGATAGGTCACACTGTCTGGCTTCGAAGGAACTGAGACAAAAAGAAAAGAAAAACGGGTGCAAAGAAAGACAAAAAGGAAAGCAAACTTAAGATGGCATACATGCCCAAACCATCATGCACAGCAACACATCAACATATAGGTTTTCTCTAATGCTGACAAAGAAAATGCCCATATGAAAATGGAAAAAGTACAGTACTGGCAGGGAGACCACTCTGCTGCGCCTGAGACAGCTCTAACGTGACGCCCAGGACCGTTGCTTGGATGTGCTCTTTTTCCTGTGCCATGTGTGGTCTGGTGCAAGGCGCAAGAGTGCTTCGAATGCATGTACAGTCTCCGGCGATATGAAAGACCCACTGGGAGCGTGTGGCCGAGGCGGTGGCTGGCGGGGGCGCTGCGAGCGCTCTGGGCAGTTCCATTCCGCTTCAAGGGGAGGACGCTCACCCGGGACTCGGCACAAACTGATAAGCGCGCTTTGCTTTATCTGAGCTTGAGTGAGCATCCTCCCCTCGAAGCAGAATAAAATTGCCCGGAGCGCTCGAAGTGCCCCCGCCAGCCACCGCCTCGGCCACGCGCTCCCAGTGGGTCTTTCATATTGCCGGAGAGTGTACTCGACCAGTACCAGTAACCGAGACCCGTACATTTGCCTCAGCACCTCTTTTAATGCTCCACAAGTCTCCCGAAAAGTTGCCAAGTGCGTCCCCGCCAAATGACAAGGAAGGAATGGCGTAAAAAACCTTAAAAAAACGCCACCACCCATAGGCATCGACTACGGAAGGGGGGGGGGGCTCTGTTGTTTGAGTTTTTCCCGAAATTTCCAAAAACACAGTTCACACCCAGTTTGGGCCTACCACAAAAAATTTACTGTTACGACAAACTGTGTTGTACACCAGGCTGTCATAAAAAAAACATCCTTCTCTAGATATTATTGGCTGCCAAAAAAATCTGTTGTATGGAAGTTTTGTAGAGGTTTTGTGGTGGGTGAAAAGAGGATCAGCACTGTATCCAGTACTCAAGGGGTGCTGTGTTGAACCTGAGATCCACACTCCAGATTAACCAGAGGATTGTACCATGAGATGAAGTCTCTATGTTGCCCTTTTAACAGTTCTAAAGTTTTGTCCAAATGCTTCCCGAAGTTGTCTAGTATAAATGCAGCAGAATTTCCCAAAATGACAACACTGTTGAACAAAAATAGCCCTTTCAAGATAGAAATAAACAAGAACAAGTATGCAGCAGGCCAAAAAAACATAATTCTCGAGATCACATCGCTTATAGTACATTCAGGTAACACTGGGGCCACTTGACATTCCTAGAGTACCAAAGCTTGCACTTATCGTAAATCGACGGTGCAAGCACTGGGTGTGCGTCGAGAAGGATTTGCTCTACAACAATTTTTTTTGCAAGGTCACGTGTGTGTGTAACTATCATAAAATATATCCATTCTACATGCTAAAAAAAACAACAATGAAGCCAGAAAAACTTGTAGCAAAAACAATGTTTGTAGTTGGCGAGGTGCAACGCTTTAAGGCAAAGAAATGTGCAAACTTAACTTCCCTGACAATTTGTGTGCAGTCAGGCGTTTGGGCGCGAGAGATCGTGGCTAGGCCAACACCATCGGGACCACAGGCAACCAATCAATAACCTGCGTTTCCTTTCCTAAAGGAAACTATAAAATGCCATACTCTGGGGAAATTGAGTGACTCCAGCACTTGCATTTGTGCCCAGACATTCCTCCTCAAAGTCCCTCGGTTCATTGGCCAACTTTAGCACGCTCAGACTGCCTCCCTCGCGGCGGCTGCTCACCTTGGTCCAGATTCTGTATTGTGCCAAAGGTTGAGAGAAGCTCGTGGATGTCCTCCCTCTTCACATGGCTGGGAATGTTGCCCACTTGCACTCGGTTGCCACGACTGCTGCCAGGGAGAGCACAGAGAAGCAAGGAAAGACATTCCAGCCAAATGCTGTAACAACTAAAGATGCGTTTGGACAACAACCCGACATTCATGTTTCCTTATGCATGTATGTAAAGTAGTTCTAGAGAGCTGAAAGTTTGCACAGTACACCTACATCTGAAGTTAAATCTCCCCTGCAAATTTCATTCCGATCATACGAGCGGTTCAGAAGTTCAACCTCTAGCCCTTAAGAGTGGTAGTGCCTAGCATGTGGGGGAAAACGGCTCGAAACAATGACAGTTTCAGGACGATAACCGTTGTTACGGAGGAGAGAGGCGGGTGCGAAAGTAAGACAATGTAGCTATCGTGGTGCACAAAGAAAGAGTGAGAAGAGATCCGAGCCAAACCTGGGAAGAACCTGGATAATGGCTCGAGAAGTTTTTAGCGTTAGTCTTTCACATCACTGTATCAAAGCATAAGCACACTCTCTCCTCACCCAACTCCTAACACTTCCTAGAAACAACAAGGCTGGATTTTCTATTCGCGTCAATGGTTAGCTGGGACTTGTGTTCTCATTGACCAAACACCAGTCTCAGCCAAACGCTGATGCAGCCCTTGTGTCCAATTTGTGCCCTGCACTGACCCCCAGTAGGTGACGTGAAAAATTCAACACTAAGGGTTTGTTACCTATACTTTGTTTCAGCTTCGGTCCGAGCGCGGCCGATGTTATGAGCCGAAGGGCCAATCAAACAGCGAAAGAGGCACGTCATGGCGTGCTCTCTGCAGTTGATAGGACCAGCCGGTTTTCGCTGTCTCAGCGCGTGCTCCTCCGCCGGCTAGCCCTATCAAGCGCAGAGAGCACGCCATGACGCGCCGCTTTTTGCGCCGTTTGATTGGCCCTTCGGCTCATAACATCGGCCGCGCTCGGACCGAAGCTGAAACGAAGAATAGAGGCATTGCTCAAAGCACACTTGGTGCTGCCTTGGACACCAAGCCCGACTTCCTATAGACCGTTTTACTGAGAGAGGGCAAGAGAGAAAAATGGAAAGGGCTGCTGGCGCTTTCCACCTTACCGACCGGTTAGGAACCAGCAAAAGACCCAGAGGAACACCTTGAATGCATTTTTATTTTTCAAGTTTGGTTGTTTTCTTTGCAGTTTCCTCTTGTTTTATTTACTTCCAGATGCAATTAGAGCAAGCGGAATCAATGACAACAATACCCTGGTCATCGGGACGTCATTGTTCGATAACAGACTGCACGAATATTAAAAACCGAAAGCGCAGAATATTTTCAGAGGACATCTGTATCGTGCACAGGATGCGACAAGGCAACATGTGGCTGCAATGTCTTCAAACTCCATCGCTTTCCAAATGACCCAAAATCCTCCGGCGGCAGTGGGTTGCGTCGCTAAACTGAAAACACTTTTCCCCAATGCCAGCCTCTCAAATGTGCTCGGAACATTATGTGAATAGAGTGCGCAATGGAGGGATCGGTGGTCGAGTGGACTAGCACACACCTGCTTGGAGCACGTGGAGTGAAAGCTCGCGATGCAGAACCCAGGGATCCTAGGTCCAATCCCCACCCCTGCCCGTTTCGATCTGGATGAGCATCGTACCGGCGTGCGGTCGTGTACCACTACTGCGTGATGGACGTTAAAGACTCCAGGCTAGCGGTTGTACTGCACTGGCTAAATTGCTCATCTACACCTAAGAAACAAGTTGTTTGTTGAGGCAGATTAACTTCATGTTGTGTAAACAACCCTAACGGAGTGCACACCAAACTTAACGCTGTTCCGTACATAAACATAGGGTATGCTCGCAAGGTGCGTGCAAGTTTACTCATGATAATTGCTGTTTCAGTTTGTAACTTTTTGTAACTTAATTTATCTTAATGTTGATATTTTGCAGTGGTGACATTGCCTCGATTTTATCATCTACAACTCTAAGTTGAAGGCTCATTTCTGTCGCCGGGTGTGGCTCAAAATTATTGAAAAATTAGTTCTATCTGTTTTTCTGAATCGCTATCTCCTGCATGATGCTAGAGAGCCGTGAACATGTCTTGGCCGTCGCAACGCGACTGGAATCTTCTTGTTTTGAAAATCGGTACATAATGTAGCTGGAAAGAAAACTTCAATTTCTATTGCTGAAACATGTATGTGCACTAATTTCGAATCACTGAATCATTGACCGACTCGCTCCAGCAATGGGCCCATCTAGACTTTTCTCTTTTCAGTTCGCGAGAAAGGACACACTCGTCGACACGGGATCCTCAAATAACACTTTTATAAACATCATCATGCTGAAGGGAGCTGCCCTTGATCACTCCCTGCAATGATCTTATTTCGTGCATCCTTGTTCACATCATATTTCATTGTCATGAACGACACAAAACGACAAAAATATTATCGGTGTACTGCATCTAAAACAACAAAAACCTGGCAAGAAATTCAGGCACTGCCAACTGATACAATATTTTGAGTACTAGCGTCTGATTTCTACCGGTGGCGCGATCAGTGCTGCACTTCTCGGCATCGCTGCAGTGGCGGAAGCCATAATGAAGGCAAAAAACATTCCCAATGACTTGAAAAACGCCATCTGCGAACACACAAGAACGCAAGACGCGCCCTAAGTCGGATACCCGGCACTTTGGAGCACCCAACTAGCACACCCAACGCAGAAGTGGTGCCCCGAAGAGTACTTTTGCCAACAATTCTAACCACTCGGCCATGGCCTCCGAAATCTCGAAGTGCGCGAACACTTCTCTGGCCGTCCCATTCATGTGGAGGGGGGAAAAGAATCCAAGAAAAAGTCTTGTTATGTCGAGTTACTGCAGCTCCTACTTACAGATTTTTGTGTCTAGTGGTAGAACGGTGAACACACTCGGATGCGAGTTGTGATGCTTATTTAGTTTTAGATATTAATCTGGACATGTTGCGGCTAGCGCTACAAGCGCGGCTTTTGATATATTTGACTGCAATCTGTAGCGTGTATAAAACTAAGAAAAAAAAAAATTTTGTTCCTTACATAAAAAAATTTGCATTTCCCTAAATAAAAATGATCATGCTGTACTTTTTATATTTATTTCTCTGCACATTGTTTTACATAGCTTTTTGAGCCTGAGCATGAAGTTGGATACTATATAGCGCTGTCAATGGTTTCACTTTTTTTTTGCCATTTCTTTATAAAGTCGCAATGATTTCGCCATTTTTTTTTTGTAAACTTTGTGATTATTGTACGTACTGATTGAAAAGGTGGGGCATTATCTTGTAAATGTCTAGTTTTTGGCACATGCAGCACAGACCACCATATCCCATTATCCACCTTGTGGTGCAACTTACTTGATATGCAAACACACAATGGGATCTCAAGAAAGAGAACCATGGTTTATTTATAAATTCCAACCTTGTTCCAACCTGGTTTCTTCGTTATTCCAACTTTCAACCTAGTTTATATACAGATTCAAAACCTTAAATGTTGGAAGCATCCTTTTTTTTCCTGCTATTATTAGTTTGACTAACCTTTATAATGGAATTAAATGCATAGGTGCAAGCGAGCTGGAAATGAATGACATCATACTTGTCCAGATCACTTGCACCTTTGCATTTAATTGCATTATAATCATAACCTTAAATGGCAAGCCTTCCATCATTCAGGGGTGGAACTCATGAAATGTAACTGGGAGCGGCAATGGGAGCAGCTCAAACACCTGTTTTGGAGCAGGTTGGGAGCAGCTAAAACTACATTGTGGAGCAGGCTAGGAGCAGCTCAAATCAGTTTTCATTGCACTTCAGGCTTGTGTCTTAGACGAGCACGGGAGCAATTTCAATTGTGCACAGATGAACATAATTGTTAAGAACCTAGGTAGATGGCATAACAGTGTAACAGATGCGAAAACTTGAAACGTTGTGAGCCTTAATGAGAACCGAAAAGCAAGTATGATATATTTTTGAAGATAGTGTCCTTGATACGTTCCGAGTGGCTTTCAGCTGCTCAAAATGCAAACCAGCACTGCTTATAGCATAACCCACACGTGCTCGACATAGTAATTATATGTGCGAACCACGTGACGTGCGTAAGCAACGGACGTACAGTTGCGCGGAGGAACAGGGCCATAAATTTCAAGTTTATCCTATTGTACAACTCAACATCGAAGCAGCAAACTACGGTTAACGGAGTTATTGTAGCAGGAGCAAGGTTAAAATACGCCGAGCAGATCTACCGCTCGCGTGAAAGCTGCTGGCCGGCAGGGTTCCGGATCGGACCGCGTTTCCATTCTATCAAATCATGATTTATCTTGCAGGAATCCGGTTCCAACTTCTAACGATGAAGTACTAAAAGGAATCGTTTGCCCATTTGTTTTCAATTGGCTAACGTCCGGAGCCTCAGGCAGTCTGATGCTCAACGACTCGACCTCACCTCGACCGACTTGCTCAACCGCTTATGGTTGAAGAATAACGATCCAGTCACAGGTGACGTAGCTCTTGGAATCCGACCCCCCGAATTTTTTCGCGCGCTCCGACTCGGGATACACAGGGAAAATAAACAGAACAAAGGATTGCAAGGTCTACCAAGCTAAACGCGCTCACTGTTGCCAATCGAGTCGATAAAAACCAAAACCAAGACAAAATACAAATTTTTTCGTGCACATTATGAGATTTGGAGCATAATGGCGCGAGATATTGGCTGTGGCGCAGTTTCTGCAAAATGGCGCATGATGGCGCAGACAAATGCGTCTGGAGCAAAATGGCCCAAAATGGCGCAGCCGTTCCACCCCTGCCATTGTTGGTGTTAGACTGGCGGCAGCTGAAAAAACCTGTCTGCTTTACTGACGTTTAACCCCTGGTTAGCTCAGTTGGTACAGCACTCCAATCGCTTAGCTGGGTTTAGAGATTTGTGTTTGTCCTTTGTCCCTCTTGTTCCCCTTCTCCAGGGATTATTCTCATTGATTAATCTGCACGCCTAGGCAGCTTGTTAAGGGGGGACACTACCTGGGCGTGTCTACTTTTGAACTGCTCACTCAATTGGCGTGAAATTTGGAGGTGGTGTTTGTAGCCATATACAGAAGCAGGGCATGCAAAGTTTCAGCCCTGTGAACCAATTTTATGAGGTGCTGTACTCCAGAACGTAGCTTTGTATGGAATCTGCTCAATGAATTTATCGTTGAGAAATGGTGTTGATCACCACATATTTTTTTGGTGGAATGCATACAGGAATACTTGTTGCCGGCTGTAAAAAAGTAAAAAGGAAAAAAGAAAATAAAAGGTAAAAAAGGAAAAATATGCATTTTTCAAATAAAAAAGAAGTATGAAAGTTTATCTTTTCCTTTTTTTTTTTACATTTGCCAAGTTTTGCAAATTACAATTTTTCATAATAAAAGAACATGAAAATGCAAAATCTAAGTTCATAGTAACCGGCTCTATAAAATTTCGGCATATAATCCGCAAATATCAAGACTCTCGGTAGTTTCATTGAAACGATAGTTTTATTAAGCTGAGATTTGCTGCCAAAAGTGAAGCTGAGATAAATGCACTTAAGTTTCAAAATAATGTTTTAAACATTTCTTTTTGCGTCCTAAATGTCAGAAATCCTTTCCAGCAGTGTAGGTGATGTCTTCCTCAAACTCCTTCTGATATACTGACATTGCTTTCAGCTATTTTCACTTGTAGATGACGAATGCTACGCAGTGCAGCACACCTCACCAACATACGAAGGATAATTATTTTTGACATAGTTTGTCAGCGCACATTGACAAGACTTTGTGAGAGTGTTCCTTGTTATCCATATATGCCAAAACTCTGCAGTTCTGAATATGAATTTCTGAAGAAAAATCACCCCAATCATCTTTTTCTGCGACCAAACCCACAGGGAGAGTAAAAACAAAAATGACAAGCAGCAGTGAACAAAACCATGTGCTACAGTTGAAAAGAAAGGGAAAAGTCATAACCGGTTCGGACAAAACACAAAGTTCTAAATTGCCCACTCTCGCTGAGTACAATAAAAAAAAAAAGAAAAATATATATATATATATATAAAACATTGTTTTTTTCTTGGGGGTGGTCTGCAAGAAATTGTTCAGGAAAAGCACCCCTCAGGGGAACCTCCTCCCCTACATTGGGGATGCACACACTCGTACGTACAGATGGTTTACGCCGGCGAGGGTGCGCATTGTGTAGGCGCGTATGTATGTGTGTTGATGGGGAGAAGCGATGGTATGATGGCGGTGCTGATGGACACACACATGCTTCAGCATCCGTTTCTCTCCCAATGTGGTTCCTCTCCTAACCCCCCAAACACGCTTTCAAAGTACATATCGCAAAAAATATATATATATATATATAATGGCCAGCTTGGCTTGCTTTGCCCCACCTTCTAGACTTGAATGCAAGGCCCGTTCCCGTCCCGCAGGCTGGCTTGTACCAGTGCAGATTTCTACCTGCGACGCTGACGACTCTCCGCTTCGTTATGACTAGGCGGACATCGCCACATCGCGGCGAGCGACGGAGTTAGCGCAATTACACTCGTACTGTTGGGGAGCGAGTCAAAAGAACAGCCAAAGAAACCTTTGCGCGTGCGCTTCAGGATCTCGGAGGCTATGACTCGGCATGGCTGTGGAACATGACGCTTGCTAGATGGCGCTTCAGTACTCAAAATGGCTCTATCCATGATAAAATGGTCTATAGAACTAAATAATGTGGAGCTCCCAAGCGCTGTACTCTTCTTACATAACATACTGCTTGAACCATACTGAGTCAAGCCAGTGCTACACTTAAACCCAACTAAACAACAGGTGGCCCAACTGAATCGGACATTCGAGCCATAAGAGCAAAAGCGGCACGTACCTTCTGCCCTGTGGTGCAGACTGCTGTGGCTCCACAAGAAGTTGGGATCCCATGAATGAATGTCCTGGAGTAGGAAAAGCACAGGTGTGAAGTGCATACCCATCTCGAGAGGTGCTTGATCTCGCAACGAAAGACAGAACTAGCATGAGTGGACACAGAAGAGAACAAATGCTTCTGCCTCTTGCAAAGCATATTAGGGGGTGCAACGATTTTATGAATAAACTCATTTGCATCTCGTCATTTTTACGTTATCGTGTCCCGGAGGATAGAGAAAACATCTCCTTCATTAAAATGTGTCGCGATTCCGCTGCACAATCGCAAAGCAAAAGTCTAGCTTTTTTCCCCATCAGCAGCCGCAAGTGGCAGCCGAAGGAACTACGGCGAGAAGATTACGTGACCTCGCTCGGCTCGTAGGCTGCAGCATAACACCCTCTAATGTCAGCAGAGAGGGAGAGGAAGCATCCTCCGAGAGAGCATATGGGAACCTACACGGCGCTTCGAATGACGTCACTATACTCCGTTTCACCTTATGTTGTACCGCAGCAAAGGCTAGACGCGCGAGCTCATAGCGCTGGCAGCCGCCCTTAATGCACGAGAGCTTGTGCTGCCGAGATGTGTCCTAGAGCAAGGCACTCGCGCTTGTAGCCTTTCATGCGGTACATCATAAGCTGAAATAGAGTATAGGAGTGCGACCAGGTGCGACCCTGAAGACTGGGAGTGAGTTGAGGGGTGCCCGAAATGCCAATATTTATCTCTTTTTTTACGCAACTAGGACACGCAGGCGAAATCCGTTTTCTGTTCTTTACTTCAAAAGTGTCAGAGGGCGTCTTCCACAAAATTTTGACCGAAGTCCGGAAACCGTCGCACCCCTCCTTTAAAGACATTTTGGTTGCCCAAATATAATAAATCTTTATTACGCAGAACTTCTCCACTCACTTCTACTTTCATCGTACTTCGTGATGTGTCGCACAAGTGGAGCCCAGACTATTATGGTTACTACCTAAATATAGAATTCTGACTTAAAAGGGCCCTGGAATCATATTTAAGCGTCTAACTTTTTTGCGGTTTCCACGTATCTTGGGGTTCGGGCAAGCCAGCGGGCACAAAGAGAGTAACTAAATATCAGCGAGTCATATTTTAACCGGACGACGCGGAATCCTCCTCCACCTACGAGGGCGACCCGCGTTGCTGAAAGCGCGCAATATGCGACGTCTTTGGTCCTGGGCTTACTACTGGTCAGAGCCGCTAAAAGCTTTTTTTTTTTTTTAGTCAAGATAAAAAATGTAAGTGTCGCAACCCGTTTCAATTATGTATGAAAGTAGTTTTTGTTCAGTATTTTAGATCAGAAAAGAAACAAATGCAGTTTATAAAGTACGGAACCAAGAAAAGACCGATCGACAAACCCGCCACCAAGCGGCGGAAAAAACGGCGCATACTAGAAAGGGCTAGTGGGATGAGGCTCTGACGAACGACAAGCGTAGAAAGGTCCCGGATGTACGCGACGGCGCTGCGGTCGTATGCCGGCTCGAGGATCCGACCGGTTTCGAGCGTTCCGAATGGCGCGAGCTTGGCTGGCGATTTGGCCATTTGGAGGTATGCAGGGATGGGCAGTATTTCAAATACAAGTATTTGAAATACGTATTTTAAATACTTTGTGTATTTTGCATTTGTATTTAATTACCAATTGGATAATGTATTTGACGTGTGTATTTAAATACTAAAACTTTGGTATTTGAAATACAATTGTAATTAAATTCAATTTTGAGGGCGAAAATACATCCCTCAAATTTATTGTCACTGTCCAGAGCAGGAAGAAAACTACGTTCTGCACCGAATGCAGTGTCACTCAATCAAGCACAAGTGTTTAGTGACTTTGTGATTACGGTGCTAGTCCAGGGCAAGAATAGTGACGAAATCGACGTTCACAGGCAGACTGGCTAAATAAGTGCCTGTGACAACTTGTGATGCTTTCCAGCCTGATTTCCATCCATATTTTTGCCTGGAACATTCTAAATGCTTGGGTCATCCAGATTTTAGTAACTGGTGCGAGTTGCAACAATAAAAAATTCTCTAGCTAGTGCTGCGCGTCTTGGTCATCTCGGTTCTTTGTTGGCATATACCAAAATGTAATCGACAAAGAAAGCTCCTTGAAGCTCTGTACTTTTTTCACGTGTTCCGTCCAAGCGATTACATTTTTTTTTTTGTGATTATATTTTTATTACGTTACTAGAGCCTCGCACACTAACTCCCGAGTGTGCGATGCAAAATTAAAATGAGATACCCAGAAACCCGTTGTAGGTGCCCTGAAGTCGCTGACACAAATTTTGAGGAATGTATTTGGAAAAGTATTTGGAGGAGACCAAACATGTTCGGTTGTATTTGTATCTTGTACTTAAATGCTTTTTTGGAAATGTAATTAGATTTGTAATTAAATACATTTTTGACGAAGTATTTTGTATTTGTATTTCAATACATTTTTGCATGTATTTTGCCCATCCCTGGCGGTATGGCAGCGCGAAGTAGCTCCCGTTCTGAACTGATCTTTACCCTATGTTTGCTGTCGTTTGTAGCCAATGAAGTGTTATGCCGAAATAGTATTTAATCGCACAGCAAATGCAATGCGAGCCGCCCTGGCCGCCCGCTTCATACAGCCTATCCAACACGTGCTTTAGTGGCACCCTCTCGAGCCGTCAACACTGAGTGCGGCAGCCGTGAGCGCTCGATGAGCTCACTACTTCTCCTCTAGTTCACGGCCATTCAAGCCTGGACCTACGACGTCATGAAGGAGGTTATTTTTTGCTTGTTTTTGTAATTCTAATTTGCCTATAACTTTTAAAATAAAGTGAAATTTGAGAAAAGAAAAGTTTCTTTAAGTTACTACGTCCAGTGCGCTCAGGTTTGGTGCAAATTAAAAACCAAACAAAAAGTTGTTGCAGGGCCTCTTTAACAACAGAGCACAGGCAACGAAAGCTGCACTTTCCATATTGAACGACCTTTTACGGAAGCCTGAAGTATAGATCTTGATGCGGTGCGACAAAAATAGTTACTGAAAATATTTTTAATACTACCTACCTTCGCTTTTAAAACATGTTCCCTAATTGAGATGACTAGTTGGGCAAATTAGATATTCACTACAATAATTCTGTACAAAAAAAATGACAAAAAAAAAAAAGAAACAGGAGGGCATTAGAGAGCAGGACTTGTTCACAACTGCCTTCCTCTTGTCTATTTTTCATGAATTTCTATTAGCAAGTTTAAAGGGGACAATGCATTCATAACCACCCAACATGGCCTCAACCTGTTCCCAAGACAAATTAGAAGTGCTTCCTTCCCAGAAGCACTGGAATGGTTGAAAATTAAATACTAATTTACATTAATACACATCAATCGCGCCTTGACTGACCCTGTGTCAGGAGGAAAGGCTCTTGGCAAATAAGCGTTTACTTTGATAATGTTAAGTCAGGAAGCTTCGGCGTAAACCAGGTATTATGTTACTTTTGGCTAATTATAACTTAGTTGTGTGTTCAAAGAAAACAAACTTAACGCCCTGTACAATAAGGTGAAACAGCCTGTATTACCATCAATGAAGCGCGCTGCAACTGACCTTCGTTTCCACTGACCTCTTCCGACAAATCATTGTCTATCGTAGTAAACGGATGAAAAAGAAACGATAAATTTTTTGTTTCTTATCTAAACACTTGCGCACGCAACTGCGATGTTACATGTAATACCGCCAACTTATCGCGATCGTGGTGTACAGAACTGCGAATAACCCACGGACTTGTATTCGACGTGCGTTCCAAAAGCGAGCATTTGTAATATTATCCACGCGAGCCATATTCGCCAGCCAAAGCTCCTTTCCAGCAACTAGAAACGGAAGCTCTCACGCCTATTAAAACAAAGCTCCACGCGGAAGCACATAGTCGTCATTCAATGATAAAAACAAGAAAAAAAAAAATCGACTCTACAACATTTGACAAATGACTCGATCACGAAATCCACTCGGGAGGGGGAGTCGTTGCCATTTAAAAGCATCGCAGTACAATCAAATCACCAAGATTCTGGGCTGCAACGGACCAGCGAGGCATTTTAGGCATCCCGCGATACGCCAACAACGCCGGACTCGCTAAAACATAGGATGATTGCTAATTTTTATGCGTAGTATTACCAGAGTTCACGGGTTTTAGACGCGAGATCACACACCTCTATTAAGCCTAACCCAGCGCCGTAGCCATGTGAGCTCGCTTCGATCATAAGACGGAAAGTTTTGCGTGTCATCGTGTCGTGCTCGTAAGATGTGTAGTGCACGAATCGGACAACTTATCGGGATGAAGGGTTCTCGTGCACAGCAAATCGATAGCTTTCAACAAGTGGCGACAAACACGCTCGATAGCGAGCCGGGCCACGCCGGCCGGGAGAAATTGTCGCACACTGGGACGCCATTTTTAGCTAAAATCAGCACTATAGACCTTTAATTCGACGCCGTTTTCACGATAACGGCCGCTTCAGCGCTTCGAAGTTAGGTTTGACACGAGTACGTAAAGTCAGGGCGTTTCCTTACTCACCGTTAAGAGCTTCTATGGCTTTACCGACCGCTAGCTCGTCGGCACATTCGACGAACGCATAGCCGCCTTTCTTCACAAGCACGGATTTGGGACTAGCGCCGGTCTGTTCGTGGAACAGTTCTCGAATAGATCCTTCGTTCACATCCGCCGGTAAATTTCCAATGTAGAGCTTGTTCATGCTGGGAACTGTGTTGGCTGAACGGAGTTACACGCGGTTGATTTGGAGGAGTAAAATTTTGTAGAAAAAAAAAATTAAAAATTGGGATGAGTGGGGAGTAAAAAAAAAAAAAAACTAAAGGCGACGGGAGAATGATGGGTAGACTGAAAAATGCCAGCGTGAGCGAGCCGATCGCCGCCCTCTCGGAGAACTCCGAAAATGTGGCAACCACGTGGTCACCGCCCGTCACGTGATCCAAAGTATTTGCTCATTCGTTTCGACTTTCGCTGCAGTGGGCAACGCTGAAATTGACTTCGAACTTTGTTCTTTGAACACTCAGGGTTGGTTTCGTTTTGTACTTTCGGTCATTGATTTGAGGGAAAAGGTGGCCCAACCATATTTATTACAATGTACGTTATATAACTGCACGTGACAAACCAGTCCAACCTCCTCTTTGGCCGTTCTAACTTCCGCTTTTTTTTTTTTTGTTTATTCATTGTTTTGAGCGGCTTCCGCGTGCTTGCGCTACCTTCTCTCCCTTCTCGGAAAAGCGACTCCTGAGGCCCCTTTGGTTTTGACAATTGTTGGGCGTTGCTGCGCATCAAATTGCAGCCCACAGTTGAGGCTTATAGTTCATAGCTTTTAATGCCCTATGCATCATACAAATGAGTTCATAGCTCATAGACGCCATGCATAGGGCATCAAAATGTCACTCTTAGAATTTCACATTGCCAGCAACACAAATCCAAAGTTTGGATTCTAATGTTATTAAATTAGTACAGAGTACATGCTTATAAAAACATCCCATTTTAATTTTTTTTTTTTTACAATATAGTTTTACTTAGGCGCAGACCACAGAAACAAAGGAAAAAGCAGATACATATGTATTGCATAAATCTCATTTGTAAAAACAAAACCAAAGAGAAAACCGGAACAGGTAAGCATACTGATACTATATATGGGCTGTTGTGCATCATGACTTGCAGATATGGGAAACTGTGCATTACAGCTATTCACTTTCATTAGTGGTGGATCCAGGATTCTCAAAGCGTACAATATACTTCCAGAGATTGGCGATTTCGCTGTTTCCAAAGCGGTCGTTGAACTTCTTGTCGATTCGTGCGCACTGCAGGGACGACAGCGTGTTCTTCCACTCCCCGATCCGGCCCTTCGACAGGTTTCCCAGGTGGTCTTCTTGCTCATAAAAGCGGCTCATGTACGAGTAGGAGCTTCGGTAGATCAGCTTCTTCAACATGTGCCGATCTTTGACCATCGTGCCAGCCACACCGCCTGAAAAACCAAACAGGATGATATGGGAGCTTGATGGGTTTGCGTTATGTGGAGGTTTCATGATCGGCAATTTTCCTAGAACTTTGAGATAATGGAGACTACACAATCAACACTAAATAGGAGGGATGATAGAAGCTTGTAGTTTTGGAGGAAGCGCTTTGATAAAAAGTGCTTTTCGAAGGAGTTGCCTTCTTTACTGCATTACCAGTGTTACCGTGAAATGATGAAAGTCTTCATCAGATTGCATGAGACTGCAGCATGCAGCCAGTACAAAGACGACAGTACACTTGTGCCAGCGATCTAGAAATGCAAACAAAAATGTAAGTGTCCATTTCACATACTTGTCCTTTTAACACCTTTATAGATTTAGATCAACATGTTTGTGATTCCACCACTATTCTGGGGATCGGCCCCACCTTGAAAGAGATATGTGACCTGGGCTTCATACGCCACAGGAACCTTCCATGCCACAGCCTCTCTAGCTGGAGACGACTATACTTTGAAAACGGTGCTTTGTAAAGAAAACTTCACTCCATTCTCTGAAGACGCCGCCAAAAAAACCGAGCTTCTTCAGCAGTAGTCTTGAAAACTGGACAGCTGATAGTGACTCATTATAAAACAAAGTGCACAAAAACAAAAAGAGAATGAAAGGAAGACACGTGTGTTATTTCCTGACTTGGAATTTCCCTTAGTCAACTGGTCCCAGTTGACCCACACTTTTACTCTAACTGGGAATGGTAAGTTCAGATTACTCCCAATGCAGAGTGCAAGTTTGTCTGCTTCTTTTGCAGAGGTTGTGGTGACGTCGGAACGCCGAGCTCCGATTGGTTCTGATGAAAGAGCCATTCAGAGGTCAGCGTTCTGACATCACCACAACTCTTTAAAAGAAGCGGACAAACTTGCGCTCCGCATCGGCTACAGCCAGATGACCCCCAACTGGTCCCACCTGGTTCCAGTTGAACCCTAATCGAGTTGATTTCCAGTTTTAATTATGACCGCTCCCAGTTAGACATTTTCACCTGGGATTTGGTGCCTGTTTTCCGTGTGCTCAGTTTTATAACGACTTCCGTGCCAGCGTACGGTCGGCGGGTTCACCCACCGACAAAGTTTGCAAGCACAAAGATGTTGCTCTTGTGGTCGAGGGTGAGGTTCTCGTAGGTGCAGAAGAGAACGTGGCAGTCCTTGCGGTGAAGCCAGTAGGGGATGAGGTGGTCGAAGTAGTCGTTGTACGGCATGCGGCCCCGGATGAACCACTCAAAGAAGTGGTTGAAGGTGCCCTCCTTGAAGCGGAAGATGGCGTCGGCGGCCTTGGTGTACTGGTACAGGGCCACGCAGCAGTCCTTGGGGTTGCGTGTCACATAGATGTACTTGGCCATGGGGTTGATGCGCATCTTGTGGTAGGGCAGGTGCGTGCGGATGATCCTCTGCTCCGTGCTGGACGACGACCGTTCCTTCAGCAGAAGGTAGCCATACTCTTCCAGGTTGGGCATCTGGGTCGACCCAAATGTACAAGGTACAGTGACATGTCATTAATATAGGGACACTCTCCATTCCGGCAAAATTCTGTCCACAATGTGAGCCGTCCGAATGCACTGCGGCAAAAATGCACAATTACCCAGTTTGCGTCCCCAAACTTTTGTTTATGCGGAGGAGCATCCATATTAATGGTGTCCAGATTAGCGAGACGTGACTGTATTTGACCCGACAATTGAATATCTAGAAATTAGTTTAAGTTTTGTTAGGTTGTGCCAATTCGACTACACATTGTTTAATTTTTTTTTTCTGTGCTAGAACAAATATTAAGAGATAGAAGTTCACAACATATAATTTGAAAATTTTTAGTCAAATTCCGGAAGAAATATAACATTTCTCCTATATATGATTTTTTCTTCACATAAAGTTTAGTTGAAACCAAAATTTAGCAATGTCTTAACATATTATAGGCTGCCTCGTTATTCTAATTGTCTTAATTTTTGTTTTCCTCCTCACTTTGCATTCCCCTCCTTCCTCCAAACGATCATCCTTCAGCTTTGCCAGAAGGTTGATGCAGAAAATGAACAGCTGCACCTTCATCTGGCCCATAATTCGGAACTCCTTCGTAAGTCCTTAGGCACTAGTCCTCCTCGCTTCCCTTTGTCAGATCAAGAAGCTGCACATGCAAGTCATATGTCAGCGGCTTTGAGTACTACAACCAATGTGACGGAGCCATCTTGTTCGACTTCCTCAAATTTCGAAGCTAGACCTACCAGTTACGCGTCCACGCTTCGGACCACTACGACTGGTGGCGACATGCAAGCAGGGAGACAAGTACGCCCCCTACCAGAATGGAACCGTGCACCTAACCTGGAGCATGGGGACCCCTTGATAGCTTGATGAAGACGAATACACTCTTGTACAAAAGAAAAGAAGAGTTGGGCAGAAACTCTACAAGTAAGCTGACGGCTGTACCTCGCTCTCCGAGGAGTAGGGTGCTCTTTGTGTCTCGGCTTGACCCTACAACCACTGTTGATGACATTGCAGAAATGCTCAGCAACGTCGTCAAAACATGTGTCTGTACCCAACTTCCATCTAGATCATACGAGCTATGCATCGTTCCTCATCGCTGTAGAGTGGGACGATTTTGACAAGGTGAATAACGCGAATGTGTGGCCCATTGGCTGTCTCTTTAGGCAGGTTTTTGGGTTGTTGAGGAGAAACGAAGAAGATGCATGATGAGTGTACCGTTTATTATCAGAATGTACATAATTTGAAGACTAAAGACGCCAAGTTTTTTTCGGAGGCCATGTCAAGCACGTAATTAACCATATGCCTAACAGAAACTTGGCTTGCAGATGGAATTTCTAGTTCTAATTATTTCCCACCCAAGTATGAAGTCTATAGATATGATCGTGACTATGAGAAAACGTGAAAGAGCTTGGGGGGAGGTGTATTGATTGCTGCAGGTAGGAGCTTGAAAGTTCATCGGAGGAGCGATCTCGAGTGTTATGCTGAGAGCGTGTGGATCGAAGTAATGTCTACCGATTGTATAAATTTTCTTATTGGCAATTACTATTTTCTGCCGATGTTTGATCAGATTATTTTCTGTGAGCATATCAACTTCCTGGAAAAAAAAATTGACTTCTCTAAATTTTGAGTGCACATGTATGGCGATTTCAACATTCCTGGTTACGATTGGGAGTCTGGCAGCTTCTTAGTTAGTTATATGAACACAAGATTGAAACTACTTTACCTGTTCGACTTCGTTCATTTCAATGGTTTTGAACAACGTAATACTGTACGCAACTGCTGTGGAAACGTACCTGACCTTGCCCTGGCCACCTCGGTCATTGATATCAGTCTTGTCAAAGCTCCGCTTATCTCGGGTGGATAACTATCATCAACCTTTCATTGTATCATTTTTCGTCCCACTTGCCAAGCGCATTTTCCATTCACAATCATGGTTTTTCTACTCCAACGTTGATTACTATTCATTGTATTAGTATCTTCGGGACTATGACTGGAGTAGTGTTCTAGCTGATCAGTGTGTTGAATCATCAACTTCCACACTTTCGACTATTGTCCTAGAAAGCATGCGACTCTTTATACCAAAGAGGGTGCCTCATAAAAGTGACTATCCCATATGGTTCTCAAAGGAACTAAGACATTGGTTAAGGCACAAGCTACACTATTATTGCCTGTACAAAAAAAACTGGCAATGTCGTTTGGTACACGAGATTTAGTCAATGTCGTGCACAGGCGAAACAATTTTTTAAGCTAGATAATGCTGACATCGCCAAGAAATCATTGAGCACACAGCCACAGTGTATGTGGAAGTCTGTCAAAGAGTGCATCAAAGAGAATGTTACCACGTAATCACACTGCGAGATAATGAGGATTGCGTCTCTGACCCTGTTAATGTAGCTAATATTTTTGCGCGCCACTTTAGTGCTTTTTTCAGTACAAATAATGGCCTAATGCCTAGCTTGAATATAAACTACCTGGATTTTCTGACTGTTGCTCTAATAATGAATGTGAAGTCTTGAAGGCAATTAAAAAATTGAAACCAAAGTTATCTACGGAAGTAGATGGAATTCCCAGCTTCATAGTAAAAGGTTGTGCTCCACTCCTTTGTCCAGTTTTGGTGCATATATTTAACTTATCACTGGCATCTGAAACATTTCCTACCGCTTGGAAGCGCTCTGTTGTTGTTCCATTACATAAATCGGGTGATCGATCCATGGTTAACAACTATAGGCCAGTCTCCCTCCTTTGTAGTTTGTCTAAAGTTTATGAAATTGTTTTGCACACCCGCCTTTATGCATATTTTTGTCGGAAGATTATTCCTGAGCAACATGGTTTCATGAAATGCCGCTCCACAGAAACAAACCTGTGTTCCTTCCTACATCAGATAGTACCACATGTCCATAGGGGAGGACAAGCGGATGTAGTCTACTTTGACATGAGCAAAGCTTTTGACAAAGTTAATCATGGACTACTGTTGAGTAAACTCTGTAGTTACGGTCTGTCCCTTAAGTACTGTTGTCTCCTCGATAGTTACCTATCTCATCGGTTGAGCTTTGTGAGAGTATCCTGCCGATTATCTGCTCCTTTCTGATCTACTTCTGGGGTTCCTCAAGGCAGTAACCTCGGTCCTTTGCTGTTTTTAATTTTTGTAAATGATCTAGCTTCCTTTATTAAACACACGCGGATTTTGTTATTTCCTGATGATATTAAGTTGTTTACGGCAGTTAAAACGGTTGACGATTGTGAATGTCTTCAGCGCGATATAGATTCTATTTCGGCGTGGTGTTTTTTCTCAAAGATGAAAGTTATGTCCTTTTCTAGGAAGCGTGAAATTCTGAGGTTTCCCCATGTATTAGATTCCACCGATATTACTCGCATTGAGGTCATCCGTGATCTATGCGTTTTTACGGATCCTGCAATTAATTTCAATCATCACGTGACTACAATTGCGAATGCTTCCTTTAGAGTGCTGGGAGCCATTACATAAGTGACACACAGTTTTTCTTAACCACTTTGTATTTTACGTTTCTTTTCTTCACTGGTGTGTAGTCGTGTTGAATATGCCTCGGTTGTCTAGAACTGTATTGGAGTGACAAATTCAGGTGTAATTGAGAGTGTTCAACGTAGATTTGTTCGTGTTTTGTTTGATCATCATTTTCAACCGAATTATTTCTATAGTTACGAGAAGATTTGTGAACTCGTGAAGTTAGACTCGTTGCACAACAGGAGAACAATTCGTGAACTGACGCATTTGTATAAGATTGTAAATGGTATAATTGATTCACCAGAGCAACTCAGTCACACCTACTTGCACGTTCCTCGTATGTCCTGCAGACTTTATACTTTGTTTTACCCTATTGATTTTTACCATGCTCCACCCATGACACGCCTACAACTGACTTATAACCATTTAGAACAGATTTGAGGGAATGCTAGTCTTGATATTTTTGATGAAGAGTGTAGATTTCGAAAGTGTGTTGAGGCTATTGTTTTTTCCTAATGTTTCGCTTTTATCCTGCTTAACATTTTACTACTAATTGACTCATTGATAAGTGCACCACCAAGGAGGCGTTAAGCTGTCGGTAGGTCACTTAAAATAATAAATAAATAAATAAAAATGAACTTCAAAATTTTGTTAAAGCCGGGCTAACTTCTTGAAGCATCCTTTTTGTCCCTGCCTGTGGCTAACAAAAAACTGTACCTGCCATAAGGAGTGGCAGGCCTTGAAAAAAATGGTGGGCCAAATTATGCTGTTCCCCTGCAGCATAGGTGCTAAACAGGTGACTGATCGCATGACATGAACACACAAGACACACATATCTACATGTGAGGGTCAGGACGAAGCAATTGGACCAAATCCAACTTTAGGTAGTAGAAGTGCCACATTCTATTTTGTAATTACCGCCTGGTTGAAGGAGCCGCTGTTCGGAATAGGCACACAGTCGTTGAGTAAGAGGTAAACGATCTGTGCCACCCAGACGCCGCCACACTTTGGGTACGAGATGATGACAATGTCATCCTTGGCAGGTCTGCAAGAGAGGAAACATGCGATCCACAGCACCTGGCAAGGGGCAAGACTGTATTTTCATGCCTTATTGTATCCATAGTAAAAAGTGATGAAAAAAAATATGGATAAGCACAGTTTTAGTACGCTTGGAAAACTGGTGCAAGCCTTTAAGATGCTGTATAGCAAAGAAACTGGTGTAGTAAAAAGCTTTTTTTAGCTCTACTGTTTTTTTATTGGAGGTGCCCTTTCTAGAAACTTCTTTAGCCACCTTGCATGAAGTTGGCCATATCCCATTGCTTTTGATGCAAGTTGGACATCTTAGTTCCAGGATGGTGACCGTCCCAAGACGCAGAGAAGATGGCGTTGTTACTTGGAGATTATCAAAATCTGCCTCGTTTGCACAGAGCATGGGTTCGCAATCTGGGTTCCTAGAAACCCGGGGGTCCACCCAGATTACCCTCATGATGAAAGAGCTAAATCGCAGGCGAGCTGGTGGTAGCTAATTACCTCGTTTAAAACCTGAGACTGCAGTGCAGACATTCCCTTCTGTGTTTGTTCCTTCGACTAAAAGATTTTTTCTTTTGTGTACCACAGTTTCAGGTGTTAAATGACGTGAATCATAGGTTTCCCAAATTTCCTCGACGGTCCCTGCTTCACAGTAATGTGTATTTTCAGTTCAACCACCGTCTTTGCAGATCATCTGCATTCTTGCTTACAATGTCTGTATACACTTCTGCGCCGCTTTAATTACAACATTACACTGCGTGAGTGGCTTATCTCACTCCCTTTTTTAATTCTCCTTGCGAGTCAATGGCCACTGTAAAGTTGAAATTCCTCATACCAGTTCCAATGCATTTCATAAATATTTTTCACTAATTGCCTCCCTTCAGTGGAACCATCTCCCGGCCTCTGTTGTTGTTAATGCCGGCTTTGATCTTTCTGGAAAAGCGTTTAGTTAACCCATGCAGAGAGCAAGTCGTCTGCTTCTTGCGCAGGAGTTGCGGTGACGTCGGAACAAAGCCGCACTCTTATTGGCTTTGATTAAAAGGATACTGGGTAGACTTGAATACTAGACGCCTTGAGGTCTACCCACCATTTTTTTTCAATCAGCCAATAAGAGCTCGACGCTCCGACATCATTGCAACCCGAAAGCAAGAAGCAGACAAACTTGCGCTCTGCAGTGGGTCTATATCACAAGAGCGAATGACATTTTAGCGAATGGCGACATTTGAGCGAATGGTCGTTTTAGCGAATAACGGGGGCGCGCGTTAACCCATCCGTCGCGCTGCGCTTTACGCCGCTTCGCGGCGACAGTCTGCGGCAACTCATTACAAAAATATGAACTCACTTGGCCCACCCGAAAACGCCGCTTCGCGGCGTCTAACTATTCGCTAAAGTGTCGTTCGATGAAACGTGGGCGTTCGCTAAAACGTCATTCGATTAAGTGAGTGCCTCCCCTCTGCAGTAACCAAAATTTTTGTGTTATTTGTTTTTCCCAAAAATACACAAATGCCAAAAAGAAAAAAAGGAATTACATTTTTTTTCTTACAGCAAAAATAAACTATGCATTGCCGAATGCTCATCCTTCGTCTCAAATGTAGCGCTAACAATTCGAACCAGATGTCAAAGTTTCAGAGCTGACCTTCATCTTATTAAAAATTGCTATAGTAGAAGTGATTTTCTGAAATTTTCAATGCTCTCAAATACATGGAGCTGTAATGCCAGTCACCGGAAACAAGCCCCATCTTTCCTTTTGAAATTTCGAGAGATCACTTACATATAACTTTCGAATAAGAAAACGGTTACTTCTCAAACAAAGGCATGTGGTTTGGACCGCTAGTGCTACACTTGGGCGGAGAATGAGCATTCGGTGATGCATGGGTAATTTTTGCGGCAAAAAAATACTGTATTTTTCAGACTATAGTCTGCAGACTATAGTCCGCGGACTATACATGTTTAAGAGTTGAAATTTTACCCGGTGAAACTATCTACAAGTGCGGACTATATAAGGTTTTTGCATTTTTCTTGATTGTTTACTGTGACAAGATGCGAATGATTTTATGAGTAAAAGAGGATATTAGTGATTTATGTATGATACAAGCTTCTTTGTGAGCTAATACAGCAGGCATACGTCAAGGCATGCTGTGTATAATAAATTTTACATTCGGATCAGGCATTAAGTGCGCACTACGTGCTGCATGCTGACTATGCACTCGGTGCAGACTTTCTAAGCAAGAACTTTAATTTTTGTTTCCAAATTCACCCTTGCAGACTATATACACCGGGCGCGGACTATAATCCGGAAAATACGGCACTGAACTTTTTTTTTGTAAATCGGCGTTTCCCCACTTTCAATTTGCGATGCTACATGCCTCGAGGCTGAATAAATGCAATGAAAGGAAATGCACCGATCGGTTCCTCAGCTGCCACTGAGGGAAGATTCCTCGAGATGGGAGAGCTGGTACAGAGTCTATGGGACGCATTCTCTCACTCAAATTCCGTCACCTGTAATTGAGTGCGAAGCGCATCGATTTTTCGTCCACGTCGATGGGAAGGTAAAGCCCGTCAATGATGACGTAGGTGGGATAGCGGGGGTCCTTGGCGGTGTAGAGCACTTCCATGGGCGGCTCACTCTTTGCCGTCTTGTCCGAGTCCTTGGAACTGGAGGAAGGCGAGCTTTTCTTCGACTTCTTCTTCTTGCCCGGCTGTGCAGCTTTGGGCGGCAGTGACGGCGGCACCGCGCCCCCGGCGTCGGGACCCCCAGGTGGGGGTCCCTTGGGTACTGCTGCGCTTTTAGTTGGAGCTGGAAACAATGTTGACCTTGCTGATGCGGCACCGAGTTCACGCTATGTCAGTGGTATAGCACTGATGTAGTGCTGCATCAGTGCTAAGATTCAACCAGATCCGGTCAACTCAACCTAGCCTACCGTAAAATACCGTGGAAGCGCCCACTATTAACATTTCCTAAACTTGGGGTCTCTGCAAATCGTACGTTAAGCGCTTGGTTTGACCGGACAAGCGCCCATGTCTAGATTATCCCAGTTTTCAGTGAAAGTTAATTGGGTGAGTGCTCCTCCGGTATTTATAATAGCACATTTTAGGCCAACCTCGACTTACATAATTTAACCTGATTCAATTCAAAGTGGATAGCTGATGCAGCCTGACTCAGACATATAGTTATAGTTCAATCTAGGATTCTAGGTATTTCCAATGCGGAGAGCAAATCGTCTGCTCCTTGTGCAGGGGTTGCGGTGACGTCATTACGACGTTGAGTTCTGGTTGGCTTTGATTGGAAGAATACTGGGTAATGCTAGATGCCTTGAGGTCTACCCACTATTTTTTCAATCAGCCAATAAGGGCTCGGCGTTCTGACATCATTGCAACCCGTGTGCAAGAAGCAGGCCAACTTTTGCTCTGTATATTTTCTTTTTTTAATGAATGAGTGAATACTAATTTGACTTCTTATCTTGAATCAAATTATGTAACTTAAAATAACAAATTTACTTTTTATTAGAAAAAAAAGTGAAAGCCGTTTACCACTCTCTGTAACGCCGAATTGGAGCGCAGCTCTTGAGGAGGAGGAGGGGAGGGTACTGAGGGCCACACGTTCTCGGTGGGGGGGGGGGGGGGGGTTCACGTGACCCCCCCCCCCCCCCCCCGAGGGCACGTGACCTTGGTGGGGTCACGTGGGGGCAAACACATGCTTCCCCCTCAGAGGTCACGTGACCTCGGGAGGGGGTCACGTGACCTCGGGGTGTCACGTGGCTCCCCAGGTCACGTGACCAAAATTTTTCCGCTAGATTTAGCGGGGAATTTTTTTCCCGCTAGATTTAGCGTGGAAATTTTTCCGCTAGATTTAGAGGGGAAATTTTTCCGCTAGATTTAGCGGGGCAAATTTTTCCGCTAGATCTAGCCGGAAATTTTTACGCTAAATTTAGCGGGAAAATTGTTCCGCTAGATTTAGCGGGGAAATTTTTCCGCTAGATCTAGCGGGGAAATTTTTCCGCTAGATTTAGCGGAGAAATTTTTCCGCTAGATTTAGCGGGGAAATTTTTCCGCTAGATTTAGCGGGGAAATTTTTCCGCTAGATTTAGCGGGGAAATTTACCCATAATGCACCGCGCGGTTACGCCGACGGCGACGCCAACGGCGACGGCGACGCCGCTCAAGCCCGAAACGGGCGCCTAAGAGCTGCGCTCTAAAAAAAAAAAACACCTCGGAGAAGGTTTTATTACTGACTGGTTTAAAAAAGCTTTTTTTCCTCATCTAATGGTGTCCTCTAGAAGTACTTCATATATAGATACTCCAGTGCAAATTAGCAGCGAGTTTTTCACGTCTAATTTTTCAAATCGGCTATAACAATACAGATATGCATCAGAAAGCAAGCTAGTATATATTTAAATTAGACCATAAAAACTAGGAAAAAAAACAAACTGTGTGGCAGTGTCTAGCATGTCCCAGGAACCCAAAAGTAATCAATCCTATTTTATTTTTTTTTATTCAAAATATGGTTACACTGAGCTGAATGTGCAAGTTCTTGTTGCATGCCCATGCACATTTACTAGGCTTTGCTTATGTCACTGAGCTTGCAAAGGGCTTACTGTCACTGTAGACAATATGCTGCCTTCCTGTACACTTTGCCTCCTTACACCCATGACCAATAACAAAGCCTTTTTTTTTGGGGGGGGGGGGGGGGGGGGGGGGGGTCGAGTTTCATAAGATCCTTTTGTGGTTGGAGGCCAGAAAAGGATCTTATTGCTCAAGCGGGCTTCCTTTTCTGGAAGCCCGCTCGAGCAGTTCTACATTGCTCAATATAGTTCCCCCATTATAACAAACTTTGAAATTATTGAAAACAAATTGATTCATATGTACATTCTCTACATCAATATTACAAATGTTATAATACTGAAGGATGTCTCAGTTTATAAAGCTACTTTAACTCTTTCCTGACCACGGGAAAAGTAGCAATTTTCAAAGGATCCATGCAAATGGTTTTATTTTCCCAACTAACTTGCATATGGAGGGAGCAATATGACATATCAAAATGTGTCCAATTAGAAAAAACAGATTTTCAAACTTTGGAAATACAGTGTATGTGCACACATACTGTATCTGAAAATACAGTGTATGTGCAGAAGGCGTATAAATGTCGAAACTGCTACAGCCATGTTATCTTAAATGTCAAATAAGAAAAATTCTGAGTATAGAAAATGTGCCCATCTATTTTCGGCTCGTCGGAGAGTTAGCCTCCGTAAGACGCGTGCCTTTCAATGAAGAAATGCTTATATTAACGAAACACAGATAGTACACCTCGCATCCCTAGCAGAATGCTTCGTTTCTGTGCTCTACCTTGGTTTTGTCATAGCCTCGATTGAAGTTTCCTCATATTTAGAATTTTTGTCCGCCTTGTTGGGAACATAAAACATGCATGCCGGCTCAGGACAGCCTTGGAAATTATAGTGATGCTTACCGACAACCATCTGTTAAGCAATGCCTATAACGTTTGAAGTGTCCACTGAGCTCTTGAGGTCTAAAAAATATGCCACAGTACAGTTTAATTATGTAAGTAATGCCACCTTTTTTATGAAGACCGATGTAAGCAGTTAGCTGTGTTAGACAAGTGCAACCACCGTTCCCACGACTATTCTTGACCGCCCACCAGCCTGTGATAAAGCTTAAACCTATGTTGAAACACAAAACTAGGGTTCTTTGGCTATCCTTGGGATTGTGGAACATAATTCCCCGCACCAAACTAAATTTCTTGACGGCGCTTGGAAACCATCGATCACCGGGGATTGATGGACTATGGGCACGGTCAGGAAAGAATTACCTAACAAGTTCAGACAATATTCCAATGACGTATCATGGACACAAACTTACATCTGTAACTTTATAATATGATAGACCAACTACCGTAAAATACAGCAGAAGCACCCATTTGGTTCAAGCACCCACTATTAACATTCCCAAAAACTTGTGAACTCCGCAAATTATACGTTAAGCGCCCGATTTGACCAGACAAGCACCATGTCTGGATTAACCCAGTTTTCAGTAAAAGTGGGATGGACACTGCTTTGGTGTTTTACGGTAATCTTATGAAAGTATTTACTGCCAGCAACGATACTGAAATGTGAAACCTCATTTTGCCAGAACAATTGCAGATAAATCATTACATCAATTTTTATTTGTGAAGAAGGCCACTAAAGTAAATGAATGGCAGCAGGACAAGTGCGGCAATCGACTGCTGAGCATCCTCATAGCCAGCAATCGTTGGTCTATGAATGCTCAGCAGCCAATTGCCTACGTGTCATGCTGCCATGCATTTATTGTGTTGGAACACTCAACACAGCATGCCCAAACCAGAACACCACACACACAAACACACATGCAACAATATAGAGGGAAAAAGGAATCAGTCAAAAGTTGCCAAGCTCAGATTGACGGTTACAGTGCAGTCCACTTAAAACGATGAGAAAACCCGAAAATGCAATTGTTATAACCGATTATCGTTGTATCTGGAGTAGAAACTGGTCATTTCTAGTCTAGAAACTCTATAAAGTGATCGTTATGAGCAGTATATCGTTATATGTGGCATCGTTATAAGTGGATTGCACTGTATCTAGGAGGCTGAATAAGTCAATCATAGGTGGACAATGAATGTATAAATTCATGCACACAGATAAGACAACTCACGGATAGCTGTCTTGTTTGAACCCATTTCTTTCCTTTCCTTTCCTTCCACTTGTTCTATCTGCAGCTAGGTCACACTTCTTCTTCTTCTGTTTGTCATTCCTGCTATGCCCTGTGCACTTTTTTTTTTTTTTTTTTCATCTTTAGTGGCTAGACATTAAATAAAAATATTGAAAAGGGCAACTTCGTCAAGAAAGCAAAAAAAGAGTGATATGAAGTTTGTTTTTCCCGGGGATCAGGAGGCCACAACCCAATCATGTGTTGAAAGCTTGCCTGGGTGTCGCAAAGCAGTGGGAATCTGTGGCATGGCAACTGCAAGAACTTCCATCTTTCAAGCTGAAAGCATAAACTTGCTTGGATGCACAAAACAACAACAACATAAAAGAGTAGATGTAGTTAGTGTAAGTGTGAGAACTGAAGATATTTGGAAAATAGGAAAGCAAACAAGTCACAAAGTAACAGTATCTGGGTTGGAAAATGTACTATACAACAGAACTCAAATACTAACAGAATCTAATGTTCCCCTAGGTCCTCACTCATCTGTAGCTTCACTCAAAGGTCAACCGCTTTGAACAGCATCTTGCTTGCGAAAGTATGAAAGCACCGCAAAATAAAAAAGGGCTCGGGGATAGTGACACAGCCAGAACTTGTCACATGCATTCGCACCCCTGCCTTGGCAGAGTTTTTTTTTTTAGATTACCGAGTAAAATGGCTCAGGTATATCAGTTCATGCATTCCACCACTCTTTTAAACCCACCTATGCCTCAATGCCTGCTATATTCTTCTGCAGGGTTCATCCACAAATGATGCAATTGTCTATACAATACATTTGACAGCCAATTCAAACGCTGGCGACGGCTGACCAACAGATCAAATCACTGTTAATCTGTTGGTCAGCCGTCGCCAGCGTTTGAATTGGCTGTCAAATGTATTGTATAGACAATTGCCATTTCGATCGAGTGCCTCATTACTGTGCAGTTATGTTTCTGTGGCACAGACAAAATGCTAATGGCCCTAACTACACAGATGTGCCTTTTTCACAAAAATGTAACGGAGACAGAGACGCGGGACTTCGTCAAAGACTCGTTTTATTTCCACAGTGAAAAAAAAAGAGGGGGGGGGGGTATTCATACAGTGGACCGAGATGTTGACGGGCGCTTCGGTCGAAAGAATGAAAGCAGTGGGGACGCACACGTGCATGTTCTCCTTCACGAGGAAACAAAAGCATCCTAGAAAACCGGGACAGGGTTATTTGGGCTTCTCGGCACTGGCCATCACCTTCTTCCGGAGGTGCTCCTTGTAGCTAAGGATGTTGCCCTTCCACTTCGTCACAGTCTGTTTCTCGCACACCCAGATCTCTTCAGCCACCTGCATTTGAGAAGACGATGCGAGAAAATAAGAGGCGCGAAATCACGGATGAGGAGATCAAACGGTCCTATAGACCACTCCACTAAAAGCTCTTTGGGCATCACCCTTTTGCGCAACCGGAGCGCCCACCTGCATACATCCGGGCATTTCAATGAAATCGTCGGAGTAAAAGCGAAAAATGGGACGCTCCCGACCTCAGAAGCAGACGAGAAACCGGCCATTTTCCAGGGGCCTTTAGTTGATTCGGCAGGGTAAAAGAGGAAAAGGGATTGCCCAGTTCCCATCGCTTGGGCAGTTTCGGTGGGTTTTACCGCCACTACGGCCCAAACATAGAGGTCGATTTCCCTTTCTCCTCTCACCCTACCTAGTATTAAGGTCTATATATGGCTAGCACATGACATCATTGCATCACGCTGGTGGTCATTCTTATTTGTTCTTGCTAAGGAAAGCAAATTTAATGGCGTGAACTGTGTGCTCCAGAAGGTTTAGTGCTCAGCAGCGAGGCCACCACCACTGACACTGATATGATATCAACGCAAGTCACATATAGCAGATTGCCACATTTTTTTTTACGAAAGAACAAGTGACACTATAAGCACCTTCGGCTAATTTTCAATTGAAGCAGCTGACACCAGTATTGCAACATCAAAAATGTTTCCTTATGTTTTATGTGGAGGAAACTTCTAGCCACCTCCAGTAAGGCCCATGCTTAGTTTACCTCTCACCACTCTCGTAATTGGACAGGTTGGGAGCCCAGGCACCTGTTATGTATTTTCGATACATTTGAAAAAAATTGTCAGTTGAAACACATTACTGAAACCCACCCAGCGTGTCACCTAGCTTCCCCTGGCTTTTCATTTGTGCAAGGTCATCGTAGCACAGTGATGTGCCACGTGCTCGGTATAATGAACTGCAAACTTCAGCATCTTCAGCAACACTGCGCTTGCAAAGGGAACCACATTTTTTACCCCCATTCTTCCGTTTCATGCATTTGCCAACAGGGTGCACCAGTTTTTGCCAGCTAGATGGTGCAAGCTGCCTCTCAATTCAATTGGTATTTATACACCCGTCCATTTTGCCGATAGCCAACTCCCCGTTACTTTGCTTAAGGGGAGGTGCAAATCGAAAAACGGCAATATTTTTGCAAAAAAGCTGATTTTGGGTTTTGTGGTGTTTTATTCTTTCTGAAACTTTATATTTGATGTATAACAATATTTAGTGCTGGTTATGACCACAAAATAAGTAAAATATGCATTTGAAGACCTCCACGCAACCCAGAATGGAACGAATTTGAGCCATTTTTTTCTGTGTGGTTCTTTAAGTTGTTACTTTGCCCGCCATCACATTTACGTTGAAAAGTCGGCCTAGCAGTCTCCTCTCCGTTGCAGTCTTCGTAGCTTCAACTGCTCACGAAAATTTCTTAACAAAATATAATTTTCCGCACAGTGAAAGAGTGTAGCTAGAAGTCTATGATAACATTCAAATACATTTTGCTGTTTATATAAATTTGGGGCATCTTCAAAGTTTGTGCACAAGAATTTCTTTTCTTAAAATTATCCAATCACAACCAAATTTGGCCCGCATATACATAAAAAAATGTAGGATGCAACTGTCAAAGCTTGGTTAGAATGTGTCTTTTTTTATATTTACCTATAAAATATTTAACAAACATTAGTTTTGTTGTTCATTGCACTCAATGGTCTAGAAGGAGCAAATTAGTTTATTTACTACCGTAAAATACCGGGCGAGCGCCCACTAAAAATTTCGAGATAATCGCGAAAAAAATGGGGGATGGGCGCTTGTCCGGTCATCAATTTTACATATCAATGTACTGTGCATATTTTCTCAGACCTTGCAAATCTGGGAATGGGCGCTTAGTGTGGAGTGGGCGGGTGCACGGTAGTATTCTACAGTAGGCTTTTTTCAGCCTGTTGCTGTGCCTCAAACGTGCACAAGAACATGCCTTTTTCTACATATACATAGCATCGAAAAACTAGAAAAACAAACAAGCTATGTCAAATCTAACAACAGATTTATAGAAAGAAGATTAAGCACCATAATCTGTACAAATTTTATCTCGATATCATGAATAATAATAAAAAATGTTCTCCTCGCCGCTAAATGATTATGGTGCCTCCGGCAGGTATGGTTGCTGCATCTCATTTGTGGTCCCACGATTTCTACACAACGACGTCGCACTCGTGCCACACTGTTGCCTGCTGCGATGCCGACTGTAGTACAAGTACAGCGGCAAAGGTGGCTACCGCAGATGTCCATTGTGCTGCAGGTTGCTCCCCAGCTTGACGACCTGCCGAAACTTCAGCAGACACGTGTCGGACCACTGCGACGACGGTGACACTTGCGTTCGCTTGTCTCTTTTTCGCAGAACGTCTACGGCTAACCGCCAGGACCACGGCATCCAATGCGCCGGCCCCTGTGACTTTGTCTGTTGCTACCATTGAGGTACGTAGGAAGCTTCTGGAGGCGACGTTACGGTGTTTGAGGGACACGCCCCCAACGAGGACCAAAACCAAGAAATGCTACTGGACGAAAAGGAGAGCCAACTCAGTGCCAACAGCTGCTCTGGTCACCCTCCCAAGGGTGACCAAAGGGTGACCAGAGAAGCTCTTCTTTTTGTCCAACAGCGTTTCTTGGTTTTGGTCATTGTCGAGGGTGTGTGCCTCCACAGTGTCATGTTGGCTCCAGAAGCTTCCTATCTCCAGGGTTGCCACCTTCGAACTGCTTTCGATGTTCGGGCGGTATGCGGAGTGCAAGTTTGTCCGCTTCTTTTGCGGGGGTTGTGGCGACATCAGAAAGCCGAGCGCAGATTGGCTCCAATTGAAGGGTAGTGGTTAGACCTTGAGGCAGCTCGCTTTGAGGTCTACCCACTATCCTTTGATCAGGGCCGATCAGAGCTCGGCGTTCTGATGTCACCAACACCCCTGCGAAAGAAGCAGACGAACTCGTGCTCGAGCACACGCCAATCGAAGACAGGTGAGTCACGTCTACGGGTGCCGTATCCGCGAGGAGACTCAGAAGGAAGGGGAGGGGGCCTACCTGGCTGATGAGCCTGAAGTCGTGGCTGACAAGCACCATGCCACCATCAAACTCTGCGATGGCCTCGGCCAGGGCGTCGATGGTCTCCATGTCCAGGTGGTTGGTGGGTTCGTCCAGCAGCAGCAGGTGGGGCACCTGCCACGCCAGCCAGGCAAACACCACCCGGCAGCGCTGGCCGTCCGACAGCTGGCGGATCGGGCATATCTGGAACGGATCGGACAATGGCCAAAACAGAAAAAAAAGTTCATCACTGGGTTTATTGAGGTTTCCAGATTTTCATCTACCATTCCCAAACTGGAGAGCTTTGGACATTTTGATCTTTATCTAGGGCAGGGGTTCTCAGAGTGGGTTTCATGGAATACGGGAGGTCCGTGAGCACCCAAATGGCAGTGCAATCTGTGCACCAATGAAACTCTCAAAATTATAATTTTCCTGACAAAAGCTCGAGGTACACCTAAGCACTTCTTAGGAGTTGTGAATGTGAAAGCATGCAAGCTGCTCGTCTGCCCCCTTTTTCGTCTGCTGCATACTTTTTGTCGCTGGTCAGCGCGCATGCTCCCCATGTGACCCTGGACGCTCTGTGTTAAAGGCATGCTGATGGACACGCAGCACCATGGGGTGAGCGGTAGTGGAAACTGATGAGCACAGCGGCCAATGGGAGCCCCGTCAACGCGCGCCAGCCGATGAATTTGAAGGCGATCGCGGAAAGTAGGTGCCGTTTTCGCGCTTCAAACTGATGACGTCAGCTCGCTTCATAGGACAGTTAATGCTTTTGCATTAAAAAGCATTTCTCTTCACAAGGCACTTGCTGAAAGCTTGGCATTTCTAGGAAGAAAACTCTCAGCAAGGACAACTTCTGAGAAAGTTTCCCTTACAGAAGTGCAGCCATGGGATAACCACTATTTTTAGGCATCATTTACCCCGACGGTTACATCTCCCAAGCACCGGCTCCCTACCTGCTGCCTGCCAGTTAGGCCGTAGCGTCCGATGATCTTGCGCATCTCTTCTTTCTCCTTCACCTCTGGAAAGCTGGTCATCATGTACTCCAGGGCAGACATGTTCAGGTTCAGTTGTTCGGAGAGGTGCTGTACAAATGTATCAACAAAAATCTTCAACGACAAGAAAAGCAACGAAAAGCTATAAACCTTTTTCCACAAGCACTCAAGTAGTGTTGCAACAAAAAGCTGTTAAAAAGGCAACAAAAAGGCATCTTGTGCTACCACATCAAACTGCGAGGTTGTTTTGGGGCATAAAGAAAATTATTATTAGTATTATTATTATTCTTGATGCAAAACAAACATGCCAGAGTTCTTAGGCAAAGTGAGGCATCACAAGACCAAAGTCAAAGTAAAGCCTTGAGGTGCCAAACCAATGAAGGGCACCTGGCATTTCTCAAGTCAAGGACAGCAGGTTATATTTCGACCAACTGGAAATATTTTGACGTGCCTCCGTCAGGTTACGGGCAGCTTGGCTGGGATTTGAACCCGCCAACTGGATCATGAGTTCAATAACTGGACACGTCATCAAATCCGATTAGGAGCATGCAAATCGAACGCTCTTCTACCATTAATTGCTTTTTATGGCTGAAGAGCGGGCCTCATCAATTGAGTACCTTTTCCACTGCAAGAGCTAGGAATGATGCAGCACAATTAGGATTTCTTCCTTTCGAACTCGGTTTGACGGCATCTCTACCTGTGACAGCTGGGTGCTGGTTTCTGAGCAACTTACAACTTAGGGGTCACCATGTATTGCTATGTAGCTTTTCCGCGATTTCACATGCAAGTATGGGAACAATACATCTGCAGAGAAGAAGATATACGGCAGCCCGTTCAAGGTGCAACTGACCTGGTGGTAGCGGGCAATCTTCAGGTGGGAATGGGTCCGGATCAAGCCATCGCTCGGAACAAGCTGTGCGACAAGAGGAGAAAAAAAAGTTCAGAAGTGAGCGTTTAGTACTACTAATCAATTACAGCATCAGACTGCACACGTATGAGAGGAATACAACAAAAAAAAACCAACCGATCACTTCTGAAACTTTCAGAATGTTTATAAATGTGGGGCATTTAAACGAAAGATGCGAGCTACAGCACTAACAAATGTCTCTTTTTCGGATCCTCCACAGTCCTAAGAAAGTTTGGCAGAGATGGAAAGTTACCCAGTAAGACAGAAAAGTGGAAACGGCAAGTCTCAAGTTTTATACACTGAACACTCCGACTTGCAACGGTCTACAACTGGAGCGGTCCACAAAGACACATAATAACATTTTACACAAAATATTTTATGTAAAATGTTACACAAAACATTTTGTGTAACATTTTACACAAAATTTAAGGTCATCCAGAAGGATGACCTTAAATTGCTTGTTAACTATCTATCCCTCTTAACTATCTTCATGCTTTGTTCGGATAAAAGAGACAGTGATAATTGCCATCGCAGTTTATGCTGAGGGGAGACGACGGAGTGGAGGGGCGCCACTCACTTCGCCGCAGAGCAGCTTGAGCAGAGTCGACTTGCCGGCTCCATTGGGTCCCACCAGGGCCACCCGCGTGTCCAGGTCAATGCCAAACTCCAGGTCTTTGTAGATCCAGGCCTGCACACCGTGGCCACAAAGAAACATCAGCAATAAGTGCAACAGTCTCTGAGCGTGCCTGAACACATCAGTGACAAGTGCAAGCCTTCGAGCACATCAGAACATGTCAAAAACGATTCCAAATGTCTTCGAACATGTTAGAAAACATCAGCAACAGGTTAAAAAGTCTTCAAGCATGGCAGAAAACATTGGTAACAGGTGGAAGGTTTTTCTAAGCAAGCCAGAAAACGTCATAAACAAGTGCGAAAGCCTTCAAGCACGTCAGAATGCACCAGCAACGAGTGCCAGTCTCGAGTACGTCGGAAAACATCAGCGACAAGTGCGAAAGTCTTCAGGCACATGAGAAAACACCAGCAGCGAGTGCAAAAGCCTTCAATTCAAGCATGTCGGAACATCTCTCAAACTCCAAACAGCAATAAGCAAAGCCCTAACACCCACGATTTATACAAAAAAAAGGACTTCAGTAGCACGGAGAACCAAACTAGAGCATTGCACCAAACCGGCCCTGGCTTTCAAGCTTACACAAATATATCTGTTTACGTACCGACGAGTAAGGATGAAACCCACTCTGCCGAACCTAGACGTGCAGCACTGAATCTCAGGGGTGGGTCGTCAATCGTTGTAACGAATGGCATTTTAAAGAGGAACCAACAGAATAAAAGACGCACCCCGTCGTCGCTGTACCGGAAGGACACATTCTGCACCATGATCACAGGGGGCGGAATGGGTCCGCAGGATGGAAAGTAGAACTGCACCGTCTGCAACAGACGCCACGACACAGGTCTCGTCAAAGGACGGCACAAAAACACAGAAATTGACATTGCTGTCGACGATTGAGAAGTTTGGTCTCGAGTGCACGAGCAATCACGTACACTGCGCCAATACTGTTGATTGCTTTGGTGAAGTCCAGACTACGGAATTGGGGGAAATTCTATTGCTTTAAGGGATGACGTTTAGAAAGCAATCAATGCCCAAAGGGTGCATTTGAGTACTGCAAATAGCCATCGCTGCTCAAGCACTGAAAATCAAACTCTTCAAACATTTTACAAATATGATTCCCAATTCTACAGTCGACACTCGTTAAATCAAACTCCAGGAAGCCACAGACTTTAGTCTGAAATATCAGAAGTTTGCCAAAAATTCATCTTAACATGATGTGAGGCAAAGTAGCAATTTGCTATAAAGGAATAGCTACACATACCAAGCAGATTTTTACACCTTCCTCTACACAGGACTACCGTAAAATTCAGAAAGAAAGCCCACCTAAAATCAATAAAAAATTGGGTAAAATAAGGAGTGGGCTAACTTTCGGTGTGCAATCCAGAACAGTTGAAAAAATGCTATATTTAGATCTGGGTAAAATAAGGAGTGGGCTAACTTTCGGTGTGCAATCCAGAACAGTTGAAAAAATGCTATATTTAGATCATGTGTCAAATGAAGCAAAGACGACTCTACTTCCCAGTCAGCAATGTCCGCTTATATCCCGCTATAGCTAACTAGACACATTTACGCCAAGGTCATCATTGATCCAAACACTGTGATTACTAAGAGCAGGCTGTCTTTCGGTGTTTAAAAGGAAATAGCATATCAAGCCAAAAAAAAGAGGTGAATTACCTTTCGGGGATTTCACAGTATTTGTAAGCAGGCACACACAAAAAACATTGGTGAAATTCGAAGCAAATAGTGGTTTTGGCCAAATATTTTCCAATTGAGTATTGAATAGGTTCTCCAAGCACTTTTGCTACCGTTGTACCATGCTTAAACAAAACTTCAGCTGAACTCGTGAAAGCTGTTCTTATCTTTCTGATTGTCCACTTCTAAGCTCAGATAGTTTTAATAAACTGTATCTATGAAATGTGACCTCAGGAACTCCAACGCCTACATTGGGACGGCATGTAAATGACAGATTTGACATAAAATTAAACCTAAGGAGACGCCCAGCTATCCTAATCGCAGTGGCGTAGTTAGGGGGGAGGCTTATGAGGCTTTCACTCGCATTCTTTCATTTTCTATCGTTGCAATAAGAGCACACTTGCAAAAGCTTTCTAATGACCTACTTTTTGATGAAAATAAATATTTTGTTTTCTTGTTTAATTTTGGTTCTGAATTTTCTTTGCACGCAAACACAAACCATTCGAACCATCATTGTTTCGTTCCGGAGCAGAACTGGAACGGAACTTTTTCTATGGAACGAAGCTAAAACCAGAACAAAAAACATTTCATTCCGACACCCTGGATAAAAAAACTTTTCCAATCACTTGCAGTGTGAGAAAACAAAGAAACACTTATATACAAGTCATGGTTAGGAGGGCACTTGTATAGGAAACGTTAGGTACAGCTAAACTCCATAAGATGGGTGTGCAAAATTGCACAAGTTATTTGCAGTCTCCGGCGAGTTTCTCAGCTGCGGCACGTCTGCAAAATGGTTTGCGACAAAAACTCTTTGGTGCAGATATCAAGAGTGTGTCAGAGACTCCTCAATCCGGACAGGCTCGATTGGTGAACCCACGTGACTGACTATAAGTAAAAAAAAAAGGACGTCACCTTGTCACTGACAACTTTCTCGGTCAGCCCGGCAGCCACCATCTTTCCCAGGGTCTTTTCCTTACTCTGTGCCTGCCTCGCCAGCTTGGCACTGCCATGACCGAAACGGGCAATGTAGTTCTGAAAGACCCAGACACAAACCATTAGCGAGTAAAAAAAATGTTTGCACATCGTTGGCTGTGCAGCTTGACCAAAACTAAATTAGGTATCAAAACATTCAAACAACAAATAAAAATTAAAAAAATTATGGTTCGATTGTATCCGTCAAGTTTGAGGTGCACAAAATGCGTCACAAACGAGCTGGTCACAATACGTGATCACCTCACGATGTCACATGAGCTCTGACATCACGCGACGTTAGAGTCGCACGACGTAAAACACACATTTCGCAATGTTTGCCTGACCGAACCACATTTCACGAAGCACGCGCAGGCAATCGACCGAGAGGCCCGAGCACGAGCGCCCCCTCACCTTCATGTGGGCAATCTGGCTCTGCTCCCAGTTGTAGCGCTTCATCTGGTTCTCGAGCAGCTCGATGCGGGTCTTGACAAACGCGTCATAGTTCCCACCGTAGTATTTGAGCTGCTTGTTGTCCAGGTGGATGATATTGGTGCACACGCCATTCATGAAGTCCTGCGAGTGCGAGATGATCACCAGGATACGCTTGTAGGTCTTCAGCTCCTCCTCCAGCCACACGCAGGCGTCCAAGTCCAGGTGGTTGGTGGGCTCATCCAGAAGGAGCACGTGCGGACGGACGTACAGGGCGCGCGCCAGGGCGATGCGCATGCGCCAGCCTCCCGAGAAGTCCTTGCACTTCTTCGTCTGCATGGCCGGGGTGAAGCCCAGGCCGTGGAGGATGTAGGCCGCCTTCATCTGGGCTTTGTCGGCGCAGATGTCGTCCAGGCGGTCGTAAACGTCCAGGAGTTGCTCCTGGGCCTCGTCGTCCTCGAGGTGGGCCAGCTCCTCGGCGAGCTTCTCGAGCTGCTTGCGTTCTTCGTCCACGTCGAGGACGGCCTGAAGAGCCGTCTTCTCGCTGGGAGCGATCTCCCGGGTCAGGTGGTAGATGTCCAGCTGGGATTGGATGGGCACCTCGCGCCGACCGACTGCCGACAGCAGCGTAGACTTGCCTGCACGTGGCGCCAGTCCCCCGATGGAAAACGGATTAGGCCCACGGTACAGTGCAAGCCACTTGAGTGGTTTGCATGCAGGAACAAGGTATGCATAAAACGGCACCTTGAGACAATAAGTTTATGCTTTTGATGCGGGCGACAAATTCCTCGTCGTCGCCGAAAGTTTGAAGACAGGGGACAAAGCGACACATCTTTGAACTTTCAACCAACGTGCCGAAAGATGCGTCATTTTGTCCGTCTGTGTTTGTACTTTTGGTAACGGCTAATCGCAACCAACGTGCCCCCCTCCAACGTCACATACTCTGGTGGGTGTAGTTAATTAGGGGAATGATCAAACCACGTTTGGTGAAGAAAAATTCTCCAAAATAACAATGCAATGTGACAGGATGTGGAAACCCAGATTATTATAGCTACTATGGAAGTGTAGATTCTCAAAGCAAACCTACAAGAAAGATAGCCCTTGGAACAATCACGCTACAAAATTACAAAATCATGTTACAAAGTTATACAAACCAAGTGGGATTTGCAGGCTATCACAAACCCTTACAACACTACAACAGACCCTCAAATTTGCCTTACAAATGTAGAACAACCGGATGTAGTAGTGCTATCCTATCTGTTGGCCTAGGACGATATTGGTAGCTCAAGAGGGTTCAACTCTAAGTGAAACACAGAGAATGGCATACTTGAACTATCAACAATTATTCTCTTCCTATTCTCGACCAGCTAAAAAAAAAAAAAGAAATTGCACTTACCACTGCCGTTCAGGCCAATGAGTCCGTAGCGGCGCCCGCAGTTAAGCTCCAGCTTGGTGTCGGTGAGTATCTCCACCCCATGGAAGGTGATAGACAGGTTGTCAATCTTGACGTCCCTTGAGCGCGGGTGCACCGCCAGCACCCCCGTGCATGCCCGGGCGGCCGCGTTCAGGCGCATGTCTTCCTCCAGACGCCTGATCAGCTCACGCTCCGCATCTGTGATGCAAAAAGCATACGTCAGCTCCCCCTCTAAAACAAGGTTTGACTCCAAACGCTGCTACTTGTTAAAGTGCCACAGCAGACTATAAACATAGATTTGGTACACATTCTTCACCTATAGTGATCTAGGCAGAGATGGTTGACCTCACCCACTCTTCGTGCTCAGCTCTTGTCACAGAGGTCCCAACCCTCCCCTTAAAACATCCCTGACTATTCCACTGCTTATGAGCCACACTTCTAATTTAACCTCTTCCTTTTGAAGCTGACCAGAGTGTAGCCCATGCAAACACGCAGCTTTTCTATTTTCAGCTTTAATTAGAGATTAGCAGTAGGGATAGGCCACTGCTTTAACATTTTCCAATTAAACCTTTTGTAGCATGCATCAAGCTCCAATGGCACTTTTGAAGCGTCAGCTGCTTTCTCGCCTTGAGAAAACACCAGCAACTTGCCTTTGCCTGGCTCATTACGAGGCACTACACAACACACTAGATAAGCACCTTTCCACACACACCATAATCTTCTGAAAGCTTGCACCACCCCACTCTAGGCAGCAAAGCATGGCTACCCACAACCACGGCAGAGTTTGATTGTGACATGAAAACCATCACATGGCTGAAAAACGAGCAATCTCTCTTTCAAGAAAAATAAATAAAATTTCGTAAAAGGTAGAAGCCACACAAGTAAACCACATACTGAAAAAACTAACAGAAAAGGATGGATACATATTTCTGTCTGCCAGTTTCTTTTTTTTCTGTTAGCCTCCCCAAAGAACCGACACGCTTGTCCCAACTTTACGGGCATATGTATTTACACCGATTAAAGAAAGCGGCATTCTAACCCATGCACTTCAGTGCGAATATGATGCTTCCTTTGTAGGTGACAGTGCTCGAGCCACATCACCTTTCAATATTCAAAGTCATTCACTTTAACTATACGAGGTTATTATGAGCTGAAACAGTACTTTGTGCTTCTTTGGCACACCTGCCAGTTTTTGAGAGTCGTGGTTTGAACTAGGATCGGAATGCGAAGTTGAGTTCCCATCCTACAGAAATAAATTAAGAGATACTAAATAGCTTGCAGGGTTCGCAGACACAGAAAACAGCTTGAACGGGTGTTTCAGGACATATTGATTAGTGGATGTATCTCGTTACAAATTTCAATGAGTCGTCTATTTACTTCAAGTACAAAAACGCGGACGTTGATCCTACAGTGAGCATTCGTTTGTTGGATAACAAATATCGCTCAATTAATATGGGTCCTATTTACTTCTGGTTTCATGTGTACACTAGCAGGGCCACCCAATTAGTCCTACAGAGTGTGCGAAAATATCTAATAGCGCTTTGACAAACTGCATTTCAATACCTGTATTTCTGTGAAATGTATTCCCGTATTCGTATTTTCAAATACTTTCTATATGTGGAAGATGTATCTCTAATACATATTGCAATACCTATTTCTAAATGTATCTCACTATCAGTATTTAAGAAGTCTCTGCTGTGTATCCCAGTATTTGTATTTCCAAATACATTTTAGGATGTTTCTGCCCAACCCTGTACGAGAAGAGCCTGCTCTATAGTTATTTTCTAGATGCCTGCCAATTATCTGACAAGCCCTTGCAAGCTAGTAGAGAAGTGAAACAAACCTTTCAATAATAACCCCCCCCCCCCCCCCACACACACACACAAACTTTATTATTATCATTTTTTTTTTCTTTTTTGCCACAAGCCGGTCTTGTGAACATACCAAGGTCAGCGGCACGACATTCTGCTAGGCCTACGAAGCTCCGAGAAGGAGTTTGCTCCAAATACTGAAGTTCCTTGTCGGCGACGCGGTCAGGCAAGAGAACAAGAGCACTAACCGCAGGGGCCGTGACCGGAAGGATTACTCACCGCTGATGTCGTTGCCGTTGATGCCGTTCAGCTCGGCCGCGTCCCCGTTCTCGATGATCTCCCGTGCGTCGCCGTTGGTTTCATTCTTGACCGCCTTCTTTGGTTGGTTTCTGCTCTTCAACGCCTCTTTCTTCTTGGCTTCGCGCTTCTTTTTGGCGTCCGATGGCATCTTGTTGTCTACGAGGCAACGCGGGCAGTTTCTTTCATGTTGGGGATGTCTCGCGTGGGAGTGAAAGAAATGTCAGGCAGAGCAAAGCCTGCAGCGCTCAAAAGTCGGTTCCATCAAAAGTTTCGAGACAAATGAAACAATATTGATCAAGTTTATGTCTAATATCGCGGCAATGACTCGTTTGTAGAAACAGCGGTGCCGAAGAAAGCTAGGCAACCGAACCAACGACAGAACTCAAAGCCCGGATATGTCTCTTTAAATATTAAAGCCAACCGCCAATACACCGGACAGCCTTTAAACGGGTGGCCAGGACTTTAAAGAGGTTAAACAAATATTGGTCCGTTAATAAAAGATAAAAAAAAAATCTTTACGCGCATATCATTTTTCTTATTCGTTATTTTTTACCCCTGCCAGTCCTAGGAGTCGTCGTCGGGAAACAGCCCGTCATTTCTTTACATCAACAAGAAGTCACCACGGAGCACAGCGACAATGGCGAATTCAGCATATTTTAGAAGAGTTTGACACCAGCGACTCTTTCCCGGGACCGCAGATTCAGCAAAAAGGTGGGACTCAGATTTCGACGTCGTTGGCAACGTGTGACAAAGGGCTATGTTAGGCCACTGCTCGCGCTCATTCATTCGTTGCCTAACACCGAATCTCGGAACGTTTTACCGTCAAAGAAAGCGTACAAAAACGTGCGGTTTATGTGACGACGGAGAGGAGTGCTTCGCTCACCTTGTGTTGCTTGAAATTTCACTGAAGTTGCTTGTTTCAATGTTTAAATCCAAGAAATTGGGGGGCCGAAAATGTAATCCGTATTCCAGGCGGAAGAGCAGAGAGCGCCGAGGACGAGCGGCATGCGTACAGGTGCGGGTACCGCAGAAAATGAAAAATTAATTCCATAAAGCACACTTTAGAGAAATATAATTCAGGTAAAATATAATTATATATATTTGTAATATTCAAATATGCACCGAATTCACAATATTAACGTATTTCAATTTTGGCCATTTATTATTGTGACGTCATGGAATCTGCGCCGAGAAACTGAGGGAGAGGATGGAACGAGAGCGAGGCACGTGACGAACGTCACGGGGCCATTCGCCATTTGTGCCATTTGTGTCACTACGCTGACTACGCCAATTACGAGGAGCGAGTAGGGTGGCTTTCCAGCCACCATAGCGCAAGGACCGGAGGAACCGGCTGTCGAGAGTCGTCTGCTCCGAAACCAACCCCACCTTCACATGCCGCAGCGAAGGCTAGAAGCGCGAGCAGGCGCGAGTTCATAGCGTTGGCAGCTGCCCTTGGCGCACGAGAACTTGTGCCGCCGAGATGTGCCCTAGAGCAAAGAGCTCGCGCTTATAGCCCTTCCTGCGGTACAACACTAGGTGAAACAGAGTATAGAGGGCCTCAAGTAAGAGTGCATTCAATTCAAGCCATGGTATGAGTCATGGAGAGCATTTTCAATTTAATAGCAGCGTTAAAGATGGCAGTTTTTTTTTTTTTTTTTTTTTTTGTGTTTAAAAAATGTTTTTTCCATCGGAACGAAAATGGTGCCTATAGAAAAGTGTTATTTTATTCTTCGTGTATAATCTTCAAGCATCTACAGGGCTGCTCATGACCGGATATACGTTGAAAAACCACCCGTAGCCCAATAGACCCGCAGCAAAATTTTGTAATTTAATGGCACCCATAAACACAAACCCCGATCTAGCAGTTGAACACTCTTGCTTGAGGCTCGCTAGCGTAACCACACGTTGTCACCTCGCCCAGTGGAGATGTCCCAGATTCGATACGAGGACCAGGCGGAATTTGTCAGTTGCGCACCAGCCACCTTGCTGTGTATGCAGATTTGTGTCCTTTGCCCCCATTCTCCAGGGATTATTATTGAGACAAATGCTGCCTTTCTCCCCACCACATTCATAAAACGTTTTCGAATGCGAAAATTAAACGGTGGATGGCAAACTTTCCTCTCCTTGTGCATTTCTTTGGCACTTTTTTAGGCGTGTGGTGGTCGTTTGTAATTGGCGCAGCAACTCAAAAAAAAAAAAAAAATTAAAATGCATTTTAAAAGCTTTATAATAACCCCCTCCGCCCCCCCCCCCCCCCCCAAAAAAAAAAAAAAAAAAAAAAAAGAAAATACTGGACAGATTTAAAAAAAAAATGCCAAGAACAATTGACAGTGTTAGTGTTTTAACACAGACAATGCATTTACCTGTTCCCAGTTGGGTTTTCCATTAAGGGGTTAGTTCATCGGCTTGCCTGGCTCTTTCACTTTCGTCGCGTCGGCCTGCAACATTCCCCTGCTTGTGGGACCAAGCACGTGCCAGATTCATCCACGCCCGTGGTGCACGTGCTGGCAAGGCTTACAAGAGTGCACGTGGCGCAGGCACAGCTTTAATTGGTACAAAAGGTGCGTATATGCTCCCACAATATTGACGTGTTGAGTGTGTTCATACTGCAAGTTCACAGCCTTGTAGCTGTTAAAACACAGAGCGTAGCAAAGCCAGGGAAAGCTAGCCGAAGCCAGAACACCGTACGAAAAAGCTAAACCTTGCAGATGGGGATTGTACGGTATTACATTAGCAGTTATACATTGGAGGTATGCAAATATAAACAGTTTGAGTGCAAATGTTAATATTAATGATAATAGATGTTAAAAGCTCATTGCAAATTAAAGTAAAAAACAATTTTCAAACAAATACTTGTTTACATTTAATGTGAAAGAGCATAGATACTTTAATAAATCACCGCTGGAAATCTTTCCTAGAAAGCATACCACCTACGAGAAACTTGATTGCACGAAGAACATTTAACAAAGTTGTACAAAGGAAAAGAAACACATAAAATGCAGAATTGTAAGCAAATCAAAGACTACCTTAAATTTATTTGAACATACCTCGGTTTTTCTTTTTTGCCACTGTCCTTTAAAATTGGTGGTTTAACTATAATTATAAACTAAAACGGCTGACCTACAACAGTGAGCCAAATTTTCGAGACCATAGAGACAACCGAGATGGTCAGACGTGCCAGCCGTTTCTCCTAGAGCACAGGTGCAAAGCAGGGAAGCTTGACGTCAGAGTGCCGGTGCGAAGCAGTGAAGCCTGGCACGAGAGGACCAAGAATTCTAAAGGCACTATTCGTAACTTCCGGATATTAAAAAGCTTGACTACTTTTAACAATAAAAGTGTGCTGCAAATCGAATTGCAAACACTATTCGCAAGTCGTTTAAAGTTTCGAATATTTCCACACATCTAGTTATGAGGCACTGAAGGAACATGAGACAGGAAATAAGACTCTCTGCACTTGTTTATTTCCAGTTATCACACTGCATGGAATAAACGTTGCCTCGTGCATTAGTGGCGCCTAGGTACCCACCTCCCAAACCGGGAGTCGTCGACGCAGAGTTGTCAAACGCCCCACCGATTCCACAAACACTCGTACGAAAGGCCAAATGCGGCCAATATTGCTCACTCGTTTCACCATAAATTGCTCTCCTAAAAAAAAAAAAAAAAAAAAAAAAAAAAAATTTTTTTTTCAGGTAAGACAGAAGGGTAATGCAACCTTGTGCCTTCACGGTGATAACTGGTTTTTGAGAACTCAACGACACAGAAAACAGGTGCTTCAAGATCTGTAATGGGCGCCGCACAAATAGCAAATAAGTTAAACATCGACAAGCGGCTTGTCCCGGTGGATTGTGTTGAACGAAAAGAAAAGAGCTACAACGCTAAATTAGCAACCAAAGGCACTACACTATATACTAGCTCCAGGCTGTTCAGATGGGCTTATGCCTGTTGTATATGTACACACCTTATAATGTGATGACGGCAAAGGCTACACTGGAAAATGGAAGCAAACTATAATTTCAAGAGCTGCGGGAAACGCAGGACGGCGAGCCCAAAACTAAAACCCTTAATTTTGCGAAGCAATTTCTGCGTCAAACAGGCGCATGAAAAGGCGTGCGTGTAACGCAAGACTAGGCACGCGCAATTAAATTAGGCTATCCGAAGAGACGCGGCGTACGGCAAAGCGTGTAACAATCTGAACGCCTACGAGCATTCGCTTCGTGCACCTAGCACGACAGGCCACGGGAGCGGTGAGCCGCAACCGACTTTGCAAGCTACTTTTGACCTTCCCCGACTTGAGTGCCCGTCAATCGGTCGACACTGAAAACGAAATCCTTCTTTCCGAGATGAGGTGATATTACAGACGGCGCGAGGCAAGTTAAGATCTGGTTTTTTGAGCATGACAAACAAAGCGAAGAAAGGAAACAGATGACAGGGAAAAAAGGAAAACCTGGAAGAACCGCGGCCCAAGCCCATAGGAACAGAACTAGATTGGATATAAAAAGGGTTGAGAATCTATACATGAAACAAAGCACAAAATGAAGAAATAAGGGGAAAAAAAAAAGAATGCAGTGAACAGACATGAGAACAAGTGTACCCTATGCAGATGCCATCCTCGAAATGGGGAGCAACTAGAGGCAGTGAATCGAGCACAGGGAAAACCGCACGCAGGCCACCGCCGTCGTAAACTTCCTCTCCCTCTAACACGTCCCAGAACAACAATGGAGACAACAGGGGTAAAAGAAAATGGGGAAACAAGAACAACAATGAAACATCAACAAAGCCGAGTGCGGTAAGAAAAAAAAAAGAAAAGGGCCACTGAAAGACCCTAGTACCGCAGCCTCACCGGTGTGGCGACAGCCACCACCACATGCCCCCTAATCTCTTTCGATGGCTGACAACGCCGGCCGCGCGGTGCTGCTAACTGGCGCTGCGGCACCCGCCCTTACGCGGCATTCCGTAGTTACAAGAAACGCAGAATCCAAGAGAAGGGTAAAGGAAGAAAAAAAAGATTCCGGGTATTGAGGAGAGCGCGGTCTGTCGAGGATTGGGGAAGCTCATTTGTAGGCGACGAGCTTCATGAGCCCCTCGGTGGTCATGGACTTGGGTCGCTCGATGGGGAGTCCCAGGGCGCGGTCCCAGACGAGGGAGGAAAGGACGCCGAGTGCCCGCGAAACTCCGAACAACACGGTGTAGTACTGCATCTCCTTCATGCCGTAGTACTGCGAGAGAAAAAAGGAAGAGGGGCAATGCCGTCGGTTACGACGGAAGCACTAGACAGCCTCTGCTACGATAGATGCGCTTGTTTAGACTGTAGCTATGAGAAGCGTACACACCCTAGTTATGAGATCGGGTAAAAAGTTGCAAAATGAAATGGGTAAAAAGGTGCGTGTGCCTGCACACTATGAACATTGAAACGTGGAAATACTACTATGAGAAAGGAGCGTCCCTGTATTACAAAATAGGGAAAAAAATGGGAAGGAATATCCCCCATATTACTAAATAGGAAGGTAAATGGGGAAAGAATATTTCTGTATTATGGAATAGAGAAATTAATGGGGAAATAGTATCCCTGTATCACGAGAGGGAAATACATGGTGAAAAATATCAATGTATTATAAGAATAGGAACATGAATAGAAAATAATATCCCTGTATTTTGAAAGAGGAAAATAAATGGTGAAATAATATGTATTCCTATATTATAAAAAATTTACAGAGTCTCTTATGTTAACCCTAAGACGACTTGAAGGCGAAAGCCCAAGTGCCAATGTAAACATGATAGCGAAGACAGTGCGCTCTCTGACGACGCACTTTTGGTGCTGTTTCATTGATACCTTTCATGTCGCCGACGTGTTTTCATACTTTTCGTATCGCCGACGTGTTTTCGTTCAAAGACTTTGAAGCTCGACCGAATGATGAGATATATAAGGCTTTCGTCTTAAAGGGGCCCTGCAAGGACTTTTTTATTATTTTTTAATTTGCACCGAACCTGAGCACACTGAACGTAGTAACTTAATAAAACTCTTCTTTCCTCGAATTTCGCTTTACTTTAAAAGTTACAGGCAAATCAAAATGACAAAAACAAGCAAAAAATAACCTCCTTCATGACGTCCTTGGTTGCTTGAGTGGCCGTGAACTAGAGGAAAACTAGTGAGCGCAGCGAGCGATCACGGCTGCCGCACTCTGAGTAGACGGCTCGAGAGGGCGCCACTAAAGCATGTTCTGGATAGGCTGTATGAAGCAGGCAGCCAGGGCGGCTCGCATTGCATTTGCTTGCATTGCATTCGGCGGCTCGCATTGCATTCGGCATGACACTTCATTGGCTACAAATGACAGCAAACACGGAGTAAAGATCGCTCAGAACGGGAGCCACTTCGCGCTGCCATACTGCCAAAAAGCCAAAGTGCAAGCCAAAGCTGCTCACCGAAGGCCTTGGGAACGCTCGGAACCGGTCGGATCCTCCAGTCCATACGACTGCAGTGCCGCCGCGCACATTCGGGAGCTTTCTACGCTCGCCGTTCGTTCGTGCCTAGTTCCACTACACCTTTCTAGTATGCGCCACCTTTTCCAACGCTTGGTGGTGGGTATGTCGACGGGTCATTTCTTGTTTCCATACTTTATAAACTGCATTTTTTTTCCCCTTGTCTAAAATACTGAACAAAAACTACTTTCATAAATAATTGAGACTGTTTGCGCAAGTTATATTTTTTATTTTGACTACGAAGAAGCTTTTAGTAGGAAGCCCAGGACCAAAGACGCATATCGCACGCTTTCGGCACCGTGGGTCGCCCCCGTAGGTGGAGGAGGTTTCCGCGTCGTCCAGTTAAAATATGACGCACTGATATTCAGTTACTCTCTTCGTGCCTGCTGGCATGATCGAACCCCAAGGGACGTGGAAACCGCAAAAAAGTTAGACGCTTAAATATGATTGCAGGGCCCCTTTAATAAGAAAATAAATGCCACATAATATAGCTGTGGGGTGTTTCCGCGTCGGATCATGCAATGACTGTTTTGGGTCATATTTTTTATACTTCTGTAATAAATATATGTAAACGCCATAGCTAAATTTTTCCCAGATATAAAATTGAGAAGCTCAGAGCGTGGACATTGCCGAGATTTCGCTATGGTAATTTGCACAGCCACCAATGTCACTCCAAGGAAGGCACATAGACATTTTCATGTATTTTATAGAAAATTTACAACATGAACACCACATATTAAAAATTATAATTATATATTTCTGTGCATTTCCGTGCATATATTTAGCAAAGTTTTGCATAATGTTGTTTGTTGGTAAATAATTTGTGAAAGTGCTTCACAACACATTTTTTTATGTTCCATAAATTTTTCTTTTTGCATTAAAAAGTATAGTTGTAATTTTCAATATTTGGTGTTCATGCTGTAAAATGGCTATAAAGTAAATGAAAATTTAGTTAACTATGTGCCTGCTTTGGTGTGACATCGGCGGCTGTGCAAGTTACCATAATGACATCTCAGCAATGCCCACGCCTGAAGCTTCTCAATTTTATATCTCTGGGACCTAGCTGAATGTTCCTCCCAAGAACGTGGCTTTCACATATATTTATTATAGAAATATAAAAATATATGACCTGGACAGTCATTGCACGATCTGACATGGAAACACCCTGTATTACAAAATATTCCTGTATTGTGATAAAAGGAAATAAACCTGTAAAAAGGGTGTGTCCATGTTACAAAGTCGGGAACGAGATACCGTAGAAAAAAAAGAAATCCTCGTCTTACGAACTAAAAGAAAAGTAGAAAAATGGGGTGCTCCTACATACAAAATAAGGAACGCAATACTGAAATGAAATAGGAATGTGCAAGAGGAGAACTAGAGGTATTCGTGTATAACCAGAGTAAAGAACAGTCCGACCATGCACATACGTCCACTTTTCTGCGTAATAACCCCTCTGGGTCCTTGAGGAAAATAAATGATGATGATGATGATGATGATGGCGGGTCTGAGTTTTCCGTCATTCAGCGGGGGAAAGAACACAAAGAGCCGGGGGGGAAGCCCACCTGCAGAAGGACTCCTGAGTGGGCGTCCACGTTGGGCCAGGGGTTCTTGACCTTGCCGAGCTCGAGCAGGATCGGGGGCACCACGCTGTAGATCTGGCTCACCAGCTTGAACATGGGGTCGTTGGGCAGGTGCTTGAGGGCAAACTCTCGCTGGCACGTGTAGCGGGGGTCCGTCTTGCGCAGCACCGCATGGCCGTAGCCGGGCACCACCTGAAGCGGGGTGGGGGAGGCCGTGCGGGAGAGAAGATGTAAGCACGGGGCTCGACGGTGAAACTCTATTCACTTTAATCGGATATGAATAAATCTCAATCCTTTGGATGGTAGAACCAAAGTTCAGACTACCGAACGGTGTGCCCTCAGAAACTGCAACAGGCCTCCACTATACTTGGTTTCGTTTTTGGTGCGAGTGTAGCAAAAGCTAAGAAAGCGAAGCCTGGGCTTTCAACTTTCCTGCCAAGCACGCATGCTCGTGCAGTGCAGGCATCGCTCGAGGCAACATCCCCGAGCCTTTGAATTCGCTCGCACATAAAGCGAAACATACTATATAGACTGGGTAGACCGTTGAACAGCCGAGAACAAGATCAGTGCGGTGGCACTTCGTCTCGTAGCTACCAAAGTAACCAGATGCTGCAACTGCGCCTCCATGCAAGAGTGCGAACAAAATGATGCCACGCTGCCACTTAAAAATGGCGGATGTGAATGCAACTTTCCCCGATCTTCGTATCCAGTCGTGCAATGCTACGATCTAGGAGGAGGCCAATGTGTTCTCTCGTGTGGTTATCAAGCAAAAGACTCTTGCCACCCACCTGTCCAGACTTCAGGGTCTTCCAGACAAAGTCCTTGAGCTGCTCGTCGTTCACTTCTCCTCCGAGCTCCTTCTGCAGCTTTGTAAGCCACACCAGCACCTCCTGAAGTCAAGAAAGTGGTATTAGAAACCTCGATACAACCTCACCTGAATAAAACTTCTACAACTTTAATACAAGCTCTACATGAATGGACAGTACTCGTATTTACATTGCACCCCAGTAGGCATTGCCGAGTAAAACTACAGGAGCAAAACAAAAGAAGCATTAAAGTACTGACAAAAACATTTGTAATTAATGGCAGATGACTCCTAAAGGAGGGAATGCCTCCTGCGTTTCCCATTTGCTTTTGTGCAAATAAAAGGTTGATTGACTGATTGAAGCTCCTGCAACTACTGGATAATCATATGACCTCTCTATAGCGAGGATACTATAAATATAGCAAAGGGAGGTGAAGTACATTTGTAGTAATACAGACAAAAGCATCTGAGGCATTATATACCAAAGATATTGACATAGCAAAGAGGTTTCTGGAAAAAATTTGCACTACTATGAAGAGACTTTACCGCAGTAAATCCATCACGACTAAAAACAAAATTTGGAAAGCTCCACAAAGATGGTGGACGCTTCTTGGAACGACTTTACTTCTTCGGCCATTTTTAGAATGCAATGCATCAGTAGCAGCCCAAATCGCAACATGCTACCGACAAAAAAAAAAACACATATAAATAAACTCCTTATTAAATTTGATATTACAAGGCTTACTGGATGTAAAATGTTTGTCTTGCTTTACCATAAAGCTGCGACACAAACATATCCGAAATCCCGAGAAGTTACTTCAAAGTCAATTTTGCTGCAAAACAACTCGAACTGTGTGAGAAAAAATGAAAGCCGTTTACAATTCCCTGTAACGCCGGTTAGAGCGCAGCTCTTGAGGAGGAAGATGGAAGCGTACTGAGGGATAGGTGACTCCTTGAGGTCACGTGACCTCAAGGGGGTCACGTGACTTCAGGGGGTCACGTGACCTCAGGGGCTCACGTGACCTTTGGAGTCACGTGACCTCGGGGGTCACGTGACCTCAAGGGTCACATGACCTTAGGGGGTCACGTGATCGCCAGAAGTCACGTGACTTCAGGGGGTCACGTGACCTCAAGGTGGTCACATGACTTCTGGGGGTCACGTGACCTCAAGGGGTCAGGTGACCTCAGGGGGTCACGTGACTTCAGGGGGTCACGTGACCTCAGGGGCTCACGTGACCTTTGGGGGTCACGTGACCTCGGGGGTCACGTGACCTGAAGGGTCACATGACCTTAGGGGGTCACGTGATCCCCAGAAGTCACGTGACTTCAGGGGGTCACGTGACCTTAGGGGATCACGTGACCTCAAGGCGGTCACGTGACTTCTGGGGGTCACGTGACCTCAGGGGGTCACATGAACAGGGGCTCACGTGACCTAAGGGGGTCACGTGACCTGGGTGGGTCACGTGACCTGGGTGGGTCACGTGACCTCGCGGTTACGCCGACGCCGACGGCGACGCCGCTCAAGCCGGAAACGGGCCCCTAAGAGCTGCGCTCTAAAAAAGACTGCACATACCTGGTTGGCTAGGCCGTGAAGGGGTCCAGCCAGGCCGTTCATTCCTGCAGCCAGGGACAGGTACGGGTCCGAAAGGGCACTGCCCACCAGGTGGGTCGTGTGGGCACTCACGTTGCCACCCTCGTGGTCACTGTAGGGAAGGGGGGGGGGGGGGGGGGGCACCGTCAGATATTCACACACATAGAATGGGGGACACTAGAGCCACTGTACTATATGGCAGCAGAGTAACGATAACTAAGCAAAGGTACTACTAGTCATGCAGTACCTTTGCCCAAAAATGTTGTCTATATAGTGGGGTATTCAAATTAACAAGGTCATATTGACGAGACACGACTGCATATGTGTGGTGCCAGAGAGAGCAATGGTAATCTATTCTGGTCGGTCTTGAAAACCGCCGTGAAAACGTTATAGCTGCTATATTTGGCGTCGGCTATTTCATGCTACGTTGTCAAGGCTGGCATAGTTTCTGCAATGCTCCAACGCCGTCAGATAGGTACTAGCATGCATGCATGGCTTCACTTGACGACTCCCTTATCCAACAGTGCTTTGGATACGAGACGAAGCAGTGTGGTCTCGCACCAGAGTGAGGTGGCGCCACTGCGAAAGATGTTCCCGCCCCGACAATTTAGCCCAGAATAGTAGATGCCGAGTGCTCTAGCGGCTATTTTACATGTCTCATCGCATCATTCATGCGAGCACGTCGACTCACTCACTCAACTATGCAACCACAGAGGCAGCCTGACAATCGCAACAATAACGCTCCTTCCAATGCAGTGCTATCATACAACAAAGACAGACGATCCTCCTTGCCTGTGGATGGTAAGGTACAGCCGCATGAGCTCGGTGAAGGCCGGGTTGTCGTAGCCGAGCATGGCGGTGAAGTTGGCCGACCAGTCCTTGGCCACGTCAATGGCCCCGATGCTGCTGCCCTCGCGGAACAGGTTGCGGTAGATGGTGGCCGCAATGGGCGGGAGCTTGGCCACCAGGGCCATCGTGTCGTCGAACGTGTGCTGCGGGAGTTGCAGGCACAGCCCGATCAAGGGTCACGCTAAAGACCTCGGCGCAATCTAAAAGAGCAGTTGGCGTTCCCGAAAAGCTCGTTCGGGGATTCAAAAAGTGCAAATGGTCTCATTTAATATTTCACGCAGAACATGCAGGAAGAGAGATGGAACTCCAGTCAGTTATTTTAGGGTTCCCTAAGCAACCTCAGAGTTGGTTTCACAAGAATCGTGGAAAACCGGAAAACCCCGAATTGGAGCAATAAAAGCACCAGGGAACAGAACAAGAAAGAATTGGAGCTGTACTTGAATAACTAAAACCGTAGCTTCACGAAAACGAATCTTTATCTACAGCTAGTATATTTTCTGTTGATCCAGAACCCGGACAACAATCAACTGCCTGTGAGGCTTTCTTTTTTTCACACCCTTTATCTTGTGTCCTTTTCTTATCTGTACAGCGACGTTTCCAAAGTATTTGGGTCATGCGCATGTTCCCCGAAGGCTGGGCAATCTCACGGCCGTGTCTAGTTTTCTTCGACCTCCTCCTTCCCTTCCCCCCCATGAATGCCTATGTACTCGTTTTCACCTCAAGAACTGTAGTAGAAAGTAGTCCGGGTCCTCGCAGAGCATTACTAATTTTCCCCTTTGTGTAGAGCAGCGGTACTCAAATTGTGGTCTGCCCCCAAAAACCCCCAAAAACGCTCGTAAAAAAAAAAAAAAAAAAAAAAAAAAAAAAAATATTGCACGAGATTACGACGCGGAATGCATTTGGGGTCCTAAAACGATCTCCGAGGGGATCAGAGGGTCCGTGACGACTGAAAGTTTGAGAACCCCCATGTAGGAAATTAAGACCTATGTAGGTGCATTTTAGATTAGATTCACATTATCTTATCAAGTACGTTGTGCACACATTTCAAATGAAAAAAGCAGCGCTTCTTCCTCTGACGACCAAACCTTGTAAGGACCACATCGGGCGGCATGTAAATGATGCGCAGTTCTTCCTTTTCTTCGAGGTAAAAACGAGTATAGTAGTTTTCGACCGATGCTCAGTCTGCGGGAACAAAATTGCTAGACAATACTAGAGACGTTGCAGAAGCTCTTTAATCTGATTACACTATTTGCAACGAGGTACTAAGTTCATTGCACCAACGGGACATCGGCAGATCGCCGAGATCATCCAGTTCGATCTGGATCTCGCGTCCGCTCCCACGCACGCGGAAACAAGATGCTGTCCGAGATGCATCAAAAACAAACCTCCAATAACACTGGGCTGGTTGTTGCACTTGCGACTGCTTACGATCGTGTGACTTAAAACCTCTTGCAATGGGAAAACAGACTGCCGCCATCTATACCGGGAAGCTGTTAAAGCCCTTCAGCTTCCTTATAACCCCCCCCCCCCCCCCCCCCCCCCTCTTTTTTTGGCTTTGAAATCTTTTGACAATGTTATAAAAGACCATTTTTTATAGGTAGCATGTACATTTGATATCTTAAATACCGCAGAACCTTTGCTCCAGCGAAATCTGGTTCTAGGGCCACCCCATAGATGGTGTTGGCGTGCCAGTGAGTTCTTGCACCGTAAAGGCTCGCTCACACGCTTGCAATTGAGCAGTACCGGCCGAGACGAGACCGGTTTTTAAGCCTCTTACGATGGCTTAGGACAGTGGTCGGCAACCTTTCTCAGCGGCGGGCCGAGTCACCACGAAACTGACAAGGAGGGGGCCGGACAACAAGTTGCGAAGGGAGGAGGAGGGGGGGAGAGAGGGGGGGAAGTCGAAGAAGAAGCAAAAAGGAAGTGAAAATGCTCTCTTTTCAAGTACGGGGTGCCAGACAATCGCCATTTGAGGTCAAAACCAGTGTTGGCGGTAACGCATTACAAGTAACGGCAGTACTGTAAAGCTGTACTGTTTTCCGTAACATAGTAACGGACCCGTTACTTTTTGAAAACGGTAACGGGTAACATACTTACGTTACTTATTTCAAATAACGGGCAACAGTTACGTCATTCGTTACTTCTTCCCAAGACTTAAAAAATTACTTCAAATTTTTTTCGCGTTTTTAGGCGTCAAGGAATGTGAATTTTTGGCGCTTTTCTTAGCATTTCTTTTCTGGTGAGTAGGTGAAACCGTAAAAAAGATCAATTATGTTCACTTTCAGTATGAGCACAACGTTTTTTAAGATATGGCACTTACGCGAACCTGTACTGTCAAAACAGTATAAAACGCGTTAATTCATAAATAAAAAAGTAACACAAAAGCAAAGTGAATTACCTTATAAGTGTAACAGTAACATGTTCCTTTTATATTAAGGTAAAGTGGGTCGGTATCTCGTTCCTTTTATTTGCAAGTAACAAGTAACATACTTCGTTACTTCTTTTTGGTCACAGCCACAACACTGGTCAAAACTGCCGTGAGGTCCTCAAATCTGTGAGGAAGCGACAAGGGGGGGGGGGGGGGGGGGGGGGGCTTTTTGATGTCAAGCCGGGGGCCGCATAAACCTGCCTCGCAGGCCGCATGGGGCCTGCGAGCCGTGGGTTACCAACCCCTGGCTTAGGATCTGCTCCGCAGCAGTGCATACGGTCCTACGCCGTTGCAAGAGGCTTAAGGGAGGACACTGGCTAGAGATTTAACTTCTGAACCACTCAATTGAGTCAAATGAAATTTGCAGGGGAGATTTAACGTCAGATGTAGGTGTACTGTGCAGACTTTCAGCTTTCTAGAACAACTTTACATAGCTATATAAGAAGATGTGTCACTCTTTGTTAAGAAATCTATGATATGCAAATGAAGCTATTAAGCACCATTTTGACTGCTCGAATATAAAGTGGGGGATGTGACACTTCAGGCTATTTACAGTAAACATTCGTTAGTTCGACCTCGGTTAATTCGACTTTTCGTTTAATTCGATCGTGTTCAAAAGTCCCGGCAAGCGCCCATACATTTCTATGGGAGGAAAAGTTCCATAGTTCGAACTCGGGAAGACTCCACATCGGATAATTCGTCCCGAGCGAATGCATGCAGGCTCACAGTGCATGGCACCACGGCAGAAAAACCACCAACGTACGGCGAAACACGGGCCCTTTGCTGCAAAGCCAAACGTGCACATATATGCGCTTGCTCCTCTACGCTGTTCAGATGGATTGTAGCGAATGACACGAGCCAGCTCAACCAATCTGGCGTAAAATAGCACGAAGAACATACCACGTGGTCGGGCACGCATGAGCCAGCGTGCGCTCTCAAAGCGTTTTACTGTAGCATTGTGTGCGCACCGGAAAGCGCGAGTTCTCTTTTCCCTTTTTTTTGTTTGTCGCCGACGGTCAGGTTGCTTGGCGCCAAAGTCGGCTCGAAGCTTTCTCAGCGCGCCAAAGTCTGTAGCATCGTGTACGGTCCATCTCGTGCGTCTAAAAACGCAAGTTCTCTTTTCCTTTTTTTTTTTGTTGTTGAGCAGACTTTGGCTTGGCGCCAAAGTCGGCTCATAAAACTTACTTTTTTCGTTTTTTTTGGTAGCACGCGAATTTTTGGGGACAAGACGTTTAGTTACGCTGCTCTCCGAAGCATGCTTTTGGACACGCGTTTGAAGCGCAGACGGCATCAGACCATCTTTGAGTACTTTTGACAATAAAAGGAAGTTTAATTTTAACCGTTTTTCAGTCCCTTTTTTAATTCGATCATTCGGATAATTCAACCAAATTTCAAGGTCCCGTCGAGGTTGTCTTAACGAAAGTTTACTGCAGTTTTTATAACTCAAATGTAAATAATTCAGGAAGAGTGATTACCTCAAAATATTAGATGCACATCTGTCGTATGTCAATTCTTGAAAAGTTTTTTTTTTCTTTTTTCAATAAGGACTTCAACTTAAAACAAAATAAAGTAGATAGCCTGATTCTCCAGTAAATTTCAGTTCAGAAACATCTTGATTGTGCTATCAGAATACTTTTACCTTCGAACAAAAGATTTCTTCGCATGAAATTAGCAGGAAAAAGTGGAACTGAGAAAAATGCATTCAAACAGCAACTCCATCACTGTGTTACTGCTTCACAATCTGTTGCAAATATTTTATATCAACGAAACTATTTGGCATATGGTTATCAAATTTAGTGTAAGAGTGTATCATTAGTTTCTAAAACCAAACACCTCAAAATTAAAAAATTAAACTAAAAAAAAAAAAAAAAAAAAAAAAAAAAAAAATTTAGGCTCATGTCTCCCCTTAAAAACTGGTCTTTTCTCATTCGGTCTAACTCTGTTGCAAGTGCGTGAATGGGCATTAAAAGATTGCAAAAGCTCAGTCCTAAACAAATGTCAAGTGTGTGAATGTACCTTACTTCCAAAGACAATCAATGCTTTGCTTAGGGTCTGAACTGAGCATCTTGCAGTTAAGCTAAAAGACACAAGGATGATAATACGCAAATAGTAATTTTCGACCATTACTTATAAAACATTTTCCCACGCCTGACCTTCGAAGAGCTCGAGTTCACCCGAGAAATCGTGCGTCCCTGCCTCCTCCCACAGACTGAGTCGAACCCCAGTTTCCAAAATTCAAAAGTGTCGAACGCATCACTGGAATCTCAGACTCCGTTCGACGTTGCACATATACAGCGAAACGTCTGTGATGGAGAAAGGGCGGCGAGGCGTGAACGCACCTCCCAGTAGGTTCCCTTGGGGGCGCCCTTGTTGTACGCCTGGACAAACTTGCTCTCTGTGTTGCAGGCCGTGATGGCGGCGCTCAGCTGGGACATGGGGTGCACGTTGGACGGGAAGTTGTTCAGCATCGTCACCACGTGCGAGGGCAGGTCCGCCTGCTGTGCCCACGCCTTGGACACCGCTTTCACCTGCACGCATCATTGTCCGGGGGAGAAGCGACGTCAGTGCGTCTTTGCGCCGTGCCAGCTCGCGACGGATAGTTGCGACGAGAAAAGGTGCGTAAGAAAAAAAACGCCGAAGGCTGGTTCAGACATCTGCACGAGTATAACTGGCTGCGTTACAACTCCTTGCGTTTCACCGCAACGCATTATGAGGACCTCGGTTACCGTAGCAACCATCTGGTCATAAGCGGTGTTCAAGTGTCACAGACTTGTCTTACACTACCAAATTTATTTTATTTTTATTTACAAACACAATAGGCCCCTTTGGAAATTTAGTGCCATCCAATGGGTCACATAGCAGTTTACCTACTGCTGTACTAGTGGCAGTAATTGACCCGCAGTATGTATTATTTTGTTGGGCACCGTCACTTTTGCTAGTCAATGGCATCCGAGAATGTGCTCTTTACCTTACAATTCTTTCTGGATCTCTCACTTTCGATAGTGACAAACATACAAGCGGTAAGAACGAGGCACAAACCAATATCGGTGCCGTAATAAACTTTTATACATCGAGAGGCTTTAGAGCCGTCTATGTGCTGCCAACAGACTGACTGGACAAGACATAGAAAATGAACGCTTATGCAGCTCTCGTATTCAGTGGCGGTCCAGCCGGTTTTCGAGTTTGGAGCAATTTTTGTATCAGAAAAAATCTTGTTATGAAGCACCTTTGTATCAGAAAAAAATAGCTTTTTGGAGAAGCACATGCATAAGTTTGAAGCAATTAGGTGCAGTCACTCTTAGTGATGCCGGCATGCATTTATACAATCAGTTGTGTGTTGCAGCAACACACAACTGGTTGTATAAATGCAAGGTGGGAGGAGCCTCCACTTTGCTATTAACCTGTCACAACTATACAGTCAAATTGCCCTCCGATTGCTGTGAAGCTGTGCCATAAACTTAGTAAAATTTGTGCTTTGTTTCCATAAGTGCTAGTAGACAAAGGTTGGCAGAATTGACATAAGCGTGCTAACTATAATCATTGAGAAGTCGATGTAGAGTACCAATTAAACCCTCTAGACTAGGTGTCGCCAAACCTTTTGGCCAAGGGGCCGGATTGGGGACCTGTTGCAGTCTCCAGGGCCGGAAAATAAACGAGATTACATTAATAAGGAAATGCCAAATAAGCAAGCCTAAAAAGCATTTAAATACAAAAAGTAAGAAAGAGCAAAACTAAAAAAAAAATAAATGCGGGGGTTGAATACACACATACTTTATTTTTAAATGCAATATGTTGCTAGTTATCATATTACAAAATAATTGTGACCCAGAGAGCTGCACAAATCAAAGTGCATATTAATATATGCACTTTGATTTGTGCAGCTCTCTCAGGGCAAACACAGGGCAAAAGACTAGTGAGAATGCTAGACCTGATGATGAGAATGTGCAAGAGTAGTGACAGAGGTCATAGTTACACAGACATGAAACAGGGAACTATGAATATAGCACTGCTGGTGATGACAATGTACAACAAATACTATGGCGAGAGAACCCGCGTTTGGATGGAGATTTTCTCATTCTTTTTTATATCTTTGCTTGGGCTTTCCAAGCGTGTCGCAGCGCCCTCCGCCTTTTATGTTACTTCTTTTTTCGCGGCTTTATTTTTGCATTTGCAGCAGTGGGCCGCGGGACGGGCATCACTGGAAAGACCGCGGCCATCTCTGGTCCGGATGGAGAGCCTCCGCGGGCTGGGGTTTTGAGACCCCTGCTCTACATAGAGAAGTGAATTGGCACTATACAAAGGCTTCTCACATAAAATGAAAAAATAACCAATAAAAAATTCTGGGTTTTCCCTCATATATAGAAATTTTAACGAGTAGTGTGATCAAGGATTCCCATTATTTGACGTGAAAAAAGGCAAAAATTTGTAAACAAGCAGTCCCGACTGAGCATGCTAACAAAATGGGAACCATGTAAATGAGCACACAAAAAAAAAAAAAAAAAAAATCACTCATGTTTGATTATCTTCAAAAGTGTGCTTCAAATGCAACTAAAACAGTTAAAACAGGGCTGCGTCAGGAATGTTGGTAAAATTAGTGTGAATAATCTAGGGTAATCGAACCTGTGAAACAATGCCGTGGAGCCGGAAACCTGGATTGGATAGTGATGGCCAAATCCCACTGGATTCCCACATTTGACAGACGAAAACAAAAACTCTCCCAAAAACCAATTTGTTTGCAGATTTGCCCTTTTTGGGCGCAGAGAGGCACAGGCAAGAGGGAATTTATCAAAATGGTGCAAATAGAGCAACTGGACTACCCCTCCATATTCAATTCCTGCATCGCATCGCACTAACGTCTCGAATGTATGTAGGCCTCGCATCATCCGCTTCAAAGCGTCACCTTCTTCCGCAATCAGTAACCACGAGGCCGCCATTAGTACGCTAAATATGCTGTTGCGTATGCCATTCCTCAGATGAGGATAGTGATCAAAGTGGCCAACCTGAATTTCGGAAAGGGCCTATTCATCCCTTTACTTGGGACCATAATTGAACTAGGGCATAGTAATTTTGCCACAGGACAAAACAGAGCACACACGCAAACAAAAGCATCTTCTAACCCGTCTTGCGAGCAGGCTGTACCGATTGCTGGGGTCACCACAAACCTCACCTTGTTACAATGCCAGATAAAATTTAACATTTGTCACAAAAAAAAAAAAGACAAAAAAAAAAAAAAAATTCGCAAGACAAAAATTGCATGACGATCACAGGGCATGGTGCGTCTACAGAGCAGCAGCAAGATTGTGATGTGCTTTCCAGCCATATTTAGCGGGGAAACAGAATTGGTACATAGATCACATTACGTCAATTTTTTCCGCTAAATTTAGTGGGGAAATTAAATTGGTACAAAGGTCATGTGACGCCAATTTTTTAAAAAAAATTAGCAAGGAATTTGAAATTGCTTAAATGGTCCCGTGACGTCACATCACGCGACATCAATTTTCTTGCCAAATTTAGCAAAGAAAATTAATTGGTGCACAGGTCACGTGACGTCAATCTTTCTGTTAAATTTAGTGGGGAACCTGAATTTACGACAAACTATAATAATCCCTGGAGAAGAGAGAAGGGGAAGTTCCCCTTTTCCAGGAATTCTTAAAGGAGCTGTGCACCGATATTCAATTGGAATGTTTTTCTCTCTACACGAGCTTACTGGCACACCTGGGACTCAAGGATACTCACACGCAACGCCATTGGCCAAGAAACTCCTTTGTTGCGGTGTAATTTAAAGGACAAAAGCGATCATTTTCATTCAATCTCTCCTTTGCAAATTTTGATGACGTAACTCGGGGATCGCAGTACACCCAAGTGACGATATTTGAATGCGGTTCAAAGATTGGACCCGAGCATTGCGTGGGCACTCGACTTGGGCTCGTGACAATTGCTAGCTCGAGAAGCATTCGGGTTGTGACCCGTGTCCAATCGCTGCAACGACGACAATAGCCGAGCCATAACAATGTCTGGAACTCAGCGCGTGTCCTGCGCTTTGCCAACCCCAGCGCGTGGCTATGATCAACACTTGCGGCATATAATCGGCTCCAGATCACGTGGCCACTTGTTCTGGCTGCGAGTTGAGGGAGTGAACGCTGCTCGTTTTTGTTAAATTTTTTTCTGGGACTTCTATTGCATGGGGTGAAAAACGAACGCGTGTTTCATAGGTCATTAACGTTACGGATCCGTTTTAAGCGGTATTTGTGCACAGTACAAAAATTGTTGCATCGCTCCTTTAACATTTATTCTGTCCAGCTCGCCTGCACCTTTGCATTAATTACATCATACGCCGTCGCGAAACCGGGAAAAAGGCTACTAACAGCTGTCGCTGTAAAAGAAAAACGACGGCCGGCGTTCCGTGGTTCTCCAGGAGGTTTCAAATGAAATGAGACTTCTATGGAGAACAATTAGACCATAGGAGTGTCGCCCGAGAATCGGAGGCTTCCGGAAGAATCTCGCTCAGGCCAAGCGAACACCTACACACTAAACAAAGCTCTAAACAGCAGCTCTATGCAGACTCAGCTTGAAAGAGGAAACAAAGGAGCAGCAGGACAGAGGGGAAGGTTGCCCTGACCTGTTCGGGGGTGGGGATGTCCCCGGTGAGGAGCAGCCAGAAGAGGCCCTCTGGCAGGGGCTCTTCCCCTCCCTGCGCCTTGGGCAGCAGCTTGCGGATCTCCGGGATGGAGTAACCCCGGAAGGCAATGCCTTCCTCAGGGTCCAGGTGGGACGTCTCTGTCACCAGGCCCTTGATGCCACGCATGCCACCATAGATCTGAGAATGACATGTGGAGAACACCGCAAAGTGTCAGTATCACAAAGTGAAAACCAGCAAATTATACAGATGCCCTCCGCCCCCCAAACCCTCCTCCAGGGGCTCTAATGAGGACACTTGGTGAAAAAGTCTGTGGGAAATTCGACTGCTGTGATTGGCCGACGCCAAGGTTGAGCGCGGTGCCGGCCTATCACGGCCGCGGGATTTCTCGTCGGCTTTTTTGTCCAGTGTCCTGATTCTAACACGCCCAGAATTTCCTACACAAAGTACACAAACCTATAAACCTACGATACCCCTTCCCACTACACAAACTTTTGACAATCGTGAAAAAACCCCAGGCATCAACAAGGTGTTGCTGTAACACAAGCAGCTAGCTGTTTGAACATGGAAAGCATCCATTCTACTTTTTTAAAAGCATGAAATTCTTTGTGGCTCCCAGAAGTTTGAGTCCATGCATCCATGCATTCCACACATTATACTACTTCGGAGATAAAGGCCACTGCCAATTTTTAGGCTTTCTTGTTGAAGCGGGGTGACAGTGAGGTGACAGCAGGGAGTCCCACCTGGTCAATGGTGACCTCTCCGACCACCTGGCTGCCACACTTTTGCCTGAACTCCTTCACCTGGGCCTGCGTTGCCTTGATCTTGTTGGCCATGAGCCCCTTGAGATCCTGCCGACAAGTAAGGAGACCACCACAATCTCAATCCGTTTGACGCCGTACACAACACTCACAATCATGACTAGGGCTCGAATGGACCCCCCGACCATACATTAAATGCAGACTGAATAAAAAGAAAGCAGGCAAAAGCCTGCAGGGCAGCGGTTATCATTGTCGCTAATACAGCTGTACTACGCAGTAACGATGATCATATTAACGTGACAACATTAAGGAGCTTGTGTCGCAGAAAATCCGGCGTCAGTGGCGTGACAAGAAAATCGCGGACGCAAAGATCCTGATTGGTCGATAGGGTCATGATGTCACAGCCACATGACCTTGCGGAAAAATTTCAAACAACCGATAATGCTCACATGAAACACGACGTCACGCGTGGAAAGAAAGTGAATAAAAAACATTACATGTAATGCAAATTAAAGCTTGCCGCATGTCTAAAATAATTTCACTCTAAAAAGTAACCAATTTTGCTTTAAAGAAAAATTGAAGAATTTTAGGTGGGATCCGAACCCACGACCCTTCGTTTGCGAGCCAGACACGCTACTGCTGACTAGGCCATGCAAGGAACGCTTGGCACGGCCTGAGAACGAGAGGGAGTTTATATGTTTCGCTATCACATTCCACTCTTAAAGGCGAAGCTTAAGCGTCCTCCAAGTTTGTTTTAATATTATTATGTAGCTATGACATATCTGACAACAGAATTCTTATTGTTCACTAACATAGCCAATAGGGATTTTCCCACTTCTTAGTGTATGACGAGACATATTCCAGAAAGAGTACTGTTAAGTTTTCATGCTGACTGAAGGAAGTTCTACCAGGATTTTAACTTTTTCTTTGGGCTTGACAGCAATCCAAGGGCAATCCCTTAACAAACTTTACTTTTCACAAATGTTTTTATTGCTACTGCAAGTTAAGTTTTTAACACAGCTCTATTAAAGATTGAATGAAAAAGTAACTGAATTTTTGGGGCATCAGTAAACACACAATGCCTAAAGAATTGCGTCAGGCAAACTCTCAGCAAGTTTTTAACACAGCTCTATTAAAGATTGAATGAAAAAGTAACTGAATTTTTGGGGCATCAGTAAACACACAATGCCTGAAGAATTGCGTCAGGCAAACTCTCAGCAATTTTTTGCATGCATCATACATCGAAACTCCTGTAGGAATACACAACAGTTATCACAAACGGAAAAATCTGCAACCCAGGGTAGGCGACTGTCAGAAGATGCCATCATACCATTGAGCAGTAAACTATCGATACAGCAAAACAAATTAACTTGCAGGACACAAAGGCTTATCGAAGCATCAAACCACTTCACTGCTTCACTGAGGACCCTTGCTTACCGTGGTGTCTGCGGAAATATTCCTCGTGAAGGCTGACATCACCGGAAGGCATTTCTGCGAGAGAAAAAGCAACACAGAACATTTGGTTAATGAAGTCTTATGGCATGCAAAAGAAGCTTTGCAAAACCATGTGGGAATTATGCGATTCCTGCTCATCATGACCAGAAATGCCACAAGAAAGTTGTGTGAATTGCCAGCCATGCAGTGCTGTAAAAAATTTTCAAGATTCAAGTGAAGTAGGGTCTTTTCTGGTGTAGTAGATTCACCACCGATGCTTTGCTAGGTTATAGGTCAGGCATGAAGTAATGAAGACAAAACATGAAGAACGGAGGTTGCAGTTTTTTAGCTTGACATGGTTGCAATTAAAGAAGACATCTGCTTCATTAGTACATTAAAATAGAAAAAGGAAAGGGGTTGATCACAGCAAAACCAGTGCTTCTATTTATCAGAATGGTAATCAAACTGAAATGACTCAAGGAAAAAAATATTTCAAAATAAAAATCCGCTGATTTAAGAAAAGAAAAAAATCCATGAATAACTTGTTTTACTAAATGCCTATGCTGCTCAGCATACCCAATGCTACAAACACGCACAAAAAAAAAAGCTTGTCAAAGCATAAAGGCACTATACCAAGATATCTAATAAAGGTCAGACTTTACTAAATCTGTTACAGTGATAAAACCAAGGTTTGAACATTGCTTACTCACACCAAATGATTAATCAGGTTTAATCTAAACTAGCATGATGATACTCACCAAACAAACTTAACAAGCTGAGTGCACAAGTTTAGTTATAATTTACGCAATATAAAAAATAATAATACTAATAAAAATACAGAAAAGCTATACCACCTGTTCTTAGACATGTATAAAGAAACCATAAATTAGAAAGGAGAGTCCTCTAATCCGACGGGGCGAGTGTTGATATACGATAGCAGGCATACCCTTTCCCCAAGTCCCATTTCTGGAGCAGTGAACCTTCGGAGCGAAGGAGGTGACCCCTATTCCCCCAACGCTGCCGGGAGATAAAAAGACAGCTGCACTGCTGCTCCACGCTCCCGTCCCCCAGAGTTTAAGGTCAGTTTCATGCATATGCACAAAGGCAGCCAGGGCAGAGTAGGGGGACAGAGATCTTGGAAGTTAGCCAGGTCCCCGGGTAAAGCACTAGTACTAGAATAGAAGGCACGCTTTTGCGAAGGTCTCCCCCCTCCCTCTCAGGCAAGTGCCAAGCCGTGCAGGTTCACTATTTTGCGTCCAACCACTAGGTCACACTTGCCTGAGCCGGCTAACTTGAGAAGCGTGAATTGACGGCGCACTGAGCCTTGCAAGAGAGAGAAACGGGGTGCTCCCGTGGGTGGCATGCCTCGCCACTTGCTCGGAAGAATAAGCGAATGCACACCGCTTGGGCGAGAATTACGGAAGCTTCAATGCTGAATGACCAGATTGAAATACCGCATTTCAATGAAGCCTGTTCCACATTAACCTCGAACCGACGTGCTTGAATAATGGTTAGGCATATTTTACCTGAAGAGGTGAGCCCTGAATACTGTTATTGCTATACCAATATTATAAATACCTAAAAAAAGTTTGCTGAAATCATGGAGTGGCAATACGAATACTGGAGTCGTGGAAGTGCGCAAGTGTGAACGAGTCTCGAGAAACGAAGTCGATAATAATATCAGCTGAACTACCACCGAGGTGTTTACACCACACGCAGACAATCTTTCAAGCACCAAAATTCACAGCATGACTTTCTCTCAAGTCTGTAACTACAAAGCGCTAAAAGCATGGGCAGTGATTTCTATGACCGACAAAACGAACAGCGAAAAGAAGCAACAGCTGGAATCGCTAGAATTAGCTCAAGGGCAGTGGCTTCAGCCTGGCATCCTATTTCGCACGCATGTGGAAAGTTGCCCGGAGTAACAAATGATCACCTCCATCCAGTTACCAATTTCACTACCAGCCTACTTTTTCTTTCGACAAATACAATGGACTATACTGTCCTGATTAATTATTACAAACTATGCCTTTTCTCCATTAAAACTGAGAAATTGTGTGCAAACACAAAACTGCAAATAGAACATTGGATGTTGTCATTTCTTGATCATAAAGCTTGCAACTATGCCTATTGTCACATCAAGAGAAGACAAAGTTTTTAGCATTATTTGCGTGCTGCTCGAAACAGTTCTTACAAAATTTGGTTTTCGATGGAAAAAAAAAAACAATGCTTTTGGCATTGTTTTTTTGTGTATGTATGTCTTGATAAAATAATATGAAGCTAATCTAAGATGCGCCCATATATAGCTGACCGTAACATCCCGAGAGATGCCCCACTCCAGAAAGATAACCCACCCCCTATTTTTAGCTCACTTCCGCTAATTTCCTTCAAACACCGAAAGATAGCCCACTCCTAGTAATCTTAGTATTCGGACCAACGATGACCTCAGTGTAAATGCAGCTAATTGGCTATGGCGGGATATGAGTGAACATTGGTGAATGGGAAGTACAGTCATCTTTGCTTCGTTGTCCCTTGCCGCAATAACAAGTTTGGCAGGAAAACACAATCTAAAAATAGTTTTTTTTTTTTCCAACTTTTCTCGGTCGTACATAGAAAGTTAGCCAACCCCTTATTTTCACCCAGTTTGCTCTCGATTTTAGGTGGGCCATCTCTGGGGATGTTACGACAATTCAAAAGATGAAGTGCAAAATTAGTAAAGTTACGCGAGAAGCTGGACTTCCTTTACTACAGTTTTCGAGGTGACTCCGAGCATAGGAATGTCTTCGCCAAACGCCGACACAGCCCTAGCTTTCGCGAGTTTTTAGTGCTAGTTTTCGATGCGAGCTGAGCAGAGTTCATGCCAAATGCTGACATAGACGCTAGTGTCCAATACATGCTTAGAGTAAGTACCCAAGTGATGGCAAACTCGAATAATTGACATATCAGCTACTAGATGGCACACTTTTGAAAAGGGTCGATTGGGCAGTGTGTTGAGGCAAAATACAGGGAATTGGTGAGAAACTATGAATGAATACAGCTGAAAACTATAATTCCAAACACAGAATAATAATTCTTCCCCCACTTTAGCTTCGTCAGAGGGAAAGTGAACTCTTGTCGGTGAGAGGTTAAGAGTAGAATGGAAGTTCCTCCCACCTCTTTTCACTTTAGCAGAGCGAACACTGGAGAGGACAGTGCCTCCTCTCCAGTCCTTGCTCTGCTAAAGTGTTAAGAGGTGGGAGGAGCTTCCACTTTACTTGGTACCTGCCACCGACTATAGTCAAATATTGCAAACTTTTTTTTTGCAGATCAAAATTCAGTGCTCAGCTCTGTATGTGTGTCACATGAAGCCATAAAATGTTTTAACTTCTATGTCAGTGCTTTCTGCCATCTATTAAAATTTGAAAGAGGGTAGTCCTTGACGCTCTTAAAAAAAAAAGAAGTAAAGGCGCATTCACACCGGCGATGTAAGCAATCACGCGATGCGACTACATCGCATTGCAAAAAAATGAGATGGTCACACTGGAGCGCGCAATGAGTGAGCCCAATGCCTCCGTTGGCGAGTCATTTCTCGAAAACTCCGCCCAGCGACTAGATTGCATCGCAAAAAGTCGGGTCCGCAAGCGACTGCCCAAATTGCGTCGCTTTTTGCTCGCGATGGTCGCTTTTGCGATGAAAGTTATCGCGCGAATACATTGCATCGCCACCGTGAATGTGCCTTAACAGTAGAGTTAAAGAGACTCATGTTTTTGTAACATCTTTCCTTTTACCCTAGCAATAACTGGTTAATGACACAGAAGCAGCCACATGCTTCCTCAACATGTTTGTAGCAAGAAAGGATTAAAAGAATCACATGACTGACTTGTTTCCAAAAGCAACAAACCATTGACGATAATCCCTGGAGAAGGGGAACAAACAGAAATCTCCAAACCCAGCTATACTCGGGGACAATTTTTCTTGGCAATGCAGTCAAAGGTACGGGCACGAGTGCGCTCTCCCATTTTGAGCACTTATCAAAGCTGTGCGTGCACTCTCCTCCTCTCCTCAGGAATACCAAGAAAGATTGTCCCCGAGAATAGGTGTTTGGAGATTTGTGTTAGTCCTTTGTCCCCCTTCTCCAGGGATTATCATTGTCATTCTTGTCCAGCTCGCTTGCACCTCTGCTTTAATTACATTATGAACAAACCACTCACTGTGTTTGTGTCAACACTCAAGATCCTAAGTCCAGTATCAGAAAGGAAATTCGGCAGTCGTGTCTCTGGCAATGTATTTGAACCATACAAAGAATAAACACAATTTCTTTCTGCCAGAAAAAAAAAGAAAAAAGAAGACGACAAGAGAGCAAGTAAAGGAAAACTTTTTCAGTAAGTGAGGGCTTGTGCCTCTGAAGCACCTGTGTCAATAAGAACAGTGACCTTCAGTGAATACAACCACTTAATGGTACATTCAAGCTAGGGACATTTCAAAGAATTCCTCACACCATGAAACTTTTGAAGAATGACACCAGAGACCAGCAAGAAGGGTGTCAAGAGATTGTATCGACTTCCAGCCACAAAAGCAAGCTTCTCAGGTTGCGTAGCAAGCATCAGTAATGCGTCCATCATTCACTTACAGTGTGTTGGGCGTCGTGTTAAAAATCCACCCCTAAAGAGATTTGCCAACCATCGACGCTTACTCTTCCCTAAAAGCTCTCTGCGTCCTAAGGGTACATGTACTAGAATCTGTACTAGTTCGAAATTAGACGGGTCTACATCAAGCGGGAGGTCATGAGTGCACTGCGATGCAGCTTTCCCTGGAACAGATGTTGCAGTTTGTCTCACATACAGGTAACAAGAACAAAAAATCCTTTATCCGGTTGAAATTAAATTTAACCAGGCCACTTGTCCCGACAGCAGGTCATTTTCACTTGATCTAAAACCAACTGCAACTGACATCAGATAAGGTTTGGAACATGAAAGGCTTAGCAGGTGAAATTGTTCCGACTGAACACTGACTGCGTGACAATCTGCCACTGAGAGGTCAAAGGAAACGAAAAGAAGAAAAAAAGCGCAAGCTTTCAACAAGATTGCACATTTTACTTTAACTCGGCAACTGCCTACGAGAGGAAATGTGGAAAACGGGCATAAGAGCTTGGCCACACACCTTTCGTTACTGGGCCTGTCAGGGATAATGCTACGTTGCCCGTGTTTCCAGAAGAAACAGTTACGCCACCTTCGGCGAGCACAAGCAGCCAAGAGCCAATCATAAAATGAACGACGAATTCAAACAAACGACTGCTTCCAACGAGTCATAGTCTGCTTGACCTTTTAAAGAGAGAAAGTTCCACCTGTCAATGTCCTTCCAGTCTGCTCACGTCACGGCGTGACGCGACTGCAGAATGGCCGACAAACCAGACTGCAAGGAACAAGTTATATTTTACACGCGACAAGAAGCCACAACCTTCTACGAACATCAGAAGGTGACGGGAAGAGCCAATCGTGAAGCAGGGGAGGGACGCGACATCTGTCATATCCTGCCCTTATTGAATGCACGCGTGACCTTTCAAATGCAACAGTGGAATGGTCGCAATAGACTCTCGTCAAAAGTTTGCGCCACCTAGTATTCGCTGCTCCAAGTGTCCGAGCCCGCCAATGTTTGGGCGCAGACCCAGAGGCGTGTGTTGGACAAGAGGGCTGCGTCAGCATTCGGCGTGAACTTGTATCCAATCGCACGCCTTGTGCCCGGTGGATGGATGGATGAATGAATGAATGCTAACGGCTGTGCTCTTTCTATTGGGTAGTAGCTTCTGCCACCTAGAAATGGTGGAGAAAAATAGTGAAAAAAATGGCAATCAGCAATGTTGCTTGGTGGGGCTTCAAAAGGGCGCTATTCCTACCGAACGGCCCAAACAGGCCCCTGCCCTCAACGAGTCGATGCCTACCATTCGGTCACCGATAGGATGGGTATGGCGGAAAGGTCCTTCGGTTGTCCTGCCTCCAGCGCCAGCTTTGTTACTTCTACGATGCTTCGGTGTCTCGCGGGCGAGTGTGCACGCGCAACCGCAGCACGACGAAAGGCAAGGATCGAACACGTGCCTGGGACATTCGGAGGAGACGCCCTGCGATTCTCGTCCTGTCAGTGACTACAATGGATGAACATCCACGCATTCCACCGATACCGTTGACTTTCCTCTCTTTGTGTTTTCATGAATGGTATTCTCTCGCTTATTTCTATTTTGAGGGATGCACTGAGTACACCTACCGGTGTGATTGCTACAGGTGCAAACAAGGTGGCAAAGGCGGAGAAACTTCAAAGGCTTGAATGGAGTTTTACAATGATATCATAGAGAGATAATGAGGAATGACCGGATAGGATGTAGTGCTAGCGGAGATAAAACCTCAGATTATTTTTACCTCCATCCGCTTCCTTTTTTTTAACTTTTTATCGAGCACTGCTTATCTGCACGTACGCAATATTGCGACGTAGGTGCCCACGCGTCGGTAGTTTAACAAAAGACAATAGGGTGCGGCACATCTCTACCAAAGAAAAAAAAAAAAAGAAAAAAAGAGAGGAAGAGAGAAAAAAAGATCCCGGCTTACGAGAATGAGGCATATTTTTGGCGGAAAGGGTGAACGCCCTCCCGACGCGTCCCTGCGCAACCCTTTCACAACCAGATTCTCCATGTGATTTTCTTTTTTTTTTTTGTTGGCTGGCAGGCGATTTTGATAGCTTCGCAAATATCGTGTAGAGGTTTAAGGATCAAGCGACATTTTCCTTTTTGCTCAGTGCGAACAGTGACACGTGGTAAAGCGACCGGATGAACAGTCGCTGGCGCGCACGCACAAAATTAAGATTGACGTCGAAGCGTCGAACCCATGTTTGTTGCTCGTCAGGCAGGCTCTACCGTCAAAGATCGGTCACGCGATAAGCGGCAGTTTGAGCGTTACGGCGATGCACAAAAAACAAATCCGCAGTTCGTGCGAGTAGGACAACGGCAAGGACAAAAACCAGGAAAATTCGTTCTTAATAGCTTAGTGAGCGCCATACAGCCAACATAATCCTCCCGGGCAATATTCTTTTCAATAAAGATGTTCTCTCTCTCTCTCTCTCGTGCACCGGTAACGCACCGAATCAAATAACCAGTGGGTTTGAAAGAAATGAACATAAATCGCGAGCTGGTGAAACCTTCGCTCCGCCTACACGCGGCCATAAAGAGAAAGAAAGACACAAAAAAACCTCTCTAAATCGTTTTCGTAACTAGGAACAGCACCGTTATAACAGTGTCATTCTGACCGCATCGCAGGTTTCGAAGAAGTCGAGAATTCTTTCGAAAACGCGGTTTCCTTGGGTTTTCCGCTCGACCTAGGTGACCTCGATCTGGATGGCGGAGAAGTACGGCATGGGGGTAGTGCTCGATAATTAAGTTTTTGGCGAAAACGCCGCGTGCTTCACCGAATTTTTGCTTGTTCGTGGAATAAGAGGCGATTTTGCGGCGGTAAATTCGGTGTAGAGGTCCGTGTGGTGCGGCGTGGTAGCGGAGTCGAGTGCCATTCATTCTATAGACCAAGACGCCTCACGAGAACCATGAAGGTCGGCGGAGGCGCGGAGCGCCGGGAGTCGCTTTCGACGGGAGGTAAGAGATGTAAAACGAGAGGATACCTGAGTTTGCACTAAGGTGCGGGCAGGAACAAGTCGGAAGAGAGCCATTTGCGTCGGGTTGTGTGAGCACCGCAAGAGAGCGAATATTCCGATAAACAGCACAGCAGACTCGACCGGCGCCTGCGGAGCCTGTGGAAACCCAATAAAAAAGGAGATTCGAAACGACGCAAATCAGGTCACAGGGGTCATACTACAGTTGCACAAAACTTATGTGTCAACTAAGAAACAATATTTATAGTTTAAAAACTTGTACTTAAATATAAACTGTAATACTCAATAGATATAAAAAGCTGTTATTACAAATTAAATGCATCGCCTTTTAAAAACAGCTTGTGGTGTGGGTTCGTTTCGTTCGTTTAGCAATATTTCTGATATAACCGGATATAACTTAATAATGACGTCATAAAGTAACTTTGATCACTCCACTGACTCCACTGGATCTATTTTTTTTTAAAATGCAATCCTTGTGCCCGTGTAGTGTTAGTAGCACCGGTGACGTACATTTCGGTCAACAAGTGTGAAAACTGTTTACTCTGATACCTACGGCGCTACAAACGAACGTAGCGCGAGCAGTGGTTTCGATGTTTCGATGGTTTCGGAGTTGTTTGCAGTTTAGGAAGTGCCCGGTAGTTGAGCTCAACGTCGCGCCCGTAGGCAGTCGTGCTTCCAAACATATCGTACGTGCAATCGTAGACGTAGACATTGCGAAGAAGAGAATGGGTACGTATTTGTTTCGGCAACTTTAACGTACCGCACCTCTGCGATCCGTGCAGTCATCTATGAAGTTTTACGTGCAATCGATACGGTTGGTCAGCTCGACTCCTTACTAGCTTTTTGTGGACTCTTCCGCCTCATAATTGCAACATTGGACAAATATGATGCATTCTACGGTTAAGAAAGCGAACTCTGCGCGTATCTCCGTGAAATGCTTCACACCGATCATTGAAACGTGCTTGATGGTGCAAAAACGGATGACTGAAAACCACTTTCCATTTTGACAAGCGCGTGGTCGTGCATGGTTTAACGATTTCGCCGTGTGACGGAACATATCAGGTTCCGGACATATATCTGAATCCCTTTTAATGTAGCGCTTTTCTTTTTTTTTCTTCTTTTTTTTTTTAGAGTCGTTTTGGCATTTTATTTTCCCAGCTGGGGCAATGCCCTCGCCTAAACGGGTGTCCAAACAGGATACTTCAGAAATCGTGAAGCGACACTTCTCCGCCGTATGAAGTGCGACGATCTGCTCCCGTCGGCCTATTTTTGCCGGGGGCCATGCTTCCCTCCGCCACCTGCACTTGTGTTTCTAGAGCATATGCTCAGGGGGGGGAGGAGATGAAGAAGAGGAGAGGGGGAGGAGGAGGAGGAGGGGCGGACGCGGGTGCGGGCGGGGCGATCGGTGGCCGAATGGTCTAGCGCGCGCACACCAGCTCAGAGCACATGGAGTGAAAGCTCGTGCTGCGGAACCCAGGGGGGCTATGTTGCACGTTTTGGACTCCCAGGCGACTAGGGAGAAGGAAGTGACGTAGGTGTTAATGAACGTATCTTAGCAGCACCACGCAACGCGTCATCAGCGACTCCACCAATCCACATCCAAAGAGCGTTGTTGACGTCACTTCCTTCTCCCTAGTCTCCTGGGAGTTCAAAATGTGCAACATAGCCCTGCAGGACTCTGGGTTCAACCCCACTCCTGCCCGTTTCGATCTTGATGAGCATTGTACCGGCGTCTGGTCATGTATCGCTACTGCGTGGTGCACGTTAAAGACCCCAGAGTAGCGGTTGTACTGTACTGGCTAAATTGCTCATCAACAGCTGAGAATCACGTCATTCGTTGAAGGCAGACTAACTTCAAGGCTGTATAAACATACCTACAACCAATTTTTTTTAAAGAGCTGGATCATCACGTGGGTCCCGACAGCCACTTGCACGCTCTGTTGACATCCAGTTATTCGCTCAAGGCCTCTGCTGTCCTGTTCAGGTCCCGAAAACAAGAAAGGGAAAGATACGGGGGCGTGGCAGAACAGATGGTCAGGCAACACATACACAATTGGCAGGTGGCACATGTGACAACCAGTCCGACTGAAGTAGCACGCTCTGCTTGCAGAACCAGAGTATATTGTGTTCCTATTTTTTGCGCTGCCAACTCTGTATTGACGGAGCAGCGTTCACGCGTGCAAAGCTAGAACCAACCTTCACGAAGGAAAACGACCTTGCAGGTGCAGTGTTTCTGGCCGAGCATGTTTCTCACTTTGTGTTTGCGAAATAAATATCCTACACTAGAATCAAACGGACTGGAAGGTTCCTTGACAATTTAGCATTATGTGTAGCCACTGGGCACCGTACACTTAAGTTTTATAATGTGAGCAATGTTTTAAAACATATTCCCGAATTCTGGGAAGCACACGACGCTCGTGGAGTCAAACGTGATCGGCACATCCAGGCACTTTGGACCAGACAACAACATGCAGCTACAGTTTGCAAAGGGACGACGTTTTCGTCGGCTACTACATTCTACCGAGGGAGAAAAATGGAAAACTAATGACAAGCCGACGGCGCACACGCGGCGTGTCGCCACACTATATTGTCTCTGCTCTGCATGCTGCTGCACGCCGCCTCAGCCATGCCATCTGCGCCTCCAGGTCTCCGGCAGAAGCGACGGTCGCTTTCCACAGTGCGGCCCTGGATCCAACATGGCCGCTCTGGGAACACCATTGCAATACACTGCGCTGCAAGCGGAGCATATACAGTTACTCTAAATCTGGCGAGCACTGAGGTCACCGAAAAGCGGAGGAGGCGAGGAAGAAAGCTATGATGTTTGTTTGCCTGGTGGTGTTTGAACAGAACGCGGACTGCTGGACTTCCACTTCATTTGGCGGAGAAGTGTCGGCTCATGCTTTCTGAAGTATCGGAGTCCGAGACGAGGAGAGTGCGGTTGACTGGTTTCTTTGTCGCCTTCCAAACTGGTTTGCAGCGCGGCGTGTCTGTTGGACAGGGAACTCCAATTCTTTCCCACAGCAACAAGAAAAACAAGAACAGTAAACACAAAAGAAAACGAGTATAGAGAAAATTGTGCCAGCTCTTTCTTTACACTGGTTTTTGGAAGAAATTCACCGCCATTCTTATAGGCAAATAATAAAAAATAAGGACAAAACTACAATATCTCTAGCCTAGGTAATGTTGCACCAGTACAAGTGCATTTACTTCAAAATTGTCATTTTTGGAGTGGTGTAATTTATTTTATACAATCAAAAATGTATGTGAGGGGTGGGGGGAGAGGAAGTGGAGTGGAGTTGAGTGGTTTCATGGCACCGCATTTCATAGTGTCCACTTGTCTGGAAAACTCAAGCTTTCTGATTGGCTAATGCTGACCATAATGTTAACCATATTAATGAAAAAAAAAAAAAAATAGTGACAGCTAACAGGTTGGGGTGTGATAGGCATATTCGTTTATGCAAGGGCTTTTTATATCAAGTCTTGTGCAGGGCTGCCACGTCGAGTACAGTGTCTCGAAGCTGTTCTGGAACAATGTTGGGAGTTGGATGCTCTGCTAGCATTCAGTGGCTTTGATTTAGACTGCTGGTGACCGTGCCGTGCAAGAAAGTTGATGCGATTCCACTCGAGGCAGAAACTACCTTCCTATTGTGTCTGCTAGTTGGAAGTTAGCGCTTTAGAAAATCTCGTTTGCGTCTTGTTTTTGCGCAGAAAAATCCATTTACGTTTTATGATTGGGGTGCCCAGTTTTCGGTTTACACCAATAAACTCAGAAAAGTAACCCCCAAACCGATTTTATCAAAATTAAGGAAAAAAACCCCAAAAAACTGAGTGGGAGTTGTTTTTGTAGAAGACAAATCCGAGCGTTCTGGGAATGAAATTTTTACAGCTCTATATTCTGTTGACCCTAAACACAGCTCCTCCCCCACACCCTCCACAAGGCTATCCCTTTCTTCGGGAACCAGGCTCTTTATCTCGTTCCCATTTCTTATCGGTACTAGGACGTTTTCCAAGTATTCGGGTCATGTGCATGTTCCCCACCCAGCCGTGTCCCATTTTCTTCAACTCGGCCCTGATAAATGCTGATTTTTTCTCCAGACAGAAAATAGACTAGAAAAAACACCTATCGTAAGATCCCGTAAGGACACCCTTTCTTGAGAGATTGCCCATCCAGTTTTTCTGGCTAAATATCCATAACATGAGAATTCTGAAGCGTTGCCCCCCCCCCCCCCCCCCCCCCAATTCCCGTCGACGCGACGTTTGACGGGAATGACGTGTCAACTACATGATGTGCGGTACCAATACGTGTGTGACAAGTGAGTTCGTAGCGGCAGCTGGTTCCTGCATCTTTGTCTGCAATCTGCGCGCGCAATATACACCTCTCCAAAAAACGCTCCTAGGCCGCTGCCATGTTGCTGATGCTGATGCAGCTGGTGCGACTCTCGCGCCCCCTATCAGCTAGAAATTTTCTGCCACTCTCTGGGACTGTCAAGACCCGCTCAGCGCGGTTCTCTACGTACGTTTTTGCGGTTTTGCATTCGACGTTTTCTTGCCTCTCTTGAAACTTTCCACTTATTTTTTTATGCGTGCTGAGCACCCTTTTTGTGTTGTCTTCCATTGTGAGAAATAAGGCTGGTAAGTGCCTGCCATTCAAGCTTTTCTGCTCGACATTCACGGGAACGGTGAAGGACGTTGAACGGCCCTCGACGCGATTTTGCGAACATTGTTCTCCCTCCTCCCAGAGATAATCCGCGTAGAATCCTCAGTTATCTCCAAAAATAGTTGTCCGGGTTGGGGTGAGAAATGGGTCAGTCGCATTTGTTTCTTTGCCTTGGTGCGGTTGTGAAAAAAAGGAAGCTTTCCTGAAACGTGCCCCAAAACGAAGTCATCTCGGATTCCGTGCGATCGTCAAGATGTGACTGTCGTCGACTGTGACTGTGTTATTTGAGATATCTCTCAAATAAATTATTTTCGGATAACGCTGCATCGTGTGGTACGTACGATATATTATTCGAATGTTAACACTTCCTCAATTTTATGTCCGTGACCTGTCCATCGGTAAACACGTTATTTGTGAGTGTGAAAAATGCATGCCTTTCGGCCCTCTTCTGTTGCAATTTATTTTTGACAGCAAAACGCTTTGTCGTTTCACATGCGGCGAATCCCGCTGCGCCGTCAAAACTTATCGTAAGAAAAAAAAAAATAACTAGAACTATACATTCCAGTCGCATTCGTTTTGTCGCGCGCATACCCCCAAAAAATAGTTAACAGTTCTTTTTTTTTTTGTTGCTTTTTTGTTTTTTCAATTGTGGTACAATGCTTTCTCAATGTTCTCGGGAAAATACATGTACCATGAAACACAAAATATAGCGGGAAAAGGCGATAATTTAGCTGCCAGCAGCGTTTGAAACGGTGCCTACGTAGGCTGCGCCTATTGAGATCACAGTCCACTCGGTTAGGGTTAGGAGGGACGCCGGTGAGAGTCTAGCCTCAAACTCAGTGACTGGGCTCAAAAACGGATTGTTGCCCCTGGGGTCGAGTGTTTTTTGGAAAGGTGTATTGGTTCCCGTGACATGCGAGTTCATTGCGAGTTCCCGCATTCCTTTGTCCACGATCTGCGCGTGCGATATCGAGTCCCCTGGCACGCAAGTTTGTAGTCGGTTTCCGCGTGTTTATTGGCCATTAAACACGAACCTGCTGCGTCCACAGTCTGCGGTATCCTTTCCCGTGACATGGGAGTTTGTAGCGAATTCTCGTGTGTTTATCACGTTGTGAAACGTGAATTTGCCGTGTCCACGATCTGCAGTACGGGTCCCCATGTCACATGGTTTGTAGTGGGTGCTGCTTTGCTTATCATTAATTTTTGAAAAAGTTCAGCTCTCTCATCCTTAAAAATAGGCCAGCTCATGTTTTTCACCATTTATCCCTTCATTTTGGGTGGGTGCCCTCAAAAGACTTTACGGTATTTTGCAACAAGAAAAAAGTAAACCTGAAAAATCACTTTTTAATTTAAAGGAAAAATATTAAGTCCCCGAAAACACGGAGTCCTACCTGTGATTGTGACGCATTAGCATTGCAGCTTAGAGTGTCCTTACATCTTCACTGATGCAAGCTCTCAATGTCGTTCGTCACGATGCAGTTGCGAGGAAGGAGCCCGTGTCGTGCGACACCTTTGTGGTGCTGCCCCCGGCGACCAAGAACGGGTGCATCGTCTTCGGCAAGAACTCTGACCGACCCGCAGGCGAGGTCCAGGAGGTGGTCTACGTGCCGAGGACCGTGCACGGCGCTGACGCCAAACTGCAGGTGGAAACTTCCACAAAACGCTTAAAGGGCAGCTCCGCCGTCAATTTGAGCGTTTTTATCAAAACATATTTTCGGAAAGGGTACTAAAAATTTAGCCTATAGCAGCGGTTAACTCATTAAAAAACTGTTTACATAATTTATAATCGTCAAAATACGCTGAAACCGATACCGAAACTAACTTGCCACTCGACTGGTCCGCCATTTTGACGTGACGTCACATATGGTATAAACACTCGCACGTGTGCAGTTTGAGCCTGGCCAGCCTGGCAGCAGGTCACTGTTTTGTGTTCGTGCCGCGGATAAAAATGGAATCATCAGGCTCGTCTGAATCGAGCAACGATGAGGATATGCTGCTAGATGTTGAGGACGATGATAACCCGTTCTCATACGATCCGCCGGCATCGCCTCCGAGAAAACCGCCAGCGGCGGCTGCATTCGTGATCCGCCGCCATGTGGACCCAGATGCCGCTTCCGAAGCGGAATGCTAAAGCAGCTTTTGTTGCTAGCACGCCAAGAAAAACTGATTGACGTTATGCCTTAAGAGGCACATTTTGTTATATCTTAGGGTCTGACAATAGACGGTTTTAGTAGACCGTGTTTTCAAGTGACGCTTCCACACACAACACCAATTTCTTCCAGTCGCCATTACGCGCTCTTACATAACTGTATAAACCGATAACATAAGCAAAAAGCAGACAGTCGCTAGCACCAACTAGCTACAAAGCAAGCACCCTGACCAACATGTGACGTCACGGCAACGTCAGCGCCATCGTGGCAGCCTCCGTGTGCCGCTCTTGCTCAGTGTTGCCAGTAGGGCTGCAGCAAGTGATTTGGGTGTGTACATGTAAATTTCAAAATTCATTTTCTTCCAAAAAAATTAATATTTTTCCGAGATATTTTGTACACATGCTCAGGAAGGGCATCCAAATACATGGTGAAAATTTTATAGAAATCGGTGACCATCAAAATTACGGCGGAGATGCCCTTTAATAAGGCACACTTAGAAGATCTGGGAAGCTAGAACCAGACAACCCGGAGGGTTATGACGAGTATGGCGCCTGTTGCATGTCTCAGACCTATGTGTCTGCCACACCTTCATGAGTGGTCCCTAGATTTCTGCCCGAGGACGTAATAGAAGTGTCATGCCATTGCCTGTAGAGATCCTGGTGGCAGCAGACCAGTAGAAGTAGGTGCGGTAGACGTCTGTTCTGCTCCAGAACGCTCTGCAGCCAGACGGTCGATGGAAACCAAAGCAGATGTGAGACAGGACACTTTGAGGGCAGCGTCCCTTGCGTCCGCTTGACTTTATCGCCGGCATTTCTACTGCCAACCACCGAGATTGCAACATCCGACAGCTCGGCATGCCGGTGACGCAGTTTGTTGCCACATCTGGGACCACTTTGTACGCATGGGTGGGATATAGGACTCCAAACGCTCCAGGACTCGTTCCGGGCACTACGGTTGCTAGTAATTACGGCTGCGTCGAATCTTCCTCGTTGAAGAAAGCAGCGCCGCCTTAGTTGCTTAAAGTGTAGTCCATTTCGGAATTTGCACGTGAAGTGACGTGTGTTGCGAAAATAAAAAGAATTGCGTGTTTTTGTACCGCGAAACTTAGCTACGCGTCGTGGAACGCTCGGTCTTTACCCAACTATGGTGACCAAGTGCCAATTTGTTTCGGAAATTATCGTTATTTAATTATGAAGTACGAGCGATTTTCTGAAATTTTCAGCGAGGAAATGGGGCCTGTTTCCTGTAGCAGACGCCATTCATCCCCATGTATCCATGGGCTCTATTAGCCGCCATTTCCTCATTGACATGGTTCCAACAAATTGCTTATTTATAACTTTTGCATGAGATAATGGTAAGTGCTACAACTTTGGCATTTGGTATCAGAATGCCGAGCTTTTATTGGCTGATTAAAAAAAATAGTGGGTAGACCTCAGGGCCTCTAGCATTGAGTTCTTCCCACTATCCTTTCAGTCAAAGCCAATCAGAACTCGGCGTTGTTCCGACGCCAACACTACCTCCGCGCAAGAAGCAGACGACTTGCTCTCCGCATTACTACTCTGTTTCACCTTACGATGAACTGGAGCGGATGCTACGAGCCATCAGGGTTAATCCACTGCCATGCATGTGTCACGAAACCTTCAGGAAAGGAGCAGTGACACATGGGGTGCGCAGTCACATGATGCGTTCGCGGCGCCGGATCGGTTGAGGTGGTTTGTAGTGTCTGCTGCGGTTCGTCGTGAAGGTGAAACAGAGTTTGAGGCGGCGTCGGATCGGCCCAGATGGTTTGTAGTGTCTGCTGCGGTTCGTCGTGAAGGTGAAACAGAGTTTGAGGCGGCGCCGGATCGGCCCAGATGGTTTGTAGTGTCTGCTGCGGTTCGTCGTAAAAGTGAAACAGAGTTTGGGGCCAGATTTGGGTGGAGCATCGGCATTCGGCGATGCATATGTAGTTAATTTTGTGTTGAGGAAAACACCCTTTTTTTTTTCTCCCAAAAACCTCGTATAATAGCTGCCATTATAAATGTGGACGACGGTAAGCATGGTGCACCTAAAGCCGTTAATTCCAGACGAACGTCCCAAGTGTCGTGGCTTTTGACCACAATAGTTCTTTGTGCATGTAAACGTGTGCAAATAGTTTGTGCCACAACTAGGAAATGGGTTTTTGATTTTGAGAAGCTGACCATCTCCTACGTTCTATAAAACACCCAGACGAGAAAATAAAAAAAAAAAGCTTGCGATTTCAGTGGTTTGACAGGTTGAGAATGATAGGGAGACCTCTCAGTTGTCTCACCTTGAGCGTGAGCTTCTTATTTTCAATGCGGAAAGCAAGTCGTCCGCTTCTTGCGCAAGAGTTGCGGTGACGTCAGAAAGACGCTGAGCTCTCATTGGCCCTGATTGAAGACTAGTGCGTAGACCTCAAGGCAAGCTGTTTTGATGTCTACCCACTATCCTTCATTCAGAACCAATCGGAGGTTGGCGTTCTAATGTTAGCACTACCCCTTCAAAAGAAGCTGACAAACTTGCGCTCCGCATACCCCTTGAGCATCTCGTGAGCTTTACACGCTCGGAGCTTACGAGAAAGTAGTTGGTGTGTACGGGGTCTGGGCATTTAAGATGCCCTGTCGTTCTCGTTGTGCGTGTCGGCGTCTATAGACCTTTTCGTTTACTCTCGTCCCCCCAGCCACGTAGTCGACAAATCCGGTGTGCGGGACAACAGAGACAGAGGCGTTACAACCTGGAACAAGTAATAACGAATAGAAAAGGAAAACCAAGAATGATAGGCAGTCGCGATTCCCCCGGTGGAGTTGCGAGAGCAAAACAATGTTTTCCCGCACTCCGGAAGTTCTGCGATTCAAGATGGTGGCACTCACATAGAAAAGGACTATGGTTTTTGCGTTGCCGCCCGAACACCGTGGCCGAAGGGAGGTCGACCGTGGGGAGACATCTTTCTGCCTGCTGGCGCAGTGCACCTACATCGAGGTGGACCAGGTTGCCGAGACCAGCGCCGTGATGCTGAGCAAACCGGCCTGGATGTGGGGAGCCGAGATGGGCGCCAACGAGCATGGCGTCTGCATCGGCAACGAGGCGGTCTTCACCCACCTAAATGGCAGCGATGACAACACGGAGCGCCTGCTCGGCATGGACCTTGTCAGGTGGGTCGCACACCAGCTTGGAGCACGTGGAGTGATAGCTCGCAATGCAGAACCCAGGGATCCTGGGTTTAATCCCCACCCCTGCCTGTTTTGATCTGGATGAGCATTGTAGCGGCATGCAGTCGTGTGTCGTACTACTGCGTGGTGCGCATTAAAGACCTCAGAGAAGCGGTCATACCACACTGGCTAGATTGCTCATATACAGCTGAGAGACAAGTCTCCCATTGAGGCAGACTAACTTCAGGCTGTATAAGCATACACACACCAATTTTCTATTTTATTATTTTTTTGTGAGGTGGGTTTTTGGTTTGGGGCTTCCCAAACATTTTTTTGCAGTACAGTCAAACGGCAGAATCTTCCTATACCTCCCATTGGTACTCCAATTGCAGATGGCAGCGCCAAATCTTCCCTAACGGGCGTTGGGTTTCTACAAAGGTAATAAGAAATAATCAAAACAATATGCGTGCCGTCGTCATAGCAATCGCTAGGTTATAGGGGAGGGTGTGAGAGTGTTGTCCCTCCTCTCCCTCTCTCACCCTTGGCGACAAAAGGATGCAAGTTCGGAGATCGGAGCAGCCTTTGAACTCCAAACTAGCTGATGTTGAGAGAAGAGGGAACTGCTCCCATTGCCGCCGTCTCGTTCTTCGACAAAACAATGTAATGGCAATATCTTTTTTAGGAAAGAAAAATGTGTGTTAACGTTTGTGCGACTCTTCCGAAACGATTGCACTTGACTTTGCGTCGCTCGGTTGAGATCGGCTCGGCAACAGTGCATGTTTAGTGACAGCCACTTCTCATTAGATCGTCAATCATGAATGCAAAGTGCGCCCAGCCGCTGGTGTTTTGCGGCTTAAGATGGGCGCACATTGCCAGTCCGAGCATAACTCCAAACAATTCTTTTGCAAGTTCTCTTTTAATTAGGCACACTCTTTATACAGAAAGAAACGTTCACTTCACGGCACAACAAAGTAACAAAATTACACGAAGCTACTATTCAAGTATTCATAGACCTGTAATCATACATTTAACTTTGCAGTAATTAGCGACAGTGATTCGATCGCCCCGGACTCCAGCAGGTTCCTTCTGCAGCGCAAGCTGCTCCACGCATGTGCTTCCGAGCGGCGTTGGTTTAACACCAATCTCCCCAAACCGCTCATCTTAACATAAATGCCCTGTCCCTTCTGACCTTCTACAATAACTCTACCATAATGAAACACGCACCAGCAAGTTTTCGGCAATCCGAAACTGCATAACCAAATGTATAGCAACCCGTCTTTACCTTTCATCACTCGGGAACCCAAAGAACTTGGCAGAGCTGTTGCATCCGGAATTAGAGCACCACTGAGTCGAGCAACAGACAATGTGCCAATTGCTCAGTGTACTGGTAGACGAAATAGACCGATAATTAATGGGTCAACACCACTGCCCGCTGCCGCAAACCACCACCGCACCGCTGGCACGGGCACCGTCGAGCAGCCGACGCAGCTGCGACCGCGGCAGCCGCCGCGCAACTGTTCTCAACGGTCAAACTACAACAAACAACCGACCAATGAGAACAAAGTATGAGGGCGAAACTTAAGCTAACCAAGATATTTGTTTCACCTTACCAGGATAATTTTTGAAATCTGTGAGCAGCAACAATAATATGTATCTCATCCTATTAAATAAATTTTCCGGCGTAAACCGGAAGTTCTTAATAGAATACCAACGGATAAGAGATGGCGCTCAAGTAGCTGACCGGAAGTCGCTCGAAGTTTCCGCCGGTTGGTAAAGTCCCATTCTGACATTTGCGTTTGTTTATGACTGAGCCCTCGTGATATCTTGAGACGAGAAAAAAAGAGAGAGCGCACTGACACGCTGGCGCCATCCATTAGGGGGCCCTGGGACTGCATTTTAGCTTTTTGTCCTCCCTCGGAAAACATGGCGGCGCTCAACGCCTGTGCCACAGGATGATCGGTGAGTCGGGGAATCGGATGAAGTGGTCTTCTGGAGGCGCTTGACGATTTCTCAGACTTCGAAAAGGAAATCGTCAAACGGTCAAAACAACTGGGTTTGGTGTCTGTATTATAGTTTCGGTTGGGACTTCGCTGGGGCAGCCTTTTACGCAGAACCGGCGCGACGTGGCCCCTCATCTCGCTCACAAAAGTTCACTGTGCATTCTCTTCGACCTCACACCGTTTCAAAGATTTTGAGATCGCTGAAAAGGCCCTAAAAGAACTTCAAACTCGAAAGTCAAGCATCGTCTGCTCGCAGCCGGCTGTTCGCAGGAAGCCGGCAAACACGACACTTCAAAGGCGTCAGAGAAACACGACTCGCAGGACGGCTCAGTATTTGACGTCACTGCACTGGTGCAGATTGCGCAGGAACCTCAAATTCGGCATTTGGAAATTGTTTTTTTACTTCACAAATACTGAATTCCCAAGTTTTGAATTTCGAGGGTAATGACCAGGCATCGTTTTCAGTCGTTTCGGATAATAAAAAAAATTATTTTGATATGTCGGTGCTTCTGTAACCCACATCCCCAACTTGCTACTCTTGGAAATCAAAAAAGAATTCCTCGCATATTACCTGTACTGGCCACTCAGAGTAATATCCAGATCTCGCTATAAACCTTATCTTTATTTCGAACACACTCACGCCGGTGCCTTGTGGCATGGCAGATAGCATCGTCGTCCATGCTGTCGAAGGGATTGCTAATGCGGCACATTCTGAAACTGTTCCGCAACGCTGGGTCTGTCGATGCGGCGTGACTGCAACTTCATCTTTCTTCTATGAACTTCACGATTGTTTTTTACAGCGGAGCTGTTAAGGGCTAGTAGGTTCCCCAGGATCGTGTCCGGTATGTCGACACAAACCTACCTGGACAGCTACCGCCATCTATAAGTGACGGTGGCAAGCGCACAACCAGTATGGTTTCCGCCATCGCTCATAGATGGCGGCAACTTTTCCAGCTATAATAGAAGAATGGATAGTTGGGCGCGTTGGTGGGAATTCATTGTAGGAAACAACGCGAAAAACAGACGACGGCGAAGAAGAAGCACACAGTGTATCGAGTACAGCTCCGCTGGTCTTCCTTCTTCACGAGAGTGGAAAGGCTGAACGTTTTTTTCAAGCTCGGGTATGCACTAACAGTCTGCTAACCGCAGAACTATCTTCAGTCACGGCTTGCAGTTTGCAGCTTCTCATTTTTCATGCATTCGCGCACGCACGACCCGTCAAAGTCGTAGCGGTCATACTTCCGGCCTGCTTTTTGCTTTCCAGTCTCTTCAGCAATGGATAATAATAATAATAATAATAATAATAATAATAATAATAATAATAATAATAATATTGATTTGGCGACAGGATGGAGTGCTGATCAACTTCTCGGAGCTCACAAAAACAAATCAAAGATGGCTGCCTGAAAAAAAAGAGAAGGCGGGGAGAAAAAGACCTTTGGAAAGACCGGAGGAGAGGGACTGTGCGGAATCTATCCCTATGACTTCGCATGAATTGCTGTGAAGCCGTACTGCCTGCCGAAATTCGCGTGTAACCCGCACCCCAACTGTGCCTTTGTTTGATCTTTGAATTTTTATAAATCTTGATGCGGGTTACGCGCGAGAAAATATGGTGTGAGAAATGGTTGTTTATTTATGTCGTGAAAAGTTTTTCGAGCCAAAAAGGGTGATGAGCAGAAAAGAAGTTGCAAATACACGGAAGTGCCGATGAAGTGTTTCGCACTCTAGTTAATTAAAAAGGAGATACAGTATAGACCACTTACAACGTAACCGCTTATAGTGCAGGACCGGGTATAACGCGGCTTTTTTAAACCACCGGTTCGCCTCCCATAGAACTCCATGTAATTACATACCGCTTAAAATGCAGGCGCGCGAAGGGAAATACCGCTTATAGTGCGGTTTCTGCAACAGCCCGGCGACCGTGCCGACACTGGCGCAGCGAGCGCGCTTCCCTGTGTGACACTAGATAACGGCACGAGCCGCAAGCGCCACTTGCGGGGCAAGAAGGTTGCTCGAAGAAGCGGGGAGAAGCGAAGAGAGAGGCTTCAGTTGCCATAGCAACGGAGGGACGCACGCACGTGTCGTTCCCGTGCGTGCGTCCCTCCGCTGCGTTGGAAACAACCGCAACGACAGACCAACCGCAGGTCAAGGAGAAGTGTTCGCGCGCGTTGCATGCCGGTCGCGGGCCGGCTGCTTCTATCCGCAAACATGGAGTCGGTTGTGATCGTCGATGTAGACGGCATGGTGGAAGCTCATCGTTCCGCGTAAAAGCGCTATGCTTGACTGTGAATTTTCGTTGTGTGTCGCTATGATAATCCAGCACGTACTAGAAGGGAAGATCCACCTACTCATGCGGCGATGTCGTGGCGGCACTCTCAAGACGACAGAAACGCCCTTGTCGTCGTGTTTGTTTACTTCGACTACAGTGGTGATTTCTAAGCGTTTGTGTTTTCGAACATCGCCCGGATTTCTTATTTGAAGCAGTTCATGCCTGTGCTCAAGTTGAAGGTATTACTGGCGCGTACCGTATAAAGGATGCGAATTTTCACGTGTTTTCATCACCGGAGAAAAGTGATTAGGGTTAGCAGTCCTGAACGCTCGCAACGTCCGTCCGCAACCCGTGACGCCGTTAAAAGGCTGCGCCAGGCAAAAGTCGCTAATTTCTTTCATAATGTGTGACACACTTGAGAGAGAAGTGTACTAGTCTGGTGAAATAAAGACTTTCCTCACACTAAGCTTTATTTTTCATCTAACATAAAATAAATTCTTTTACAAAGGTAAGTTGTCTGATGGCATTATTTTGGCCTGAAAAATTTATGTTTTGGTTATAGCGCGGTACCGCTTATAGTGTGGATTTTCGCGACTCCCGCGACATCGTTATATGCGCTCTACACCGTATTTTGTTGGCTACCGAAATCGAAACTTCATTCTCTCTAGTTTTTCCCAGTTTTCCCTGCCATTCAAACGTGACTTCTCCAGCAGGAAGTGAGGCCGGCAATCAGG